TTTAAAGATGCAATGATAAATAAGTGAGCATGTGGGCGAGGGTCACGCCAGAAAGCCTGATCGCGGGTTCGAATGCCGGTTCTCCCAGATTAAGTTGCAAGGTATGTCAGCACCATGTCCGTGGTCGTGGATTTCACAATTGTAGTGAACGTCTAAAACCTGCATCACTTCGGGCTTTCCTCCCACGTTAAGCTTACACGCCGTGATTATAACTGGAATAATGCTCAAAGCGGAGTTGAACCCAACTCACTCACTCCTATTACACGTACCAACCACGTAGGCGTCTTTTGCGCCATTATCAGCGTGGCAGATGTATATTCCTTGATATGTGTGTAGATTTGCTTTGCTAAGGCCTGTCAGGAGTAGATCCCCATCTTCAAATGCTGAAATCGAATAGTCGGTAGATATGTCCAGTCCTCCGCCATATTTGGTCCACGTAATTTTTGGAACCGGGTCGCCTTTAGCTGCACACTCCAGCTGGTTGATCAGATTGTCGGTGTCAAGGATAACTACTGGGTTCTTCACAGTGATCGGGTCTAGAATAAAATGCAAACCAATGGTCTTAGACACATGCCTTTAGTTGATATTGATCTGTGATTAATCCATTAGTATTATGCAACTCGTATTATCTAATTGAATAAGACGTTATGAAAAAAACTAATTTCTGATTGAGACAGGTAGTGAAAATGTTCATATGTTATAATGATATATGATTAGCTTATAAATAATAAAATCCTGTACAAAAGTCAATAGTTATTGTATCGAACAAAATACCATTTAGGTGTAATGTGAACTGGCTGCATTGTTTCAATTTGCATATATAAAGTAGACAAAGATAGTTAATAACATTTTCATATTTGCGATAGATATTTACTCAATGACAGAAAATAATGTATGTCAATATGTTCACGTGTAGGATTTTCAACAACTCCCACACATATGAAAACACATGCTCATGTAAATTGCACCTCAAAATGTCAGGGTACAATTGCAATGATGTAAAATATAGCGGACGATGTCACATGCTTCAAAGCAATTAGACCTGTGATAACTTGCATTTTAGTTATGCACAGCGTTTTCCTTAACCAGTCAGCTAGTGACGCACTCTGATTCAACTGCGCCTTCAGCCTTGCTTACTGTATATCTTGAAATGAATTGTTCCATTAGCAGCACCAACTGAGTTCACTGCCACGCACGTGTAGTCGCCAGCGTTGTCTTTAGTTACGTACGTAAGAGTAAGGTTGTTGTCCACAGCGTAGGCATTGAAAATCTTCTGTTGTAGAAAAGTACATTACCATTAGTTTATACTAATACATGTAAAAACAATCATTTGTATCAGCTCGTACTCTCATGCTGTGTGTTGATGTGGCAAGATTAGCCTTTGATAACGCTATTGCATATTAAATCAGAAGGTGTAATACCACACGGAAAAGAGGATGGTCCGGATATAATTTTCAACAAATCTTGAAACATAAATGAAATATTACTCATGTAATATAGAACGCGATGCTTTCAAATCAGCCCATAAATACACTTCATGCCCTCTGTTAATAGAACCATACATTCGCACTGTAAAATTTCTGGAAATAGAACCATGCATAAACATTGTATAACTTCTGGTCATAGAACCATGCACACATATTGTATAACTTCTGGTCATAGAACCATGCACACTCATTGTATAACTTCTGGTCATAGAACCATGCACACTCATTGTATAACTCAGAAGACCCGGGTTCGATTCCCGACATGGGTACAATGTGTGAAGCCCATTTCTGGTGTCCCCCGCCGTGATATTGCTGGAATATTGCTAAAAGCGGCGTAAAACCATACTCACGCACGCATTGTATAACTTCTGGTCATAGAACCATGCACACTCATTGTATAACTTCTGGTCATAGAACCATGCACACTCATTGTATAACTTCTGGTCATAGTTCCATGCATACACTAAGGGTACGAGTCTTCTTGTAGGTTGCGGACAAGGGCGAGTGGTGACGAATGAGACATTGTAGAACTTCTGGTCATAGAACCATGCACACTCATTGTATAACTTCTGGTCATAGAACCATGCACACTCATTGTATAACTTCTGGTCATAGTTCCATGCATACACTAAGGGTACGAGTCTTCTTGTAGGTTGCGGACAGGGGCGAGTGGTGACGAATGAGACATTGTAGAACTTCTGGTCATAGAACCATACATACACATCGTATAGCGTCTGGTCATAGAGCCATACATACACATTGTATAGCTTCTGGTCATAGTGCCATGCATACACATTCTATAACTTCTGAGCATAGAACCACACTTACACAGGACATACCTTCTGGTCATAGAACCAACTGACACTTGGTTCAGGAAACCCTCCGACATCACATGTCAGGATGACGTTTTCCCCAAAATGTCCATTTAAGTTCTGACTCGGATTTGAAATATATGGTGCAACTGGGGGCAGAAAATATATACGACAGTGCCATCATAATCGTCATTTGAATGTGTGTTTAAAATCGTAATAAATACAGTCGTTATGAAATAATAAATTAATGTATTCACTGAAAGGCAACTCACCATCTGGTATTGTTGTAGTAACCGTTGTTCCTTCAGTCGTTGGTTCTTGTTTGTAGGTTCCTGGTAGGGCTGAAGACTGGCCAGGCGACAGCAGAGAGGAGGAAGGGGAGATGACATAAGACAGGGAATGGGAGACTATATCTGACAGTAACGCAGGTGCCGAAGGTAAGATGGTGATAGTCGTTGGTTGGGGACTGGTAGCGAAAGCAGCAGAGACTGACGTCAAGGTTGTTGTTGGGTTTGGGAGGTGAGATATAACAGAGATTGAATTCAGTGCAAACGGAGATTCCGTATGAAGGGAAGATAGTATCTGACTCACTGAGCTTTGTGAGGGCAGAGGGTTGACCACTAAAGACACGCTAGAAGAAGGCACATTCATCGACAAGGTAGGTGACGGTGAACTGGAAACTGAGGCAAATGACATGACTCTCGAGGAAGCAAAAGCACCTGCACTTGCATGTGATGATGAGACCATACCTGAAGGAACAGCGGCCATTGATAAAGTAGGTGATGCTGATCGCAATTGCTGATCAGATGATGACGCTTCCATAGACGAAGAATAAGCTTTTGTACTTGCCTGTACTGATGATGCCATACTAGTAGGAACGGCGGTCATTGACATGGTAAGTGATGCTGAACTCGATTGCAGTTCCAATGATGACGCATCCATTGAGGAAGAATATTCACTTGCACTTGCCTGTGATGAAGATGTCATACTGGAAGGAACTGGGGACATTGATAAAATATGCGATGCTGATTTCGATTGCAGTTCCAATGATGATGAATCCATTGAGGAAGAATATTCATCTGCACTTGCCCGTGCTGAAGATGTCATACTCGAAGGAACTGGGGTCATTGATAAAGTTGGTGATGCTGTTCTCGATTGCAGTTCCAATGATGACGCATCCATTGATGAAGAATATTCACCTGCACCTGCCTGTGCTGATGACATCATGAGAGAATGAAGGGCAACACCACCTGAAATAGACGAGGCTGAACTGGGCGCAGATACATATGATGACATTCCTTTTGAGGATGTGCCTGCATTAGTTTGTGATGATATCATACTAGAGGGTAGGCCAGTCACTGCGAAAGAAAGCGTTGCTGAACTGGACGCAGATACAGACGATGGCACTCCCACTGAGGAAGCATATGTACCTGCACCTACCTGCGATGACAGTATTATGCTTGAAGGAATGGTGCTCATTTCTAAAGGAGGGGATGCTGAACTCGATACCAACGCAAATGCTGACACTCCCCTCGAGGAAGTATACGTACCTGCACTTTCCTGTGATGATGATATGATGCTTGAAGAAAAAGCAGTATTTGATGGAGAAGGTGATTCTGAAGTCGATTGCACTTCCAATGATGACGCTTCCCGTGAGGAGGAATATTCAACTGTCCCTGCCTGTGCTGATGACATCATGATAGAATGTAGGGCAACACTAGCTGAAGTATACGAGGCTGAACTGGATGCAGATACAGATGATGACATTCCTATCGAGGAGGCAAAATTACTCGCACTTGCCTGTGATGACGATATCGTACCTGAAGGAACGGTGGTCGATGAAAACACAGCTGATAATGAACTGGGATATGATTCTGATGATGACACTCCCCTCGTAGAAGCATACGTACCTGTACTTGTGTGTAATGATGATGTCATGCTTGACGGAACGGTACTTATTGACAAAGTTGATGATGCTGAACTCGATTGCAGATTAGATGATGGCGCTTCCATTGAGGACGAATATTCATCTGCACTTGCCTGTGCTGAAGATGTCATACTGGAAGGAACTAGGGACATTGATAAAGTAGATGATGCTGTACTCGATTGCAGTTCCAATGATGACGCATCCATTGAGGAAGAATATTCACCTGCACTTGCCTGCGCTGAAGATGTCATACTCGAAGGAACAGCTGTCATTGTTAAAGTAGATGATGCTGTACTCGATTGCAGTTCCAATGATGACGCATCCATTGAGGAAGAATATTCTCCTGCACTTACCTGTGCTGATGTCATCGTGATAGAATGAAGGACAACACCCGCTGAAATACACGAGGCTGAACTGGACGCAGATACAGATGATGACATTGTCGTTGAGGACATGCCATTGAGGACTTGTGATGATACCATACCAAAGGGTAGGCCAGTCACTGCGAAAGAAAGCGTTGCTGAACTGGACGCAGATACAGACGATGACACGCCCACCGAGGAATCATATGTACCTGCACCTACCTGCGTTGACAGTATTATGCTTGAAGGAATGGTGTTCATTTCTAAAGTAGGGGATACTGAACTCGATACAATATCAGATGCTGACATTCTGCCTGAGGAGGCATCAGTGTCAGTGATCGAATGTGATGTCAGGCTCAAAGGAAGGAGGGAAAAAATTGCCAAACTAGGAGATGCTGAACTGGACATGGATTCAGATGAGGATGTTGCCTTTGAGGAATCCAAGGTACCTGCACTTGCGTGTGATGATATCAGCGTAGATGAGGGAGCAGTCATTACTTGAGAAATCGATGCTGAAGTAGATAGTGAGGAAACATGCATACTTGTACTTGCCAGTGATGACAAGGATTTTGTACTAGGTAGAAATGAGGTCATTACCAAAGATGGGTATCCTGTATTTGACACATATTGAGATGATGACACCTCCAGTTTGGCAGCACTCGCCTGTGATGGTGATACAACGTTAGAAGAAAACGATGTTATGTCCAAGGTGTGTGATGATGAAGTTGACACATATGGAACTGATAGCATGTCAGTAACAGACACAATGTGAGAGGATCCTGGTGGTGTATGTGATGGTGGCAGAAACAGGCTTTGTGAGGATGACGTTACAGTCTCAGATGAGTGTGAGGTGATCACGTGGCTTGATGGGGCAAGTATAGAAGCCAAGGGTTCATGTGTTGCATAGGAAGCGGGTGTGGCCATTAACGTGTTGTACTCTAGCGAGTCTACTGTGTGGCTGAAAGCAGTTGTCAAAGATCCTGTATTCTGAATATTTGACACAGTAGAGGGTTGCATAGAAAGAGACAGCGGCAGCATGGTTGATTCTGTTGACGATACTTGTGCACTTGAACTTGCAGATGTTGACGGTGTTGTGATTACTGATGTTGAGTTAGATTGCCCAATGTCCACTGGAATAATCAAATTTTGTGTAACAATTCGACATTACCATTGGACTTAAATGAGTAGTTATGTGCGTAATATGTTTTTAGTCATAATATACCACGATACCTTCCACTACAGATAACATTAGAGGACATCATATTATATTGGCTTGGATACATTTTAAAACTAACATTTAGCCTTACCATTGAGAGATCCGTTGAGAAACTGCGCCTTGCCGTCAGGCCTAAACATAATAGTCTGTATCAAACGTTGATTCTATATCTTTTTATTTAAACGTTATGATGAAGTACATTTGTGATATTTATTCTCATCATTAAGCGGATATTGTTTCTAATCAAAGTCCACGTGACTCCAGTTATTTATTTGCGAGCTACTAGCACATAAACAAGTCAAGGATAGCAATTCAAAGGTTGATAGAAACTGACAGCAATTATGTTAACCTCACAAAACAGTAAGGCCCATGGTTATTTTTCTGATCGTATCATTTATAAATAGCAACATGTTTCGTTATAAATCTGGGGACATACAATAAGGTATAAGATAGAAAAAAACATAGCAAACACCTCCATACCGAATAAGCCACGTTACCAGGCCTGGATTTCTGTCAATGAGGCCCACCATTCTGGCCGAAGTGCATATAGCTTCATCCTGTAAGCAAATCAGAATCAGAAGTGTATCAGTGAATCATAATATCAGTGAATACATTTTCTTCTTGGCGGGATAACATCAGCAATGTAAGTGTGCTCTGTACTGTCCGTTATAGTGAAATGCCGCAGGATCATAAAGATGGTCGCATATCCATCGAACGAGAAGTTCTGTGCCAGGTGAAATGAGCTGAGAATCATATTATGTGGTTATTCAGTACAGAACGGAATGGGCCGCCTGTGCCAGTGTATAGTTTGTCTTAAGGAATGCCCATCAGGATTCAGGTATTGAGAGTATTTCATCTTACTAGGTTAAACTCATGAGTGACTGGAGAGCCATCTGGTCCTGTGAGGCCTGATGGACACAGTGCACTGAAACAAAAAAGAATGATACAATACTTGCAACAAGAAAATATACATGAGTGAATTGAAATGGCCTTAATATATTATCTTTTTTCAAAATACTGAAAACAGTAAAAGGCTATAACTGTTTTGAAAATGTTAAGATCAATACCAATTTATATATTTCGTAATCGGGTGTATAGGGTTAGATGTGGTGCTGACCTGTGCAACCACCTGAAATTCGGTTCTTTTCACATGAATCCGTTGAACATATTACTAATAAGAAAATATTCAAATTGTGAAATGGATCTTTTTTGCTGTTCAAAGTGTGGTGTTAATAGCACTTTGCAAACTGTACATACCGTAATTGTCTTCCTATAAATTATATCCTCGTGATACACTGTTCTAATCTGAAACAAGCTGTACTTTTTGTTGCAAACACTCAGAAAGTATCAACAGCTCAACTAATTTTGAATGTACAACACACGTCTGGACGGACAGCGTTATGAAAAAGATAGCTGGATCATAAACTGTGTACGTACTGGAAAGCTTTTAATGGCGTGGTGCTGACGTTATTAAAGGTAACGTTCTCCCCAAGTGTCCTGGTAACATTGCTTGCAACTGAAAAACAATGAGATAATGTTCTTACTGTCAAACGGCATATTCGGCTTCTTGCACTCATCGATGTTGCAACTACTTAACAGTTGCAATTAAATAATCGAGTCCGAGCTAGACACACCATCAACTAGTGTTATCAGCAACGTGAAATGTCCATCGGGCTGCGATGACACGCAATAGACCAAGTCAAAGAGCCTCAAGCAGTTGAATACGTTTGCCACCTATTCCAACGCGTTCCACATGGGTACAAAAAACATATTTAAAGCGCTGAATAAATTCCATTATTGAAGTGGCATTAAAACCTTCTTTTGAAATATATGTTACAAAGAGGTTCATACCTATTTGGTAGGCTGAAGCTGATGTATCCCCATTTGTAGCGTTACAGACATAGACACCATCATACTTCAGCACGTTGGCCTCTGTGATCCCCATGATCAGTATCTCGGCAGGGCCCAAGTATCGATACGACTTATCAGCGGTGATGTCTTCGCCATATTTACTCAAGGTAACGGAAGGTGGAGGAATCCCTTCTCCCACGCATTTCAGCCTAAGTGCTCTCATTCCAGGGCTGATGACCACAATGGGAGGCTTCCCTTTCACAGAAACTGGCTCTGTAATGAAAATTAACATGGACACCGCCGTGAAATGACATAAAAATATTAACCTCGTTTAATAATGTCACTATGAAGTCCAACTTTGAAATATCTTGTCAGTACCAATCCAACACTTTGGCAAGCATTATGTGATAATCAATGAAAATGGATGGATGTTTGCAATAATTATTGACGTGGTTTCAGTTTTGAAGCTACATTTTGGCTTCTCTAAGAAGAACCATACATTATTTGCCCAATCCATTTATATACGACAACCAGACCCATTGACATGTATCTTGACGATGCTTTCCCTATGAATTGAAAGCTACATATATAATTATGTGACATACAGCTTCTCAATTATTATTGTGGCAACCATTCAATTTGTAAGTATTACTGGGTCATACATTGACACATGGTGGCATGATTGATGCAATCAATATGTAAAATAGTAAAAAAGGCACCTATGACATGCAGATTGACAACACCCTCCTTGGTTCCAAGTGTGTTGTTTGCGACACATCTATATGTTCCCTCGTTTTTCTCGTTTACGGACGATATCGCCAGCGTTGATCCTTTGGGGTGGGCATTGGGGCTCAACTGCAGATAAGGAAATCAACTGCAGTATTGTTATTGCTATATTTCGTTGTATTTCTATATTTGCTCATATCCAGTAGATTGATACTGCAGATTCTCTATTCTTGCAAAGTTAATTGACAAATGAAGTCATTTTTATTCGTTCGTCGTCATATCCCCAGGGACTCTGAAATCTGGGAGACATTGCATTTTTAATGCGTCATGACTTCACAATTGGTAACATGTGCGTCTGCTGCACAATGGTTACAAGAGAAAATATGGTAATGTATTTGGCCATGTAATGTCTTACCGATTTATCATATTCCCAGGTGACGGATGGGGTCGGGTTGCCGCTCACGTTACAGAACAGAAGAACCGTTTCTCCAAGGATGGCGTTCACAGTCTGGTTTGTGTTTGATATATCGGGAGCCACTGAAAAATACAAGATCATACACGCATTTGATCACTCCTTGTATCTTACTGATAAAAGTAATCAACAACTTGAATGGCAGTTATATAGTTTGCTTTTCACATATATTGTGGAAATCTGAAACAGCAGGTACTGTGTAAAGTGTGCAATTTCAATGTAACATCAGAGTAATGGAAAAAATTACGTTTACATGATGTTTTCCAAGTAGCCATTTATGAAAATCAGTTCATATCTCAAATAAAAACAAAACCAACATACAATGGATCATTAACCCAAATGTCATATTCATTATCCAGAAGTATGACAGATGTGAACAAGAAACTCAGACTCTTAATACGGTGGTAAGAGTGAAGGTCATAGGTCGTGCAAATCAAAATATGCACACGCAAAACGAACCGTCATATCTTATTCCGTAAATAAAATAGTCATGACATAATACATGAAGCAATGGGTGATAAATGGCCAACAATGACTTTTAAAATGCCTGCTGTGGTGGTCATTCCGTTCTATGGTGAACTTTTAGAGACATCAAAACATGGCGTCATTCTTGCGACGCTTCAGCTTTACACATACTGCTTGGAGTACAGAGGAGAAGTCGAACATGTGAAAGGTAACGTCGGAAAGACCGACATACGTACAGATCACGACAACGCGCCACATTAGATAACCACAGACCCGTGAAGATTCCGGGATAGAATAGGTCTTCAGCAACCCATGCTTGTCGTAAAAGGTGACTATGCTTGTCGTAAAAGGCGACTAACGGGATCGGGTTATCAGACGCGCTGACTTGGTTGATGCATGTCATCGATCTCAATTGCGTGGATCGATGCTCATGATATCAATCACTGGATTGTCTGGTCCAGACTCGATTTTTTACAGACCGCCGTCATATAGCTGGAATATTGCTGAGTGCGGCGTAACACAACAAACCAAAAAAAGATAACCACATCACTTAAGTCAGGAGAGCTAAACATTAAGACTAACGACATACTAAGGGTTAGGGGAGATGTTGGTGCTGAAATCGCAAGGGAGACTGGGAAAGCTGACGTCAGAGGGACTGCAGTGGAAGTTACGTGGTCAAGGTCAACTGAAAATAACAAAAATATAGGGTTTCGTATCATTACAAAGTATGGTATCAAATGGAAATATGTATTGCAAACAATTCCTTATTTACAGAATCATACCCTGTTGAGGTGGTGAAATTGGGTTTCACGTCGCGCGAATGATTATTGAATTTATATATTCATGCACGTGTGTGTGTGTAGCTGCTTGTTCTAATCCGGCCTGATGCCGATTTATAGTGCTAGCACACAGATACCATGCCGCAGTTTAACATGAATACCCCACTCAGACACAGTATACTGAATCCGAGCCGACCAGTCCTTGTTTTAGCCTCTTAATGCCGAGCGCCAGACAGGGTAACAACAAGTACCATCTTTTAACGTCTTTTGGTATGACGCGGCCCGGGATCGAGCCCCGGACCTTCCGCTCTCTGGGCGGACGCTCTACCACTAGACCTAGGAGGCGGTCTATTCATTGCTGGTGAATTGATACTTTATAATAATTCTTTTCTGTATCAATTCTTCAAAATATATTTTTGATATTGTAAATTTTAGATGAAGCCCTACCTGACAAGGACCCATTCAAAAACTGTGCTTTGCCATCAGGTCTAAACATAAAAAAATATCAATAGAAAACTGCTCAGCTTCAACATATCCGGTTTTCTAATGTACCTGTATGCGTCTTGTTTTGGCCATCATGGTAGTAGGTCGTAACAATCAACACGTTGCTCCTCATCAATTGAACAATATATTTTATTCTGGACACAATGAACAGCAAATCAACGTACCTGATCAGCCATGTGATAGTACCAGCATCCGTATGAAGAAGACCCACTTTCCTTGCTGAAGTACATATCAGCTCACCCTACACCAACACATGAGAAGAAAGTCACTTCCGTAATAACAATGCTTGTGGTAAAGAACAAAATCGATCTTTGAAAAAATAGTCTTTTATAGTTTTACATTTTGATAATTCAGGTGTTATTGATTTTTCCATAACAGTATTTGACCAATGTCCGATACATACACCGTAAATTGCTGGGTAGTTCAGTTAGATGTGAGTGAATGAGTATATTGTTTTACGCCGCTTTTAGCACTATTTGAGCAAAATCACGACCGGGACTCCGAAAATGGGCTTCTCAAATTGTACCTTTTCGGGGGAATCGAACCCGGGTCTTCGGCATGACAAGGGAACACTTTAACCACGAGGCTACCCTGCCGCCCCTTAGTAAGATGTGGGGGTGGGATGCTTGTTTGATTTTTTGTTTGTTTTTCAGTCTGTACATGTTGTCTCTGAAGAATTATATGGTCCACAACACATTGTGTTTTTCAGAACATCCAGAATGTTCATTTTATACCATTATATATTTTGTTTGGTAAAATATATTTCAAGCTTGTATGCGGATTCAGATCACTCTTCAGGTCAATAACCTTTTCACTCGATAGTTGCTGCAATCTGACATTGCCTTTATGATTAAAATGGCGACTCGATCTAGAGGTTTGAGTAGCCCACTCTTATTATGCCGCCCCTTCCCTTTTACTGTGGTCCACTAACCCCTCACAGTGTTGCTACCCACACTTTGCGATCACCCCCCCCCCCCCCCCCCCCCCCTCCTCCCAAATCTCTCAAACTGTATCAAAATGTCCAGTCATTCTCTTCTCATGACCTCAAGAGTTATTGACATATTTGAGTTTGAGTCACAAACTGGCAAGTTAGTGACCACTAGTTGATTGTGTAGTTTAGGGAATTGGTCGAGTAGTGTAAATGAAATCGGAAGAAATAAATGCAAGGCACCCGTGTGACACTGCATCAGGTGGTGGTCAAAAGTCGTAGATGGGTTACAACATTCAATGTGGCAAAAAAGGCATTTCTTGCTGTATTCATACGACACACTTATCACATATTAGATTAAATGTAAAAAGGCTGAGTTTTCAGCTGTAACGCACCAGGCTATTGTCACAATCTGTAAGCTTGTGGTATGTTATTCTAAATGTGTTCCTCAAGTTACAGCCACTTTTTGCATTTGGGATTTTGCGCACCATCACATCTTACCAGATCAAACTCAGTAGTGATGGGAGATGCGTCCGGCTGCTTGTGTCCAGGAGGACAAACGGCACTGAATTAGAGACATCACACATTGTACACATTTAACAGTATGGAGTAATCAAATCATCCTGTCATGTAATTGAACTTTCAGTTAGTCAGCCGCTTCGGTGTGTTTTGGAAACATATGTGAACTTCAATGCAAATATGATGGTAATTGATTCAAGAGTCATAAACAAATGCTATTAACCTATCATACTTCTTCGGTAGCAACATTATGTGGCATTACACAGAGGATTAGGTGCATAATCGGATGGATGTAGCGGATTGTTGCACGAATATCTACACACAGATCACGAAGGTCAGAGTGATGGAAACGCCGAGCTGGATGATATACGTGTTACGTACTGGAATGCTTTCAATGGCGTGGTGCTGATATTATTAAATGGGACGTTTCCCTCAAGAATCCTTGTTACATTGCTTGCAACTGAAAACAAAAGAAATTGTTATTTTTTAAAATATTATTCAGTTTGCTATTTTACATATTTTTTTCAAGACTGCATGTAAATGCTTCCGTCTGCGTGAGACAAACCATTGATTGCTATTTTACGTCACTGTTGACGTCATATGTCGTTGGAATACTATGATACGCAATAAATTAAATAAATGGTGACATATTCTAACGTGAGCTACCACGAATTATAAAAGCATAGTCAAAGCACTGAATAGTGAAGATACGTTTTTACTAAAACGTTCGACTGACGAAAAATGTGATAGGAAGCGGTCCTTACCTATCTTGTAGGCTGAAGCTGATGTATTCCCATTTGTAGCGTTACAGACATAGACACCATCATACTTCATCACGCTGGCCTCTGTGATCCCCATGATCAGTATCTCGGCAGGACCCAAGTGCTTATACAACTTATCAGCGGTGATGTCTTCGCCATATTTACTCAAGGTAACGGAAGGTGGAGGAATCCCTTCTCCCACGCATTTCAACCTAAGTGCTCTCATTCCAGGGCTGATGACCACGATGGGAGGCTCCCCTTTCACAGAAACTGGCTCTGTAATAAAACATAGAATGGAAACTACCGTGAACCAACTAAGTACTAACCACATTTAATTATGTCACTATAAAGTCTGCCTTTGGAAAAAACTTATCATGGTCAAAATCAATGTCATTATTATACGGTAGTGGGTGGTGTATAACGCCGCTTTTAACAGCATCTCAGTTATATCACGGCGTGGTGCTTTATGGTTTGAAGTGCGTGGAGTTTTGAAGCTACACATTTACTTATATGACACGAAACATTTATGATATCACCTTTTCAATATATATGGGACAACCTTTCAATTCATACATTGACACATGATGGCATGATTGCTACAATCAATACAAAGAAACAGTAACGAAGGCACCTATGACATGTAGGTTGACAATGCCTTCCTTGGTTCCTTGTGTGTTGTTTGCGACACATCTGTACATTCCTTTGTTTTTCTCGTTTACGGACGATATGGCCAGCGTTGATCCTTTGGGATGGGCATTTGGGTTCTCCTGTTGATTTAAAAGTAGCTTGACACATCTGTAATATTTGTGATTAGTATAACATTTATGTGGGACATAAATGTGTCCCGTCATGTCTTCTGTTAAATTTTCTTAACATAAATTAAAAAAATATCATATACACTTTCCTGCTACATTTTTGTTGGCTTTAGATAAGATATCACTTGCACGATCCATACTTTGGTGAGAAGATGACACACATTCATATAATACTTGTCCATTATCATCACTTTGCACCTAATATTTGACATGCATGGCGGTTGAAATGTGATTAGGCTACACCAGCTATGCCACACAAAATGCAGGTTATATGCGACTTGTATACATGTATCGCTTCACGAATAGGAAAATGACATACGCATGTGACAATGGAGCCGTGTACCAAGCTGGTTCTCACACACAGTAGTTATGCCCCTATAAGTAGTCTTGTACAAGATTGCACGTTTGAAGCAAAAACATAACAAATAAATATGTGTATTTCAGACATTTCAAAACTATTTATTCTGAAAATTGAAACTGTAGATTCACTATACTCGTGATTATACGTTTCGTTTTAAGTAACTCAATAAATTATTCTTACGCGCACGTCCAACCCGTGAACATCCGGTTTGAATATGTCTTCAGGAACCCATGCTTGTCGTAAGAGGCGAATAACGGAATCAGGTTGTCAGGCACGCTGACTTTGTTAATGCATGTCAGAGTATCCCAATTGCCGTCATGTAGCTGGAATATTGCTGAGTGAGGCGTTAAACAACACAAGAACAGGAACACGCACGTCTTGTTACTTTCCTGTTACGTACATGCAATTTAAACAGGGAGGTCATTGGCTACATTACATTATGTTACATCTTCCAGCAATATTTGTATGCATCCAGTTAGCCTACATATATGGACAGCTTTTCAAGGATGTGCACGTTCTTGTTCGATGTAGATAGACGCTTAGATGTGCACGTAACAATCATTTCATTTTCAATACTTTTCATGAAATCCCAATTTGTCACATCCTGTTTGCATCAGATACACAGTGATTACAACAAACAATATAGAATGTCATTGCTCGTCTAATTAATGTCTTACCGATTTATCATATTCCCAGGTGACGGATGGGGTCGGGTTGCCGCTCACGTTACAGAACAGAAGAACCGTTTCTCCAAGGATGGCGTTCACAGTCTGGTTTGTGTTTAATATGTCGGGGGCTACTGGAAAAAACATGCACGCATTTTATGACATACAATTGCAATCATTTCACTGTTAATCAACAGACGTAATAGTCATGCAGTATAGCTATGCGTGTGTCACTGCTATGCTTGTTTCTTACGTTTAATTATACTTATGGCAATCGAAAATGTCAAACGGATGATGTGTAATTCAGAAACCTTTGCATATAAACTGCTTGCTGCTAAATGTTATAATAAATCAGAATAGTTATAGCAAATAACCCAAAACTTTCACAAATTAAAAACAACGCACACATAAATCCTTCATAGCACAGCAACATTCATAACGTGTGTGTGGGGGGGGGGGGGGGGGGGGGCTGCCATTGTAGACATTTTAAAGATCGATTCGGAATTATTTGAGCCTTGATGAGCAGAGGGCAGATGAAAGTGAAAGTTCGTAGCTGGGAAAACAAAACAAAAGCATTTGCGAAGAAACATGTTTATCCACATACGCCTTACTTATGACACTTATCATGTTTCATAATCTTGCGAAAAACGCTCATCAATGGGGAAAACTTACAATTTCAAGCCAGCTTCTGCGGAAACGATTGTGTTGATGGGATCAGAATGATATGAGACACGTCGAGACACGACAGCTTGGAACATTCACGCAAACTTTCAGCTTCATAGGTATTGAGATTACGACAAATGTCAACGACGGACGGACAACCCGCCAGACCTAAGCTCAATTGACGTTCAAATGAGCTTAAAACTAAGAAGCATGGAGTAAGAACATACGAAGGGGAGAAGATGTTGTTGCTGATGATACAAGGGAAGCTGGAGTCGTTGACGTGTTTACTTGTTCAAGGTCCACTGAAAATCGAACAGATATACAAGTTTCATGCCTAAACAAACCTTATCACTTGACAGAGAATAAAATATTGCACTTGTTATCAGGATTTTACCTTTTTAATGAATTGGTTCTTTGTGGTTGAATCACCACATCGCATTTGTCTATGAAACATAGTTAATTTTAATATATAGCCTCACCACTCATGGATCCATTTAAGAACTGTGCCTTGCCATCAGGTCTAAACAAAAATTTACATCAATATATCATTGTTTAATACCACCAAACAATGTAGTAGTAAATCTAATGAACTGAATATGTGATCAGGATATTTTTTCGGTGAAAATCAAATTTACAAGTTAAATAGTTTATAAAGCAGCATACCTGATAAGCCACGTGACCGAGCCAGCATCTGTATCAATAAGACCAACTTTTCTTGCTGAAGTACAAATCAGCTCACCCTGCATTAACATATTAGAAAAGCGTTACTTTCGTAACAGCACAGTTTGTAATATCAAACACTTTGAGTCTGTATGTCACACTGTTATCACATTTTCAAATGGTGACAGATCATGTAATAAATAAATAATTTTCTTCATCAATAATACCTAATCCAAAATCAGGTCAGTTACATGTAGGTGTGTAACCCAGGTAAAACATTACCATCCCTCCAGTATTATCATGCACCAAGAGGTTCTAAATACAAACTTCCTCCCACCTTGAAAATATATTGCTAGAAAGGTTACATATAATGTATAAATGTTTATGACGAAATCACCGTCCTAGTCAAAGTTTTGCTGCAATGTGTCATGACGATGTACGCCGTACATGTTTGTAAGAAGCGAACTTTTATTTAAGCAATCTTTGTAAATAATAATACTAATATATTTCAAATTGTTTTTGTTTGTTTCTCCTTCATTCATAGTCCGATATGGTTATGTTCATGGCCCTTTTATTTTCAAATACTGATATCTAGTACCTTTGTAGAGAATACAAGCTTTATAGAAAATGCAATTGTTTGTTAGAACCAGAAATACATCTTTATGGAATTAGCGAATTAAAGCTTCAAAATATATTAGTGAAGTTTAGAGGGGGACTATTACGGTTGACAAAAAAATATGGAAGGTGGCGCAAAAAATGGATTTATTCATGAGAAACTGGCCTTTATGTGATCGAGGTATCGACGATAGATATGAATTTTTACTTGTATGTATTACTGTTGCTATTAGAAGAAACTGTCTACCAAAGACATGTATCACTAATGTAATTAAGAATTGACCTTCACTTTGTGTGAGAGTGAGGGCCAAACATTGTATGAACGTCGTCGCAAGCTCCAACGTTCATACAGTCTGGCTCTCACTCTATGAAGGTTCATACTCCAATGAACTCACACAAAGTGAAGGTCAATTCTTATAAATTTTTTATCACAATTTCTTACCTCAAAAGATTCAGGCCTAGATCTCAACACAATTTTATTTAGTACGTGTGACTTCATGTTTACACTGACAGCCATACAACAACCAGCTATATCGCGGAGTAAAATAGTTCCTCATAAAAGAGAGGTTACATGGGCGTATGGAAGCACAACTTGCTCTCCATAAACATCTTACGCAGCACATGTGTTCAAATCATATCCTCATTAGATGAGAAAGGTCTGTAAAGAACTATCTCAGTAAGTCAGTCACAATGACAGCGCGTCGTAATACATTTACATCAAGTACAAGACGTCAAAATGGCCGACACGATAAACGTGACGGGAGAGATTTCCGAAGTTGTTGATGAACCTTTGGCGGTTACATGTGTTAGTCTTCATTGATCAACTGGCCGATCATTGAAAGGTGAATAAAGATGCGTCAAACAGACACAAAGGTAAATTCATAGATTGCTGGAGGCGGTCAATGTCAGCCTAGGCACGGATCGAGTCGATACTACGATAGTTTAGATGTGCATTTCTTCGTTTGTTCATTAGGATGGGCCATAGCGAGGATATTCGTGAAAAATAATGCAGTCACGCTCTCTGACATTTCTCAAAGTATACTGAAACGCTGAGACCAAGAATAAAGGTTCTAAATGATCAGAAAGAACGCTTATGCATGTTTTCGTGCTAGGGAATTCCCAGGGGTTTCCCCAGGAATGTGGAAGTAGTCCGTCAGTGTTTACGTCATTTCAAGAACACGGTCTCGTTGAAAAACGTATGAACGTCAAATTGTTTCGTTCATACACTTATGAACTTCAATTTCGCGGTCATGTGACCGACCTGTCTTCCAATGGAAAAGCCGTATATCGTGTAAACTTCAAATAAAAAAATTATATATTCATACATTTACAAAGATAATTGCCACCAACAATACAGTACCAATAAACTCACTTGGCCTCTCTATTTATCATGCGTGAAGAGAGTATTCGTTAAATAATGTTTCAAAAGTGTGTACATTGCTACTACTTGTCAATTGTTCTTGGTATTTACACATGTGGCTTTGATTGCTTCATAACTTGACAACTTGATTGATAACTTGACTGATAACTGAGTTTAGTCGATGTCATGTAATGTACAAATATATGCATGGGATAAGGTACTGCTGACAATGCCATTACTTTCAAATTTTCCTTCGTTGTTTTTCGTTACACCAATAAAAGTCCAAAGTTACGACCCCCTTTCACGCGCGAATCTGCTCATTGTAAGATATAATTCGATGACTGTAATTAATACGTGTTCTTTAAGGTTACAGTGCTTCAGTTCAGGGGCTTTGAGTATTACGAATACACATCACATCAAATACATATCTTACCAGATCAAACTCAGTAGTGGTGGGAGATGCGTCAGTCTGCGGTTGTCCAGGTAGACAAAGGGCACTGAATAAGATAGTCATTCATTTTCAGTTGCATTTATTTCAGATTTTACCTTTTATGTTAATGAAGGAATACTGCACCATGTTATGTAAAACAATTCCGGACATTCAGTGATGCAGTCGCAGGAAATATCATTGTATTTCATGATCTCAGAGTTATGAACACATTGCCCTTCCCAACAGTGCTTATTCGACTCTCAGTTACATTATTTAGCACTACACAGGCATGTATGCCCGTAAACGTACGTTTGCACTGGTTTGTTTGATGTGATGTGTGTTGGCGAGCTGATGTGTAGTGTTTGCTATGGTATATTGACACATCCGGACTGATTGTGTTCTAGAAACAGAGAAATGAATGATGGACCACACTGGTCAACTGTTACCTACTGGAATGCTTTCAGTGGCGTGGTGCTGATATTATTAAAAGCAATGTTCTCCCCGAGCATTCTTGTTATGTTGCCTGCAACTGTAAATAAAATGATAAAACGCTGTCCACAATCATAGGAAATATCATGTATCACAGTTCCATATATACACCTGGAACAATGGTAATCACCACCTATTATTTTGGCCTTAAGGTTTGAGAACATGTGTCTTTACTTCAAATGTATGGCACAGAAAATGTATGGCATGTTTCCAGAAAGAGTATTATTCTGTCGATAATTAACGACTTTAGAAACTGGTATTCATAGTATTGACGGACTTTTCATTGTTTGTATTATTGACAAAACTTGCCACGCTCCCGGGTGACAATTAAGTTGAGTCGATTTCTCAATGTCCGTGATGACAATTATTAGTTAAGGCTTCCAGGTATCCTTTGGACATTTGCTTGTCAAAGGGATGTTGTCTATCCAAGCGGAGCAGTGCAGATGTCTCACGAGGCTCTATCGACATTGGATGATCCTTTTTCCACATTAGGTTGCTGATATTTCAGTGTCCGTGTGCTTAACACCCAATTGTTGTAACCGAACTCTCGACAAAAGAAGCTTTGCAGGACATATTTGCATTAATCATGCCTATTATTCGCCACCTGCCACCTTTCACCGTCAGAACATCTCCCTGGAGCCGAAGCGTACCAGAACCGCTGGCAAACAGTCACACCTGTGGATAACTATTTGTATGATTACGAATTATTTCGCTAAATCATGTTTCAGGGTGCGTTTAACCTTTCTTCGTGAGAAAGTAAAGTACAAGCCAAAATAGGGTACGGCATCGGACCTCAATTTTCTCCCTCATGCGTCAAGTTTGGTATTGTGTTCAGTATGTTTACCCTACATCTTTGTGTTTACCGAAGTCAACAATATTTTAGCCTGTAAATAATTGAGTATGGACCAGAGAAGTGTTTGTGGGGGTATATACAAAGCCACACGACGACGGGGCTGACATGCATTCAATCGCGAAGCAGGTACAGGCAGTGACCATGGAGTAGTGGGGAATTATTAGAATCCGGGTCCCCACACGTACTAAAAGCATATGTAAGATAGCTACGCAATACTTCGCAAAGAAAAATGAAGAACGAAGCGTGGCTTATTTCACGATAAAACATTGTTCTACCATAACGTCATTTCTGTAGATTCGAAAATGAGCTCGCAACTTGAAGACGTCAGATATTGGACGACGTTGTTTGAGAGGGGAGTGTCTGGTAGGTTGTTCCACATAGATGTAGCTGGGCAACGCAGATAAGCGGTAGCCGAACGATCGCATTCAAAAGCGGGAGAGATATGACAATCGGTATTGGGAGAAAAGGTACAGGTCATCGACGTGAGGATTGTGAGAATTTGCGGGAAATACCCACCTGTTCATAAAATGGACTTGTCCCACATTACCGAGGTCGGATTCAGTTGCAGGAATCATCATTCGGGTTAATATTTTTAAAGCTTTTAGATCATTCTCAAAGAGATTATAAGAAATAAACGTCCCGCGCCCCTCATGGTTTATTCTCCCTGTAGTGTTTTGTTGTTCGATAACCAACTCCGATCCCATTCGTCGTTTATTCCTTAAATACACAGCGCTGAATAAATAACACTATCAAAGTGACTCATCCTTTCTCTTATAAAAAAACCCGTCTAATTGACTCGGATAAAATTTAATGTAATGCAGTTCTTACCTATCTGATAGGCTGAAGCTGATGTGTGCCCATTTGTAGCGTTACAGACATAGACACCATCGTACGTCAACATGTTGGCCTCTGTGATCCTCACCAGCAATATCTCAGCAGGATTCACGTGGCCATAGAACCTGTCAGCGGTGATGTCTCCGCCGAGTCTACTCAAGGTAGCCTTAGGTGCAGGTATCCCTTCTCCCACGCATTTCAACCTGACTCCACTCATCCCGGGACTGATGACCACTATGGGAGGCTCCACCTTCACAAAAACTGGTTCTACAATAAACATACAACATTGAGACACGTATCTTACCCACAGCGTCATCTTTACATAGAGATAGGGAACACTTTAAATTATCAGTTAAGGAATATACCGTGTGCACTCTTAGCTTTTGGCGATCGGTCATTATATTCCACAGGTGGCGCTAAGTTTCCTTTCTGTGACGTCATGAAAAATGGTTGACGTCATACCGTTTCGTGGTATGAACGATGCATCAGTATGACGTAATTATGCTTTAAGTGATCAATAACCAGTCGACATAGAGGTGAGTGAGTACCCGCAAAATTGTTCTATGATAGAACATGAATCCTATAAATGTTGAACACTTTTAAAGTAGGACAAATGTACTCCTTCTGCTTCACTCAGTTGTAAAACTTGAACGAAATGGGACGTGTATTCTCTGACGCACCTATGACATGCAGGTGGATAGTGCCCTCCATTGTTCCTAATGCGTTGTTTGCGACACATCTGTATTGCCCTTCGTTTTTCTCGTTAACGGACGATATCGCCAGCGTTGATCCTTTTGGGTGGGCATTTGGGCTCACCTGTTGAGACCGATGATATGACATACTATTAGATTCAAACATATTCCTAATTTGTGTTACTAGTTGAACATTAATGTGTGACATACATGTAAAGACCTACCGATAAGTGAACTGTTCATTTTTCCTAATATCAGTAAAAAGCGTCACAGACATCTTTCTGATACATTCAAGGCCTACCAATGAAAACTGACTGCTATAGACTGCTATAGAGAACCGTTATATGCCTACAATACACAAAGAGTCGGCAACATAAAACAATGAAATCATAACACAAAACTAAGAAATAGCCTCATAAATCTGAGGGCACGATGCCGAAAACATGGAAACGCAACACTAACACACGTAGACAGGATCCTTCAAAACTGGGCATGCGCAGAATGAAGTTGACCGTCATGATCATGAAGACCGTCATCATGATGACGATCAACAAACGAGTAAATGTACGTCTTACACAGCCAATATAGACGATTCTAGACTTTATTGTTGTATACAGAGACTGCTACTGATGGGGGTTCACATTAATCAAGTTACTTTGCTCAAAATATAAGATGCCTATCTGTGTAAACATACAAGTACAGGGAATCAGAATCGCAGCCAAAGAACAGACGCTTGATTGATTGTCTTTATAGTCTACCGAGTCAACATAATTGTCAAAAAACAGTTACTGTCGCTGAAAAGTATTTAATTTGCATGGCCTCTCTAATATTCACTTTAATATATTACTTATGGTAAGTAAATTACATGTATATGTAGACACCCAGCCTTGCTGTGTGACACGTCAGTTCGTCCAATTATAACGTTAATAAGCCGTATAATATACATATGTAATTCGCTCGCTCGCACGCATGCCCAACCTCAACTCCTCAGCCACACTCTAGCCCTCTCACTAACTCAACCACTAACTCACTAACTAAATAATTTGGATAGTCTATAACTTGTTAAACGATTCCCTACCTGTTTATCATATGTCCACGTGACCGATGGCTCAGGGTTGCCGGTTACATTACACAACAGAAGAACAGTTTTCCCCGCGATGACGTTTACAGACTGGTTCGTGTTCATTATGTCAGGGGCCACTGAAACACACATGCATCGTTTCAAGTTGGATAAGACCTTTATATGATGGCAATATGTCTTACACACCTCTCTTGCATAACTAAAGAATGACAGACAAACATACAGATTCTCAGTTAATATTAATAATACATATATACGAACCTACCCCACAGCCAGTATTGGAATTTCTTTAGTAATAGACATGTACTCTTTTGTATTGCAGACAAAAAAGAAAATATTGTTTAAAATATAAAAAATGTCCATAATCATACTGATCTGCTTCCATGTTAATTTATTACAAGTATGCCAGTTACCCAAGCACAAAGTCATCTGATATCAGTGTCTATTTTCGCGGGAAAACTGTTGTGCATCAAGTCATCAAATCTTACTCGGGGTTAGAGAAGAAGGTTTCTTTGGGTTGACGTTAGCGTTACAGCGATCTTCATTACAACAGCGGAACCCTGCTTCACCCAAAGTCGTCATGTGGTCTTCACACGCCTTGTAAATATATGCATAAAGTGTAATCACATCGTGTGTGGTGGTAAAGATATGATGGTCACATTTGTATATTTCAAAACAAAAGTAAAAAAAATCACTGCTACGATATTGAACTGTATATGAATTCTTTTACAATCATAATTTAGTCTTTATTTTACTTAAAGGACATTACGTTTTACATATTGCCACCAGGTTAAAAAAGCTCAAAACATTGCCACTAATTGTAAGTATTATAAATACACTTACAACAGCCTCCACTGAACCATGACATTTTATTGTGTAGTTTACACGATATACTGGTTCATCAGGGTATGAACGACACATTTGGAGTATCATACGTTTCACGAGATTATTTTCTTTAAATAACGTAAACACTGATGAATTATTTCCACATTCCTGGGGAAACCCCTGGAAATTCTTCCCACGAACAAATACATAAGCGTTGTTTCTGATCATTTGGACCCTTTGTTTTGTGAACCAAACGTTGAAATGTACATCCAAACTACTCGACCTGTGTCTTGAAATGACAGTAACAGTCAAAATCAATCTATAATTTTACCTCAGTATCGATTTGACACAGCTGTATAATAACCTTTAAATTACCGGCCAATTTATTAATAATGGCTAACACTTGTAATCGCCACAGGTTCATTAACCACTTCGGAAATCTCTCCCGTCACGTTTATCTTGTCGGCCATTTTAACGCCCTGTTTAAGATGTATTACTGATTTACGGAGGTAGTTCTCAAGAGACCTTTTTCATCTAATGATGATATTATTTTAATCTAGTTGCTGTTACTAATCTACAAAAGATGTTCCTGCGGAGCAAGTTGAACATACATACCTCACGTCACCTCTCCGTTTGATGAACTGTTTTATTCCGCGTTACAGCTGGTTATTGTATGGTTGTCAGTGTAAACATTGAGCCACACGCACAAAATGAAATTCTAATACATCTCTCGAGGTATAAAATAGTGATATAAAAATACGAGAATTGACTTTCACTTTGTGTGAGTTCATACTTTCAAAGAGCGAGGGCCAAACCTGTATGAACGTCCGAGAATTGAAGAAATAAGTTCTTACCGTTTTCTCCTCACATCCAAGTTCATAGAAGATAATTCCAAATTTGAAGACTCTTCTTACTGAGCAATACTGGCAAGGGAAGATATGAGGGTTGTCAGCAATTACGATATAAGCACACTTCAGCAATACTCCCGGACAAACTAAACGGGTAAAACTAATCTTTTGCCGGGCAATAGAACGCTTACACAGATGTTTCATGGAGCCAAAAACTGAAACAAACAGGAAATGGTTTTCGATGGTCATATTCGGACAGGTTTGCAGTGTCACGGTGACTGTTTTCTTCCTAGTAACGTTTTGACAACGTATGCAATTTGTTTTTGTAAAATACAATTTTGAAAGCGTATACATTCTTTCGCCCCGCATTGATTGATGTCAGTGTGAAAAGAATACGGCAACCATATAAGGATTTGAGATACATAGTATATAACTGATTTTGTTTATTTACTCTTTCTATATGAAAAAAGATTCTTTCAAACTATAAGGAAGAGTAGAAACCATTGAATCTCATACTATGTCACAAAGCCTAACTGATGTATACTTTAACTGATATGACGTTTGGACAGTTTAAATTTCAACCAACGCAATCAACACTTCAAACCCGTCACCGTCGTACCCTAAATATAATCGGTTTGACAGCTTATATATCTTTATGGTATATTATGCTGAGGAAGCTCGCCTCGTCTCGTTGACAAGGACATACTGACCAGTAGAAACAATTCACACACTGACTATATTAGAAGTAGATATACCTGCTCTGGACCACACTCTGTCTCTCTCTGGCAAAAGGTTGGTTGTTGAACAATCTCACACGTTTGACATATAAGGGTCCCTGTTCTGATGGTTGTTGCTGAAAATATCAATAGTGACTTCATAGTAGATGTTGATTATGTAATGACAAATTGGGTATAATTGGTGATCACGAAAAAAGACTTTATGTCTTGTCTGATTGATTGTCGCCGTGTAAAAACTACGTCGACCGTTGCTCATGCCATTAACCACAAGTTTGCCTTGCCATGATATAGCTTTAATAGCTATGATATAGCCAATTAACACCTAAAACAGCACGGAACCAAATAGGAAAATACATCGGACATAATTTTTTGTCATTGATGCGTCAAATATGGAAATATCATCCACATATCTACCATAAAACTTTTTTGAAGCTTAAGAGTCGTATGACGCTCTTTGAAATCTTGGTGGAAAGAGCATGCTCGATTGTCTCAAAAGTGGTGAAATGTAAACACTAAAGGCTGGAGCTGCTGGAATATTGCTCGACATGACGGGACGTATACCTGTCTTAATAAAACACAGTGTATGGCACTTTGCTTCATGAAGAGGACTTTAGTTTTGCAAGTTGCACAACAATATTTAGCACCCGATTATTTAAGGATGTTCAGTTTTGTCTGTGTTCACTATGAAGGAACTCACCCATCATCAAGACACTGTTATTTGAAACGATAATATTTGAACTGCCACATTTATTTCTTGTGCCATAAAGTAATTTTTCACACTAATGGTATTTACATCAATGTAATGTGCTTATTTTATTTTTAGAAGCTTATTTATGAGAATGTTTTTTGGGAAATGGCAACATTGAAAGACTTAATACTTACAAGGGGGAAGAGAAGACGTCGTTGTTGGTACTGATGACGTTTCAGGAGATGCAGGAATTGTAATTGCTGTTGGTGTTGTTGTGCCAGTCACAGGGTTGAAGTTAGCGTTACAGCGATCTTCATTACAACAGCGGAATCCTCCTTCGCCCAAAGTCGTCATGTGGTCTTCACACTCCTGGTAGATATGCACAAACAGTGTAATAAAATTATGTGTGACTAGCACAGACCTGGAGTATTATCTCAATAACTCATTTTAAGAGAGAGGTCTGTTTGGCCTTCGGTAAGATGTATCACAAGATGTATTGTCGTTGGCGTGTCTTAGTCACTTCCGTCAAACAACGAGTTGCCATGTAAAAACTCACCGTTTTCTCTTCACATCCAAGACTATAGAAGGTCAATCCAAATCTGAAGACTCTTCTCACTGAACAATACTGTTGAGGGTGAAATACATGTGTGTGTGAATGTACAGACAGCATGGGTATAGTTCAGCTCGACAAAGCAACTGTAAACACGTGGATACTTTGTGTACTATAATACAGCTGGGTTCCAACATATCATAACGTTTGATACAAATATCTTTTGGATTTATTGTATAAAAACCTGACAGTTCTCATACAGATTCTTAAGCATATGTAATTATAATTATTTTATACATGGGCGCCGCAGTTGGATTTGAATTATTCATTATATTTTAAGGAATTATTCATTGAGCTATGAAATTCTTGCATATTCGAATCTGACACCAATTTATGTATTAATGTGTACATAGAATGCTAATTCTACATTTATAATTTTGACACAAACGAATTCATTAACATTTAAATGAACCGACGATATTACCAATTAAGTGAATATATTTAGAGAGAACTAGAAATACCTGATCGGGTCCACACTGTGTCTCGCTCTGGCAGAAGCTTGGCTGTTGAATACTGGCACACGTTTTACATAGCAAGTTCCCAGTCCTAATTGTAGTCACTGAAGACATGGACACACAATCATATTTTTTATTATATTCAAGAACTCAGGGTACTCCTTATCCATGTCTAGTTTCCTCCACAAACCAAATATTAGATTATTTTAACACACTCACACACATGTAATAGTGAGAAAGACAGAATTTTCGATAAGGCAAACACATGCTGATTAATACAACGCACGTTCATTCTTTATTTCTTTGTATCACGACAGCAAATGTTCCCTGGAGTACAAATGCTGAGGATCTTCACTACAGATGGCAAACATTCAAAACAGGAAGACAAATCAGGATACGATATGTTAAGTTCCAGGGACAGATTGAGTTCAGTTAATTGATGTGGTGTTATCTCAATGTTGGATGAAAGACAAGATGACGAATGCCATTTGTCAATGTGGTGGAACCCATGAGTCTGGCACTGTGCTTCATAGAACAAGGATGATGATTATGGAATAGTCCACGTACCAGGCTGAGATCTGGTTGCTGCAGTTTCAGTTGGTGCTGGCGTCAGGTGGTTGTTGTTTTCATGGCTGTTACAAAAATCATCATTGCAGCATATGACGCCACCGTATGATAGTTCATCCTCCCCTTTCATGTGTCCGTCACATTCCTGCCATCATGAGATGTCCTTAGACATTGTCATACAAAATATATACAGCTGTATCAAATGTACCAAACTGTACGTACAATTTACATCTTATGTTTTGTAATGGTAGTTAACTAATCCATTTATCCATTCAATTATTAAACTTTGTACGTAAAATCAACTATTTAATAATCAACAACACATGTACACCTGTAATTATGCAAAAGATTCCGCAAAAACGGATCAACGCCGAACACACAAAACTATTTTCAAAACCGAATCCAAATTGAAGGAATATATTTGTACACTTATATTATACAAGATAATGTTCTCTAATCTCAGATACATATTAACCTTTGTGTACCAGAGTGGTGGCCATATATTTACTTGTGAGACATGGCTCGCTTCATGTGGTCTCTTTTGATACTGGTTTATGAGTCTCCGTTTGACAACAGAACTGTTTGTTCATGGGAGGCCTAGCGTGTACATGTCAGAGGTTACAAGCGGTGTATTGCAGATAACGTCTATATCTGTCTTCTTAAAGGCCGGGCCAATGTATAATTAATACATATTTTCAGTAGTTTCGATCACGCCATTGAATAGTTCGTTGACCCATTCAGTATTCTATGCTATAATGCTATTATGCATGCAACGATTAGAACATCACCTGTATCTATCACCTACTGGCACACGTGATAGGTCCTTGTGATAAGTAAATGACGTTATGTATCTTTCTATTGCACACATTTTTTGATCATATATACTACTCGACTATACATCGCGGTGAATTCACATCTCATCACATTTAGTGTATAGACACGCCATACAAATCGTGATTAATTAAATCGATATACAACACACACATACGTATAACTCACTCACTCAACGAACACGAACACCATGGACACAAGCACATAGTTATATGCTCCTGAAAGCACATTCGTCTACAACAATCGGAATTTAAAACACCTCCAATAAAACTTGAAGTAAATGTGAACTATCAACGAAACGAGTATAACCACCAAGAAAGCAGCCAACAGTCTCAAAAAAGGACTGAGGTCTACATTGATTTACATGAGAAAAAATCAGGCTAAATAACTAACCGTCTTCTCCAAACAACCAAGGTCATAGAACGTCAATTGAAACTTGTACCTCTTCCAAATAGAGCAATACTGAAATATAAACATATTTGATTTTCGTATTTACATTGATGTAAACACAGGCTTTGACATATTCTGGAATGTTTCCTTTATAAGATGTATCCTTCAAAGAATTCAATGAAAGTTGTCCTAGTAATACACTTCCCAATACAGAATGAAATAACAGGTACATTGTAAATGGTGGTTACATGGTGTCCTTGTATTTACCTTATCCTGGCCACACTTGGACACTGTGGAGCACTGGCTGGGATGGCGAACTGCCTCGCACTGCAGACACAGTCGGCTACCTCCCATAGGAACAGCTTCATAGGGGAAGATATGTGACACGAAAATAATGTACTAGCAACAAATACGTGGTACCAGATTCATAGACAGCTACATGGGGAAGATAGGTGACATCACAAGAATGTACTAGCACTAGGTACGTGGTACCAGACACTGAGACAAATGCATGGGGAAGATAGGTGACACCACAAGAATGTACTAGCACCAGGTACGTGGTACCAGACACTGGGACAAATGCATGGGGAAGATAGGTGACATCACAAGAATGTACTAGCACAAGGTACGTGGTACCAGACACTGGGACAAATGCATGGGGAAGATAGGTGACATCACAAGAATGTACTAGCACCAGGTACGTGGCACCAGACACTGGGACAAATGCATGGGGAAGATAGGTGACATCACAAGAATGTACTGGCACAAGGTACGTGGTACCAGACACTGGGACAAATGCATGGGGAAGATAGATGACATCACATGAATGTACTAGCACCAGATACATGGTACCAGATTCATGGACAGCTACATGGGGAAGATAGGTGACATGAAAGGGTTAACGTACCAGACATTGATACCACATACCACATTTCTTTTCGGATCAGCTAAAAGCCAGGACTACTGCCAACTAAAATGTGTAAACACGGTCCATATGCTAAGATCTCGACTATCCAGGTTTCACTGTATATGAATCTGTCACTCACGGAGTCCGCCACACAGCTTGGAGTTGCAGTGGTCGCCGATACAACATTCCTCACACCCGTGCGGGCTGCTCCCGCCTGCCACCGACCCTGTACCTTGACATAGCTGTACAAACAAGATGCACAGCAACATGGATATATGCAACAGAGCAAAGGAGCAGACAAATATCAAGTTGAGGAGAGTGAGTTTTGGTTTCACGCTCCGTTAAACAGTTTTTCAGTTATAGAACAACGCTTCTTAAGAGAAAGTCTGAAGTGACGTAGGACTTTGACGTTCAGGACGTTTCTGAGACGACGAGCATGGGAATTGCCCTGACGAGCAAGAAATCATAATCAGGGCGAAGAGGGATGCTAACCCACGATCGTACTCTTCTTCCTAGCCTACAAGATGCATCTCTGCAGGCCGAATACTGGCGCCTTAGACGGCTGGGCCCACCGAGCCCAAAGAGCAGCTCCAAGCTAAGTATAACCAATTTTGGTTGCGACATTACGAGACTTAAAAGGATATCATACGGAAAGTATAACGGACCCTCTGTACTGAGTGACTTCAGTCTGGCTTTGCCTTTGCGAGCGACTTTCATCATTATTAGGGGCGTTCAGCCTGGTGGTTAAAGCGTTCGCTCGTCACGCCGGAGACCCGGGTTCGATTCCCGAAATGGGTACAATGTGTAAAGCCCATTTCTGGTGTCCCCCAGCGTGATATTGCTGGAATGTTGCTAAAAACGGCGTAAAACCATACTCACTCACACATCCACTCATCATTATTATCCTTGGGACAGATAGGTCCCTGTTGTGAGTAGGTTATTGTCTACATTTTATAATCTTTTATTGTTATAAAATGTTATAAAATATAGGTTCCATATAATGAAGACATCAGCTGAGTCAGGAACTGATGTCTTATAAACACTTCCATGACGTCATGTGTGTGATATCATATTCCATTGTTTGGAATGGATCCCGATTAATTTGCCGCACATACACAAACGGACCATTTTCTTTCCTCATGTACATAAACTAGACACAAGGTAACTATGAACCTGATTCTCTCTCCATACATATGAATAAAGTACAAGGTAAGTATGGCGCGTTTCTTTCTTCATATACACAATCTAAGTACAAGGTAAGTATGGACCTGTTTCCTTCCTCATATACACAATCTAAGTACAAGGTAAGTATGGACCTGTTTCCTTCATCATATACACAATCTAAGTACAAGGTAAGTATGGATGTGCTTCTTTCTTCATATACACAATCTAACTACAAGGTAAGTATGGACCTGTTTCCTTCCTCATATACACAATCTAAGTACAAGGTAAGTATGGACCTGTTTCCTTCCTCATATACACAATCTAAGTACAAGGTAAGTATGGATCTGTTTCCTTCCTCATATACACAATCTAAGTACAAGGTAAGTATGGACCTGTTTCCTTCCCCATATACACAATCTAAGTACAAGGTAAGTATGGATGTGCTTCTTTCTTCATATACACAATCTAACTACAAGGTAAGTATGGACCTGTTTCCTTCCTCATATACACAATCTAAGTACAAGGTAAGTATGGACCTGTTTCCTTCCTCATATACACAATCTAAGTACAAGGTAAGTATGGATGTGCTTCTTTCTTCATATACACAATCTAACTACAAGGTAAGTATGGACCCGTTTCCTTCCTCATATACACAATCTAAGTACAAGGTAAGTATGGACCTGTTTACGTTTCCTTCCCAATATACACAATCTAAGTACAAGGTAAGTATGAATGTGCTTCTTTCTTCATATACACAACCTAACTACAAGGTAAGTATGGACCCGTTTCCTTCCTCATATACACAATCTAAGTACAAGGTAAGTATGGACCTGTTTCCTTCCTCATATACACAATCTAAGTACAAGGTAAGTATGGATCTGCTTCTTTCTTCATATACACAATCTAACTACAAGGTAAGTATGGACCTGTTTCCTTCCTCATATACACAATCTAAGTACAAGGTAAGTATGGACCTTTTTCCTTCCTCATATTCACAATCTAACTACAAGGTAAGTATGGACCTGTTTCCTTCCTCATATACACAATCTAACTACAAGGTAAGTGTGGACCTGTTTCCTTCCTCATATACACAATCTAACTACAAGGTAAGTATCGATCTGCTTCCTTCCTCATATACACAATCTAAGTACAAGGTAAGTATGGACCTGTTTCCTTCCTCATATACACAATCTAAGTACAAGGTAAGTATGGACCTGTTTCCTTCATCATATACACAATCTAAGTACAAGGTAAGTATGGATGTGCTTCTTTCTTCATATACACAATCTAACTACAAGGTAAGTATGGACCTGTTTCCTTCCTCATATACACAATCTAAGTACAAGGTAAGTATGGATCTGCTTCCTTCATCATATACACAATCTAAGTACAAGGTAAGTGTGGACCTGTTTCTTTCCTCATATACACAATCTAAGTACAAGGTAACTATGGACCTGTTTCCTTCCTCATATACACAATCTAAGTACAAGGTAAGTATGGATCTGCTTCTTTCTTCATATACACAATCTTACTACAAGGTAAGTATGGACCTGTTTCCTTCCTCATATACACAATCTAACTACAAGGTAAGTATGGATCTGCTTCCTTCCTCATATACACAATCTAAGTACAAGGTAAGTATGGATCTGCTTCTTTCTTCATATACACAATCTAACTACAATGTAAGTATGGACCTGTTTCCTTCCTCATATACACAATCTAAGTACACGGTAAGTATGGACCTGTTTCTTTCTGCACCCTGCCGTGTACTGTGTTGGACTGACACCTGTCGATGACGCATAGCATTGCTGAAATGAAACATGGAACCTCGTTTACAAGAGGACTACAACGAGTAGGGGCGAAGCCCTAGACGCATCAGTTACAAGGGTGTCAATTTGAATGAATGAGTAAATAGTCTTATCTACGATATTACACATGCATTGGTGTCGCGTGATTTAGAACCAGAGCCATAGATTTGTCTGCACTTGAAGCTGTATGCCAGTGTGATGGGTTGGGGACATCAATAAGGATGGTATTTGCACAGAGATAGTCCATTCAGATTTAAAGGTTCTGGTGGTCAACTTACTTCGTCGTCTTTGCACTTGATAATCTCCCCACAAGAAGCAGGTTTCACAGCCTTGTCACAGTCATAACACCAGGGGCCCTCGCCTACTGGTGGAATCAGTGATATACCAGAATTCATTTAAAAACACACATTAAGGTTATATCTTGGTTCAGTTTCTAGGGCATTGAACCTTTGCCATCTAAACTTTCCCTAAACTGTAACCTGTACACAAAATAATGTTTCTTGACAGAACCTGAATATAAAATCTTTAAAACTCATTGGAAACACAAGAACACTTTAAATCTTCAGAGAATAAGGATATTAGTTTTGATTAATAACACAATTTTGACAAATAAGAATATACGTCAGTTAACTTTGTATTTACATAATTATAACAAGAACACCGTATGTAAAAATACAGCGATTGTAATAACAGAAACTAACGAACGGTAGTATCTAGCCCAGTCCCTCTGTGGAGCAACGCAAGTAATTAATGGGCATGAGCAAACACCGACTTGTCTCCCTCAGAAAGCGACGCTATTCGTTTTGCACCGTATATCAAAGCTGCTTTAAACTGGCTCACAATGTAATCCAGTTGGGGTTCTAAAACTATCATAAAGTAAGTGATGAAGTGAAATGGTGACACGGTGCTTACGGAAATTGTTCATCCATCGTGTCAGTACATTTTTAATGAACCGCCTCCGTGGTATAGTGGATAGCGCGTCTGCCCGGAGAGCGGACGGGCACGGTTCGATAACCGACAGCACCATACCAAAAGGTGTTAAAAGATGGTACCTGTTGTTAGCCTGCCTGACGCTGGGCATTAAGGGTATAACACAAGGACTGGTCTGATCGGAGTCAGTATAATGTGTTGGTATCCACGTTAAGCTGTGACTTGCACACATACACACAAGGGCGCGCGCGTGCAAGCACGTCGATATATATGTGCATTATATTTGAACGCCACGCTAAACCGCATTTGACCTCATCTCACTTTTTGTATTGCCAAAATTAACCCTGTTGTTGTATTTTGTAAAATAAGGGTTGATCTATGCCCCCATTGTGTGCACTGTGACCACTTGCAACTACTGTCAATTATTACAGAGTAACATACACATTTAAGGATTGGATAGATATACGAAGATAAAATAATCTAATGCTCAAATTAACAGGGGTCCCTTAAATATTGTTCCCGGTATCCCTCTGTTATGTCGATTACAGTGACAACTCGGATTAGTTGTGCTTGATAAATCCATACACAATCACACTAACTATCCAACTAACAAACTATATGCAGCAATATATACTTATAAAATATATCCAATTGTTGCTGGTACATTAGATACATCAATACCCTATTTGTTTTGACGTTATAAGAAAAAACAAGTGGACCATCACCCTAAAAACAATAGTTTGAAATTATGAATTCGCCAACACGAACCTGCAACTCTGGTGCATCCAATATTCACAATGACCACTATCAATGCTGAAAACAAATGATGGAGTTACCAGTTAATTCGTTCCTTTACTTAAAAACTTTTAAACATTAATGGCATGATATTCATATAAGGATACACAGGAATTACAGCATTTCATTCCAAAACATACATATAAATAATCTTACAAAGCATGTGAGTACAGCTAACGAATGTGTTTCGTGTGACGTTTATGGGCTGATGTTTGGGAGGACTAGCAGCTGATTGTACATTTATTTTCTATATGAGGTGAGATGGTTGGTATTGTAGTGGACGAACATGAAATTTGTATACTTAATTTACAGCCTTTTGACGAAATAATCCCAAATATGTTAAATATGAGTATGACGGAATGCAAGCTACAATTCAGATTGAGACGCTGTACACGGGCTTGCAAGATTCTGTCGTGGCTTTTCGCTGCATATTTCATGAGCTCGTTGCTAGCTATGTTTCAGAGAAATAAATACAAACTCAATCATCTTTGGTCATTGTTAAAAAGAAAAACTTCAATTCTGGGAAAAAAAAGTAAAAAATTCGTGTGCTAGCTGCTACTGTAACTTAGATCCACACACAATTTCAACGAACCCTGACTGATAATATATTTTTCAACATCAATGGCATGGAAACCTCATATGAAATTTGAGAGATATTTCAGGTACAAATTCAGAACTCTTCTACTTTTATCAACGGCAGGCTTTTTACACTTTAATGTATATAAATCTAAAAAATGAACTGATAATACCAATAATGTCGTGGATCAATATCTATCACAGTGAATGACATCCATGTACATTCGTTATGCAGAATAGCACACCGTTGGCGTGTCAGCATCCAGTGCTCTTCTGTTCGAAACCTATATGAACCCTGGTTTTCACCACCCTACTCGTGTTCCTTGGTTCCATATATCCGTTTGTTATTCGTGGTGGTAATGTATTGTATGTTGATTTTGTGTTATTATTTCTCAGGTCTACATCACCTGGAGGATTCCTTCTAAATCAGATTGATTCGCTGGATATAACTGAAATATTGTTCAAATCAGCGTTCACAACATGTCGCTTCTCCAGATGAAAGTCTTCCAACAATTGACGCCACACCATGATATTAATTCACGTGTCCTTTGGCCAAATACCATCCAATGTTCTGATTTCTTGTATTCAGTAAAATACCACAGCACTTGCAATAATAACATTGAACTATCTACACAGTATGAAGCATTTGTACATGTGATTCGGCAAACATATTTATTCTTGTTGAAACATTCACATTTACATTTAGTAGAATACATAAATGTGAAAGAAACTGTTATCGTTTAAAAGTCACTCGGAATTTCGATTATATATAGTAGAATAAATGCTTTTGGTCATATGATGACGTTCTGTCTTACTATCGCTATGATGAAGTCATTACAGCAGGTATAGATGGAGTCTATGAAAGTATTGAAATAACTTACCAGCTACGTGAGTCTGCATCGCTCCCCTGTAGCGTGTAGCTTAAGTGACATAGGTTTCTGTCTGGGCGGGCGCTATATCAAGGGACATACACTGCTGATAACGACGTGCGTCGGGGATATCAATTGAGCTCAATCATTGCACACTAAGATATGACCAAATACGTAATAGTTCGTAAGGGCAAATGTTAAACTGAATAAGTACAATCTATAAGGCACAGTGTCGGTGCATTTGTAAACCACTGAACTCTCGTTATCTCGAACCTCGATCATCCTTATATATATCTCCTTTTTTATCACTGTTTTGTACTTCATGCGAAGTAGCGCCAGATCTATACGTGTGACTGTTTACACTGACAGCTATGCAACAACCATCAGTATCGCGGAATAAAACAGTTCACGAAACAAGAGAGGTGACATGAGCGCATGTATGCTCAACTACCTTTACAGGCACATCAGTCACAATGGTGGTGCGTCGTAATACATTTATATCAAGTACAAGACGTCAATAATATCCGATAATCGTGGCGGGAGAAATTTTCGAAGTCGTTAATGAACCTGTAGTGGTTACATGTGTCAGTCATCATTGATCACTTGGCCGATCATTGAAAGGTAATTATGAAGATGGGACACACAGAAAGCATATTGAGAAGGAGATAGTCTCACTCATATACAACTCGACATTATTACGATTATCTAAGCGTTTCCAACATGTGCACAAAGCACATTATCGTGCTGCTCCGTGTGGGTAATGTAAACGATAGCACAATGTACGCAATTGTAAGGTAAGTATCGCTTTAGTTCATATGATATAGAAAGAAACGGTGTGAGGAGATATCACACGTTACAAAGTGAATCATGAAACTGTTTTAAACGATGTGTTGGTTTCCTCAAAGACTCTTGTGCAAGTGGGATGCGGCTCAGTAGCTTTGCGGTAGGAGCGTTAAAGGGAAACTTAACCTGTTATGCTATTACATTTGCAAATGCGTTCTGCGTTAAATGTCTGTGTATGTTATGATCAGACGAAACTTAAATTCATTAGTGTTTACCAAAACCGTATACCTTTATTTTGAAAAGACGTTTGTATATAATGCTTAATATGTTTAATGTTTCACATATGATCAGAAGGCACTGGTGTCTCAAAGGCGAATATTCTACATTTGTGACTATCATGAATGTGTTTCATCTGGTATAATGTCATATCACTTGAATTAAATAACTTTCCTCGTTTTGTTTGTGTATTAATGGCGAACTACTGTATGTAACATTTGCCACACCAGGTTGTAACCTTGAATACTTTCGAAGGAAGTCCAGGGTTAATAGATCCAAAGTGGTGATAATAGGGATTTATCATCCAAAGCTGGCTTCCACAGGAGATATCGCTTGGTGAGATAAAGCGATATCTACATTGTAGATATCGCTTCGATGAAATTGCATCACAATGTTTTGCAGACAATTGTGACGTCATGGTTACCAAATGACATCATAAATCGTTCTTCTACTGAAGCTTAGCAGTACTTTTTTCAACTTTTATGAACTTGTGTTGATATATTTGATATCAAAAGACACTCGGGTGAGATTCTCTATATACAGTTCAACTTTATAGGAAGCAGTGTTACATTATCTATCCACTCCCTCGCCTTTCACGTTCCTACTTCCTGACATAACATCAACTAGTCCCACCCCAATATGATACTTATATAAATAGTTATCCAATTGTTTTAGCCCTCCATGTCTGGTTTGGATAATTGGCAAGAGTGAAATCCTGAGGCGTGTCTCTAATCAGGCATATTGTCAACTGAGTTCAATATTTTCATCAGTTTCAATGCCCTTACATAATAGTGAATAAAGCTATAGATGCATCGCATATACAGTCACATTTGACACTGTTGTACTACGTGTGGTGTTCATATGACTTGGTTTGAAAGTTCAATTCATTGCTTCTGGGGTTCTTGCTACAGTCAAACAGTTGAACTGATATAGCCTTTTCATATGTTTATTTTATGTCATGTTTGATTTCTCCTCAATCATTTTTTTTATCATTTTGAACCTTTTCTCACCAAATGTTGTCCCTCCAGATGTGAGATAGACCCGCAGTGTGGCAATTCAAGAATATCGTATGAAATACATAATCTTCTTTCCGACAGCAAAATAATGCTCGTGAGATGTATGCGAAGATTCACTGTATTGAAACGTGTTATTTCTACAACTTTGAAAACAGCTTACAGTAACATTCAGTAGTTACACAGAGCAAGCAGATATCTATAACAGACATGTTGGGGTATTAATGATAAGCAGTTTTAAGGTTATCAGGTATGAGGTGATTATTATTTTGAAATACAAAAATAATTAAACTGAAATGTTAATATTGAAGACGCATTAAAAATTAATATGGTAGCCTAGTCGTGTAACGCGCCGAAATTCGCTGTGCAGAATTGTCTTGCTTAGTCGGACCTGGATCCACTGACTTAATTGGGAATCTTTGGTTGCAACACCAACTCACGTTTTTAGGTTTCATCACAGTGATAACCATCTGAGACGTGCGTCGCTTACATTCGAGCTAACATCCATATGAAATTGGCAATCACCATATAACAGAAATACTGTTCAAAGTGGCGTTGACCCCAACATACTTACTCATTATGATCACAAACAAATGAAAAAATGTATCTTATGTTTATATGCTTAAACTTATCTAGTGTGGCATACATTTTCTTGGCCATCTAACCATGACCAAGTTGTACAACATATCTGTGTTTTTTTCATAAAGTTCTTTGATGACAACGTAATTGAGAAGAGTTTGATAATATCTGTAACGGTAAGGGGAATCTCTGTTGTAGGAATAACGCGTGATACATGCCAGGGAATAGTGGTGTCTTTACCGAACTATTATCATTGGAAAAGACTTTTACCCATACTAGAAATCGTATGTTTGAAGCAGCTGTCTGATTAGTGCACGAGTACATGGTACACTGTCATTGTTTCTTTCCTGTCAGCACACACCGAGTGCTACTGAAGTTTCAAAATCAGATCTTAATAAATTGATCAAAGAGATTTTTTTTTTTTCTTACAACGTGTTCATACAAATTTGAAAACGTTTCAGTTAAGGTCGTCGACTATTACATCCTCAGTTTACTATCTCCTCACTGTATATACGAGGGATGTTCCAATATATGCATATACATGTCGTAAGTTATAGGTTTGATGCGATTGTCATACACATTTGCGGTAATGTGCAATTTTGATATTGACATGTCCACGGAAGCAACATACAATAAAACTTGTTGTGTTTAATTGGACTCTGGAATCTGTCATCTGTCCATCACTATATATTCCCTTTGTACAGTGTGTCCTTCTTGGGGATCCCGTCCTTGTTACATCCTGACTCGATGCAGCAGTAGCTGCAGGTGAAGTCTTGGTAGTATGGGTTTCCTGGCACAAGTTTCTCACATTTGTTATCATCCGATGTTAGCTGCCACCACTTCGTCTCACAGTCGTTAACTGAGGCACAGCTGGATATTGTAAAATGAAATAACATGAGTGAATGAACTTTACGCTGTTTTGTGCAACATAACAACAATATCGTTGTTGGGGAAACCATAAATGGGTTTCTCACACGAGTTGTATGTGAAGTGTCTAAGCCGTGACCATCCAGCGTTTATACCACCTGACTATCCCAACGGTTCAGATTAAAGTGAAAGGATTAGCCTTTTCATGTCAATATTTAAATTAATATTTCAATGCATCACGAACTGGGTTTCCCTCAGTGATTATTTACAATCATTGCTGATTTGTTATATATGTTACACGATTGCGTGTCTAATTGTACACGTTGATCACTAAAAGAGACCTTATTATATATTTGGTTTAAGAAATATTGCAAACTCTCGAATTAATAAAATCATTTAATTAAAAGGAAAGAGCAAAGGAAGATGTCCTCAATGCAAGTCGATTACGAGACCAATAATTGAAAGTAGTAAGATATAGGTATGTGCATATATGTGTTAGGAGTAAAGAAATACCGACCTTTTAGTAACTGACTTCCTTCCGTCAGCCTTGGTGTTGATAGTGGTCATGCAGAAGGGTGTCATACTTGGACATTGGGTGTCTGATCCAGGAACCATACCGCAGCGAGGACCAGAACACGTCTCACAGGAGAGAGATGCTGTGAACAGAACATTGAGATGGACCGTTAGTGGAATCTTCTTTTAGATGTTGGAGTGGAGTAAATGACACATTGACATTGATATAGTTTGGGGGTTCATCTCTTAGATCTTGAATTGCAGTACACAGAACATTGACACGCACAGATAGTGGGATCTTCTTTTAAAAGTTGTACAGCAGTAAATGGAACCTTGGCATGGACAGTTTGCATGATCTTGTGGAAAGTTATTGGTATATTCTCTAGTTGTTGCTGTGCTACCGTAAATGGAACATTGACAACGATAGTGAGTTTTAAACATTTGGAAAGTGTATCTCAACATCCGTGCAGCTTCAAAATGATCATTAACATTATGTAATTGTTCTCAAAGATCATTGTTCCATATTGTGTATCCCTTTTTTAATACTTCCGTGACTTCTAATACACATATACATTCATTCTACAAAATCATCACAAAACATACACCCATCAGTGGTCCAATCACTTCCACATTTTGATTGACTTAGTAACAAAATAAATGTGGGTTCACATAATCCATGCCAGTGGAACTTTTCTAAATACATTGTGCAATACATATTGTATACATTTCTGAACATTCCTTGACAACACTGCTGCAACAGTACAAATTCCACCGCGCCTATCCCCATTTACTGGGAATACCTTTAACTATAGTTGCTTTGTCGGGCAGTTGTGACGTTGGTACATCTCGTGTAGTTGGAGCGTCAGCAACTATGAAATGAAAAAGTCATTTATCAATGAATCCCTTCAAACACATATTCTGCATTGCATCCCCGTGAACAGGCTAACAAAATTATGACGGATGAAAATTAATTTTCACATCAATTGTGACGGAAGAGTTTCTATATCATGTAAACAAGTTAGCTTTTACATCATTTACTATTTGACCATACTGTCGTTACTGGAAGGTTTTAGTTACTATTAAGAGAAAGGTTTTCTTTACTCAACTGGACAATACTGCTCCTTTCGTCTCGTTCACAAACTCAGCCTTGCCATCGAGCCTGGAAAAAGTGAATGTCAATATGTCGGTCAAGTTTGTAGAATTCGTCTGTCATGGTCGATAATTCCCAATCTGCTATTTAAGGATCTTTATGTGACACTTAGACTATTTCACAAGCGTGATGTACATTGACTGACGCCTTTCTGATTATACTTCACAAACTCAATACATTCTGTTTACAGAAACTCCGTGCGTATAGATACATACATAGATGCACTACCTTATAAACCACGTGACAGGTCCAGCGTCTTTAGCGAGAACACCAACCCTCCTGGCTGAATCACAAATAGAGTCAGTCTGAAATAAAGATCAAACCCAAATAATCGCTTTACAACAGAACCACTTGACTTGTAAACAAAGTGACGAAAGTTTGCATTATTTTACGAAGTTTCCAGCATGTTCGTAGTTCCCAAACCCCAGCTGAACGAGGAATACTTAGTCATAATATAAAGATACTTATGTTCATTTAGCACATTTAGATGTTGGTGCTTGTGAATGGACTTTGGAATCAGAGATCACGCCATAGAGGGCTGGCTGACTGAAGAGGACATAATGCGACATCATACTTGCCAGGACTACATTTTCTATATTTTCTGTGTTCAGATGAATTGTAATTTATCTGGGAACGAAATACTTTGACGGACCTCTGGAGTTTACTTGGCATGTCCTTTGAATCAATCTGTAAATGTTCTTTGAACAAATAACAAATATAGGAGTTCGATTTTCTTTTCCTTTCGGGCCATCAAGTCTGTAAGAATGCATTTCTTTCTGTCATGATTGTATATGTACACCAGTCTCAGACTGACTGAAGTAAATGTCTTCCCAAACGGATAAACAGAGGTTATCACGCGAGTGTGTTTGGGGGTGGTAAATATACTGTATTAGGAATAAACATTGTATTTAGGGTTTAACCTCTTTATCATATAATGTCATTCTTCATTTCTGTGCTTGTAAATCGCTTTCCATCTCTCACAAACATTACCGAAACATTGCAAGTTTTCCTGGAATGTGCGCATTAATATATGTTACGTCACACGGTAAGTGATTTGTCAGTCGGACAGTGACAGTAGCCAATATAGTTCCAACTGAAATCTGTTTCTTACACAGTAGCAAAACAACATATACGCAGAACAACAATTTCCTGCACAAATTGCGTTAACTTGCCTTTCGCGGCAATCCATCAGTCTGTCCGCTAGAGTAACTGCCTTTGTCAAAGGGAAGCTACTCTAACCCTACTCTAACCCCAGTCACGGCCACGGCCAGACGTTGTTGACAGTCTGTCATGCCATAACGTTAAGAAGTGCAGTCAGATGTATACACAGCGACAAAACGAAACAAGGTAACAATTCGAACATATTTCGGCCAAATCCAACTATTAATATTTATGGAAAAGGTTCCAAGTCGCAGAGGTCTACAAGCACAGATATGGCTACTAATCCCGCTTTGTTTCGCAATTTATATATCCAAAGTTGCCAAAACTTGGAAAATGCCTTAGCTACGTCACAGTGAGACACTGATTTTCAGTATATTAGACTGTTCCTTTGATAATGATAGCAATTATCCCAGTAGTTTCTCCAAATTCCCTATGGTTCCTCGATCGCCGAATGATAGGGGCTACGCCATGTTTGTTTGTAAATTCTGAAAGTAGTCCCTACTTGACCTTTGATATTTGCATCTCTATCCGCATATGACGCCAACAGATATCGTCTTTAGCCGTTGGCTTTATTCGCCGAGAAACCCACCCATTATATGATCAATCGTGATATCCTACTAAATGAATTTCATATGGCAATTGCATGCATTACATTGGGGGAATGGTATCGTAACGTTCTCCAGTCCATGTTAACCTAGCTACATTCACCCATTCCTACATTCACCCATTCCTACATTTACCCATTCCTACATTCACCCATTCCTACATTCACCCATTCCTACATTCACCCATTCCTACATTCTCCCTCACCCTGCCAGGGAGCCAGAGTTTGACGTTCTACTGTTCTATCTACATATTTACAACTTTAGTTTCTACCCCTCCTTTTATCATATTATTACATTTAAAAAAAGCCAATGTTGACCCACATTGTGGTGTTAATGAATGAGTTAACTGTGCCTTATTACGAAATTAGATTAATTGAGTACATTTGGGAGAAATATTGACAAGATGGTTACTCTTAAATGTTAAATGTGCCAAACATATCATGTTGTAATACAAGAGATACATGTTATGCCACCTTTGTCAATTCTGTAATTACATGACAATGGCAGCAACGGTTGTAATGTATACATGTATTCACACGTGATTTGTTATATTTGTGAATTAGAGAAGGAAGCAAACGACGCAAACACGTCATGGTTCATAATATATACTGAAAGGGAAAAGAAACGTCTCCATGGATAGATATATGAGAAACCTTATTTGTTCAAACACTGTAAACATACTTTGAGACATATTAAAAAGATGGGACTTGGCAAAACTGATCATCAAGATTGAAATTAGAGTGTCAAATGTTCTTCAAGCGAAACATAACACTAGTCTCTAAGAAAATGGCATCACAAGTCAGTATCTCGTGTGTCCGCCATGTGCATTGATGACTGCTTTGCAACGTCGATACATGACCAAAACTGATAAACTGCAACGTCGATACATGGAATAGATGAAGGTCATAGGCACTTGAGCCCACACTCTGAGGAACGCCTGACGCATTTCAGATGCAATTGTCGGCCTTGGTCGGACGTCATTCAGCCGGCTTTGAATCTCGTCCCAAAGGTGCTCAGTGGGATTTAAATCGGGACTGAGGGTAGGCCACTGCATGGTTCTGATGCCATTCTGCTGGAGGAAATCTCTTATTGCTCTCGCAGTGTGGGCACGGGCGTTCTCATGCTGAAACTCGTGGTTGCGGCGACGTGTCAAATGAGGTATGGCGTGTGGTCTCAAGACTTAATCAATGTACCGAGCTGCTGTGACACCATTGCCTCGTCGACGCACGATGTCCGCACTGATGTGTCGCTGGTGTGTCCCCATGATCTGTCGAGCAGTTTCCGCAGCAGTAAAAGGGCTGATCGCTGTCTCCAAATCTGACGATCCTGACGTCGGTGGTGACCCTTGGTCTTCTAAAACGTGGTCGGTCATCTGTGGTGTTGGTGGTCTGGTACCTGCCGGGCGGTTTGTCCAGCTTGCAATCGTTCAAGGTCTTGGTATCGCTGATTTCTTGTCAATCTTAACGAATGAATGTTATCCGATCTTGGTGGATTTTTATAGGGCAAGAAATGGGGGAACACATGTACATTTGCACGGAACCCACCTGCATCGGGTTACCATGGCCGTTGCCGTGATGCGTTTGGGCGATCTGTTTTATTATTCTATTTTTTAATTTTTCCGGACAAGGTAATGTTAAATTTAAGAAAAGTTGAGAAAATTACCCAGATATTTTAATGACAACTTTTCATGCAATGTTACTTGAGGTGACGTTTCTTTTACGGTTCAGTATATATTCATTTGGTACAGACAAAAGTACCCGATTCCTGGTGTGTGTTTTCAAAAACTAATTTAAACATACACGGGTGTCGTTCTGACTGCAGGAAAGTGTATGAAACGACACAATCATGGAGTCAGAATAGAACTCAAACAGCTTTGCATTATTACAGTTCGCACGCGTAACTTACAGATGCAAATCTGGTTGGCAGTGATGAACCGTCAGCGCCCACAGTCCCAGGAACACAGATGGCACTGAATATAAACCATCTTGATTATACACAGATACATACATCGGTGCACTAACTGTGTGTGACTCATTCAGTCTTTCAAATGTTGATATGAACACAAGAGGTATATGAAAAAGCAAGAAACATACATTTGGAAGCTGCAGTAGTAAGGTGTATGTTGAAGATAATTTAACAAATTTAATAGAGGTTTTTGGAGAGAGAAGAATCGCCTTTGTCCATCTGGATGTAAAATATACCTTCGTGTCATGCTTATCAATAGCATATTTGATGTATTGTGGACACCAAAGAGGGATTGAAACTACTTACTGAAAAGCCTCTCCAGGTTTCATGCCAATTTCACTAAACTTTTTACTATTGTCGAGTGTCTTGGTAATATTGTCAGCAGCTGAAACAAAGTGCATTGGTGTATTGAATGTCAGACATAATATATCAGCTGCATTCATATATCATTTAAATGTGTGTGTTTTTAGACAGTATGTTGATCATTGATAAACACTTATTAAAGTCATCTTATATGGCACATCGCCTACTTACACCAAAAAGTCATAAATAAGTAATTAGAGTTTGGGGTTCAAATAATAATCATTTGAGAAAACAAACACATCTGTACGTAATATTGTTGTTACACATACCAACCACATACGCCTCATTTGTAGATACACCATTATCAGCGTGGCAGATATATATTCCTTCATATTGTTGAATATTTGTCTTGTTGACGCCTGTCAGGAGCATCTCCCCGTCTCCAAAATCTACAATTGATGGGTCGGTAGACAGGTCCAGTCGTCCGCCGTATTTGCTCCAAGTAAATTTAGGAGGCGGTTGAACTTTAGTTTTACACAACAACTGTGTAACACTGTCAGGCTCCAGGACCACTACTGGCTTCTCCACAGAAATTGTTATCGGCTCTAGAATCAAATGCAAACCAATTTACACGTATCAATATTTCACAATGATATGTAATTAAGCTGCAAGGCATTTGCATGTTTAAATATTCTGATCATGTAGCTGGATGTTCTTGGCAAGAACAAACTTATCCATGACAAAACGCATCAGCCTGACACGCATGTCTGTATACATGTATCTCAATAATTCATGATCATGAGGGGACTCACAGGGGTTACTGTTGACTTCTCAAAAGTAGGTATTTTCGGCGCTTAAATCAAATGAACCAGACATGGCATATTTTCTATGGTGAAAACGTCAGCTATACCCATATACAAAGATTACAATGACGGTTGATCAGGTTATTGGCCTCTGCTAGCTTTCACTATCTGTGGATAATTTCAAAGAAATACAAGTACAACATTCCCGGAAATAACTAACATCGACATTTTTTTACATTGATAACTCAATAACACTCTCAACTATGAAAACAAATAATGTTTATCAACATTTTGATGTCACTTAAAATTATGTAATACACTCATATATGTGTACCCTAAACCAACTATGAGACGTCATTTTCTGACGCAGTAATACAATGGATGATGCCTAGTTCATCAGTGACAATTAAAGCCGACAGGTGAGCAGAATACTACAAAATAATCAACAAAATGGAATGCGTTTTTCAGGTATATATGCACCATGTTGCAAGGCTGAATTACATGTCTATCAAATTGGAAAATATACTTACCATGTAAAGTATTAAGGTGAAGTAAGAAGTCAACAAATCAGATTTCATCACAAAGTCTCATTAAGATTACAAACAACTCTTTAGATTCACGACTTACTGTTTATCTTTACATGTATTGTTCCATTAGCCACACCGACTGAGTTCTCAGCCACACAGGTGTAGTCGCCAGTGTTGTCGTTAGTTACGTACGCAAGGCTTAAGTTGTTTCCATCAGGCTTGGCATTGTAAATATCCTGTTGAAGAAAATTAGATAATCGTTACCATAATAATAAAACACGTAAAACAACGATTGCGATACAAACCTTCATCTCGCTTGTTAATGTTAGGGAAATTGCCTTTAATGATGGTATTCAATATCAGAAAAATAACCCCTAAAACGCAAAAAGGGGTAATAATAAAACAAGTAAAAAGGATTGAAACCTTAAAGAAATATTCCTTCAAGTAACTGAATGTGACTTTCATACATACACCCTGCATACCTGTATGGGAAGAGTTGGATAACTAATAATTCAAAAGTATAACACGTCAAAACAGCACTGGGATGCATACCTTCATCTCGTTTACTAATGTGACAGGAATTGCCTTGATAATGTTATTATTTTGTAGAATAAGATAATTTTACAACAGCAAAGATTGAAAACTAATAGAAATATCCCTTCGAGTCATTGAAAGAGTCTTTTGCCCATCAATTGGACATACATAAACACTGCATACCTGTGTGTTATAGTACCACGTGACACTTGGCTGCGGCACTCCTGTGACATCACATGACAGGATGACGTTTTCCCCGAAAAATGCATTGACGTTCTGACTGGGATTTGAAATGCTTGGTGCAACTGAAGGCAAAGTAACAATACAAATTATATGTCAGCACCATAATAATCGTCCTAAAGGTATTACGTTAAATGTGATGATTCAATTGTGTCATATTGAGTGATGGAATATATGTATTCACTTCTAGACAACTCACCTCTTGGTATTGTTGTAGTGATCGTTGTTCCTTCAGTCGTTGGGGGTTCTTGTTTGTAGGTCCCTGGTATGGCTGAAGACCGACCAGGCAAAAGCAGAGAGGAGGAAGGGGAGATTATGTCTGACAGCAACGCGGATGCTGAGGGTAAATTAGTAATAGCCGTTGATAGGAGGCTGGAAGTGACAGCAGCAGGGAGCGACACCCGGCTGGATGTTGGTGTTGGGAGGAAAGATGTAAAAGAGATTGATCCCGATGGAGATACTGCTGGATGTGAAGATAACATTTGATTCACTGAGCTTTGTGAGGGAAAAAGATAGGCCGCTGACGACACACTAGAAGCAGGAACAGACAATGAGATGGTGGTTGATGAACTGGGCAAGGATTCAGATGCTGACTCTCCTCTCGAGGGGGCATAAGTACTTGCACTTGCCTCTGGTGACGATATCCTGCTGTTAGAAACGGAGGTCATTGCTAATAAAGTTGATGGGGAATTCGACCCCATTCCAGATGATGACACTCCCTTTGAGGAAGCATAAGTACCTGCACTTGCCTCTGGTGACGATATTATGCTAGTAGGAACGGAGGTCATTTCTAATGCTGGTGATGATGAACTTGATGCCATCCCAGAGGATGACACACCCTTTGAGGAAGCAGAAGTAACTACACTTGCCTGTGATAAATATATACTGGAAGGAATAGAGGTAATTGCTGATGTAGGTGATATTGAACTTGGTGCCATCCTAGATGACAACACTCCCCTTGAGGAAGCATAGGTACCCGCACTTACCTCTGATGACGACATCATGCCGGTAGGAACGGAGGTCATTTCTAAAACAAGTGACGTTGAACTTGATGCCATCCCAGATGATGACACACCCTTTGAGGAAGCACTAGTACCTGCGCTTGCCTCTGGTGACGATATTATGCTAGTAGGAACGGAGGTCATTTCTAATGCTGGTGATGATGAACTTGATGCCATCCCAGATGACGACACTCCCCTTGAGGAAGAATAAGAACCAGCACTTGCCTCTGATGAAGATATAATGGTGGAAGGAGGAGGGGTCATGGCTAAATTAGGTGATGGGGAATTCGACCTCATTACAGATGACGACACACCTTTTGAGGAAGCATAAGTACCCGCACTTACCTTTGATGACGATATCATGCCGGTAGGAACGGAGGTCATTTCTAAAACAAGTGACGTTGAACTGGATGCCATCCCAGATGATGACACTCCCCTTGAGGAAACACTAGTACCTGCGCTTGCCTCTGGTGACGATATTATGCTAGTAGGAACGGAGGTCATTTCTAATGCTGGTGATGATGAACTTGATGCCATCCCAGATGACGACACTCCCCTTGAGGAAGCATAGGTACCCGCACTTGCCTCTGATGACGATATCATGCTGGTAGGAACGGAGGTCATGGCTAATGTAGGTGATGGGGAATTCGACCGCATTCCAGATGATGACACACCCTCGGAGGAAGAATAAGAACCTGCACTTGCTTCTGATGGAGATATCATGGTGGAAGGTAGAGAGGTCATTGCTAATGTAGGTGATGGGGAATTCGACCCTAATACAGATGACGGCACACCCTTTGAGGAAGCATAAGTACCCGTACTTACCTCTGATGACGATATCATGCCGGTAGGAACGTAGGTCATTTCTAAAACAAGTGACGATGAACTGGATGCCATCCCAGATGATGACACACCCCGTGAGGAAGCATAAGTACCTGCACTTGCCTCTGATGAAGATATCATGGTGGATGGAAGAGAGGTCATTGCCACGGTTTGTGATGATGAGTATGGCAAAGATTCAGATGACGACATTGATGATGACACGCCCCTTGAAGAAGCATATGCACCTGTACTTGTCTCTGGTGACGATATCATGCGGGTAGGAACGGAGGTCATTTCTAAACCAGGTGATGGGGAATTCGACTCCATTCCAGATGACGACACACCCCTTGAGGAAGCATAGGTACCTGCACTTGCCTTTGATGAAGCCAAAGTAGGTGATAGAGAACTCGACATCATCCCTGATGACGCTCCTTTTGAGGAAGCAGTAGTACCTGCACTGGCCTCTGATGATATAATACTAGAAGGAAGAGAGACCATTGCAACAGTGTCTGATGATGGGTATGGCAAAGTTTCAGATGACAACATCGATGACACAGCCTTTGAGGAAGCATAAGTACCTGGACTGGGCTGTGATGAAGATATCATATTGGATTGAAGAGAGGTCATTGCCAAAGTAGGTGATGGTGAACTCGACGTCATCCAAGATGTCGCGCCTTTTGAGGAAGTAGAAGCACCTGCACTGGCCTCTGATGATATTATACTTGAAGGAAGAGAGGTAATTGCCACAGTTTGGGATGAGGAGAAGGATAACTCTTCAGAGGATGACATGTCCTTTGAGGAAGCATAAGTACCCCCACTTGGCATGGATGGTGATGTAAGGCTAGATGGAAAGGATGTCATTAGCATGGTATGTGATGATGATTCAGGTGCTGTCAGTGATGGCGGCAGAAACAGGCTTTGTGAGGATGACGTTACAGCCTCAGATGAGTGTGACATGATCACGTTGTTTGATGGGGCAAGTAGGGAAGCCAAGGGGACATGTGTAGCATAGGAGGCGGACGTGGCCATTATCGACATCGTATGGCTGAAAGCTGTTATCAAAGATTCTATACTCTGGATATTTGACATGGTGGAGGGTTGCATAGAAAGAGACTGTGACAGCATGGTGGGCAGTGTTGATGTAACTTGCACACTTGAGTTCACAGATGTGGACGGTGTCGTGATTGCCGCAGACGTGTTAACTTGCCCAAGGTCCACTGGAAAAATGAAACTTTGTGTCAGTACTCGAAATTACCATTTAATAATGTTCATAAACATTCAGCAGTTACTCAGAATATTTTGTTTTTGTTCATAGTGTACCGTGATATCGTAAATCGTAAAGTGATCTAAAGAATAAATTTAATGTGTGTTTTAATATTAATTTGAATTTCATATAAAAGTAGCATTCAACATTACCACTGAGAGATCCATTGAGAAACTGCGCCTTGCCGTCAGGCCTAAACATAGCATTTGATATCATTCGTTGATTGAAAACGTTGTGGTAAAACGGATTTGTTATGTATAGCGTAATAATTGGTCGAAAACAGCGAATATGAAATATATATAATCGACTCTTGAATAGAAGTTGAACGGTTGATAGAAAAAAACAGCAATTACATTAATAAAACAAAACAGTAAGCACCATGATTAATTTTCCGCTCAAACATGTAAAGCAACATTTTATTATATTAATCTGGGGATGCACACTAGGTCATGAGATAGATTAAATATAGCAAAGACCTCCATACCGTATAAGCCACGTGACAAGGCCTGGATTTGTGTCAATAATACCCACTTTCCTGGCTGAAGTACATACAACCTCATCCTAAAAGTTAAACAAAGTAAATGTTATTATTCATACAACCATTGCGATGGGTATCATTATTTTTCTATAAAATTACAGCGTGAATACAAATTGTAGGATATATCACAAGGCAGATGCGTATGCTATGAAAGGGGCTTTAATATATATAAATGTTGCCATATCGTGTCCATTGAAATAGAAGAAGCACACAAAAAGAAGTAAACTTCAAATTAGTTGGTACATAATACAGTAGGGATTTTGTGCCAGGGAATAGTTTGTCTTACAGAATGTCCATCAGGAGTCATGCAGGCATTGACAGTGTTTTATCTTACGAGGTTAAACTCGTGGGTAATGGAAGATCCATCTGGTCCCGTGAGGCCTGGTGGACACATTGCACTGAAACAGATAAAAGGAAATGCTAATTGACTCTTCACCTGTATGCTGTATATCATTCAAATTGAATGACACATGAACAATATGATTGTCAGTGTTTTAAATAGTATACACATAAGGTTGTACTTGAGATTCAAGAAAATATTGTCAACTGAAACTTATGTTCAAGTAATGAAAACATTGCGGCGTAAATAAAACACCATTTGTAAGTGCCCAATCACAGATCACAGCACAATCACAGTACATATAATATTCCACGCCAAAACGTTTATCGTTTAATGAATGGCAAACGTGTCAACTAATCGAAATTGTTTTCTCTAAGTAAAGATGCATCTCTATAGTTATATATCACTTAATTGGTCGTTTAGAAATAGGTTCAACTTACCTATTTGACAAAATCACGCCATCAGTGTGCTTGGAAGACAAGCACTACGCATGTGGTTGGAAAATATAATGTTCTCCGTTTGTGTTATCTTGCTAAAAGTTTGGTCAATGAGACGTTTTCGTCAGTGTAATGACAGCATAATCACCCTGGTTTAATTATCAAAATACGAACAGGAGATAAAAACAGCTTCAATATATATGGGGTAGCAACATGGCGGTTACATAATATGTTTTAATGAATGTGTGTCATCCTTGAGCTCGAGGCAAATGTGCTGGATATGCATTCCGAAGACTTGATCAGCAAATGCATTAGGAAAGCCAAAAACTACGAGTTACAAGACGTGTTCCATACTCGTGAAACCCTCGAGCAGTGTGTGGAACTGACAAACCAAGATTCATAATCAGTACGAATCTGGGATACAAACCAAAGACCTGCAAATCTAGGCGCGATGCAATTCCCTACAGCAAATTGCCACACCTTTTCTCGGGTAGTGTGACCAGTAGATACAGACACTTTCGTGAACGAGTCCAGCATCAATGTGTCATTGTTGCCCACTTACTGGAATGCTTTCAATGGTGTGGTGCTGATGTTGTTGAATGGTACGTGTCCATCGACTGGCGTTGTCACATTGATCGCAACTGAACATACAGAAAACAGTCAGAACGACATCATCACATTTACATGTTGCCGTTAACCTGCATCTTATACTCAAATTACATTTATGAACATTTTCAGTGTCCATGTTAATACACGAGGTGGTGCTTTAAATCTTTATATTAATCTGGTACAATAGTTTATTTTCGGGAAGAAACAATGGTTTAACTATTAGTTCTTACCTATCTGATAGGCTGAAGCTGAGGTGTGCCCATTTGTAGCGTTACAGACATAGACACCATCATACTTTAGCAAGTTGGCCTCTGTGATCCCCATGATCAGTATCTCGGCAGGACCCGAGTGAAGATATGACTTATCAGCGCTGATGTCTTCGCCATATTTATTCAAGGTAACGGAAGGTGGAGGAATCCCTTCTCCCACGCATTTCAGCCTAGCAATCCTCATTCCAGGGCTAATGACCACAATGGGAGGCTCCCCTTTCACAGAAACTGGCTCTGAAACATTACATTAAAACCACCGTCAATCGACGTCAATATATCAACTGACTTTATTAATATCACTATTGAATCCATTTTCTATAAGTTGTCAGTCACAATCAATGTCATAACAACTTTTATTAAGCGAACTTCCCACCTTTCAGCAAGCATCATTATAAGAATCATACAGCTGAATAGATGATAGTCTTTGTGGGTGGTTTGATGCTTCCAATAAGTATTGAATTGAGTTACTGATGAAGCTATATATGTTTGCTTTTTCGAGAGCACATGCATTCATGCATTCATGTGTCATACATTGACATCCGATGGCCTGATTGCTTTTACCCCCATGTAGAAATAGTAAGTCAGGCACCTGTGACATGCACATGGACAATGGCCTCTTTTATCCCTTGTGAGTTGTTTGCGACGCATTTGTATATTCCTTCGTTTTGCTTCACAATGGACGATATCGCCAGTGTTGATTCCTTGGGATGGGCATTTGGGCTCACCTGTAGATAAGGGAATTATTATGACGTTCACTGTTTTATACATATGAGAGGTCAATCATAAGGATATATATCTTCACTATTCTGGCGAAAGTATTTCGAGTATTTCAAATTATATCATTCTTTCACGCACGTTATTTTCCTCTCATATCTCGTGCATACATCTTTATAAATTAAGAGGGTGAGTGAGTGAGTGAGTTAAGATTTAACGTCACATCGGCAGTATTCCAGCCATATCGTAAATTAAGAGGGAGGATATTGGCTGCATTTCATTACGGTATACCATTCGGCAATATACCATACATTCAGTCGAGGTAGTGTTTTCAAGGATGTTGCTTCATTGTGTATGCAAAGACAAAGCTGATGTTTAGAAGGGTATGGATGAAGATTGACTGTCGGGGTTTACGAGTGACACTGCATTTGTATTGTGTCATAAATTCACCATTAGTCACATCCAATGATTAGGCAGACACAGAATATATTTTGTATTTGATCCTACCGATTTATCATATTCCCAGGTGACGGATGGGGTCGGGTTTCCGCTCACGTTACAGAACAGAAGAACCGTTTCTCCAAGGATGGCGTTCACAGTCTGGTTTGTGTTTGATATATCAGGGGCAACTAAAGAAGAAAAGATCATGCCTGCATTCTATGCCACATTGTCTCGTCTTACTGATGTAGATATGAATCAACTGGCACAGTAGTTCTAGATTATAGGATGTTTGTATCAATGTAATGATTGTATTTTGCAAATGTAATACTGAAATCTGAACCGCAGATGCTGTGTAAACAGCGCACCTTTTCAATGTACCTGTGCTGCATTAATATCTTATGAAATTCTGATTTTGTCTGGAATTCTATATTTAATCAGACATCAAGGAAACATAAGGAGAATGACAACCAAGGAATCCACAAGGGCACATCAGTTAGTGCCATAGTACTAAATATACAGAATAGGATGAGCGATATGATTGCTATAAAAAAATAAAAAATATGCACAAGAAATGTTCTCCTCGTATGCAAGATGAATGACGCGATTATTAGGGCAACGTATGTCAACGCCAAGGTCGTCTGCGAACCACGGTATACGGCATGCATACTACAAAATACATGCGTTGCATAAAAAATTCACAATGACAAATGCAGAATATGCTGAGGAATCAGCAAACAATGGAGAAACAAATGACAATACGTTTTTCATAGCGGTCATTTGTTTTATCAAGACGGATCTATGTGAGCACAATAGAAACACTGATTGGACCGTATACTGAAATTATCCCAAGGGTATAAGAAATTGAGAAACGCATTATAACTCGAAAAACGAGGTTATTTGAGAGTCTTTGATATTCAGTGTTCCAAATCGTCACAGTACTTAAAACGTCATGATACATGCAGCAATGACTGAGAAAGGGGCAAACATGACATTTGTTTGCTGCTCTGGCGGTAATTTTCTAAATCGGATCTGAATTCTATGAGAGTGAGTGAGTGAGTTTGGGTTAAAGCCGCTTTTTTTGCAGTTTTACAGTTATATCGCGGCGTGTCAGCTTAAATTGGGAGGAAAGCCCGAAGTGATGCAGGTTTCAGACGTTAACCACGTCGGTGAAACCCACGAGGTGCTGACAAACCTGGAAACATAATCGGGGCGAACCCGGATTCGAACACACAATCATAGGTGTCTGCACAGCGAATCGCATAAAGAGGCCTTTGATGGAGGTGACATCGAACATGTAAAAGTTAACAATGGAAGGACCGATATACGTTCAGACCACGACAACGCACCCCATCAGATGCTCACTTGACTTATGTCAGGAGAGCTGAACACTTAGAAGCATGATGAGGACATACTGAGGGGTAGAGAAGAAGTTGCTGTTGAAGACGCTAGGGAAGATGCGATTGTTGACGTCAGAGGGATTGAAGTGGTACTTAATTGTTTAAGGTCCACTGAAAATCAAACAGAAATTAACGTTTCATATAATTACACACTATGGAATCACATGGTAATATGGAAAGTTAACAATTCCTTATTTATATTTTTATTACCAGGTCAGGAGGATTTATAATAATTTCGTCTTTGATCATGTTGTACTTTAAGGTTATTCCTCTCTATATCACTTGTTTATGAAACACGTTTGACGTTGTAAATTTTATTGTAGAGACTTACCCGTCATGGAGCCATTTAAGAACAGTGCTTTGCCATTAGGTCTAAACATAAGAATTCGATTAGTAGAAAGCTGTTCAACTTCCATAATCTAATCTACTGTATATGTGTTTTATTTGTTATCATCATAGTTGTTGGCAAACAAGCAACATTATGATCAATATGTTTATGCTACACAAAATGCACAGAAAAAGCAGCATACCTGATAAGCCACGTGACCGAGCCAGCATCTGTATCAATAAGACCAACTTTCCTTGCTGAAGTACATACTGGCTCACCCTATACCAACATATAAGAAGAGAGTCATTTTTTAAATAGCACATGTACGATAGAACAAATTTGTTCTTTAAATTAAAAACAAATTGCACTTTTTTACAATTCAAGTGTTAAAATGATTGATTTATCCAAAATGAATGTGGAACAATATTCCATAATTAACCGGTAAACGTTGGGCAGATCAGTTCCATGTATGCTGGTGCGTGTGTAATATTCCTGTTCCATCTCTGTTAATGTTATGTTTGTTTATGTCTATGCAATATTACAGTTTTTGAAAAGATTGTAATATTGGCTCGACACATATAAAGATTGTGTCCATACTTTGCCTTTCCGGACATTATTGAAGAATCATGTATGTATATTTTAAATTAATTAAATCAATTCGAAGACATTCTCTGATCATGAACTCTATTGCTTCGTTGTCATATTAGAGTTCGAGCTACAAATTGGCAAAACCGTTACCAGTCGTGATCGTCAGTGTTACAACAAAGGCACTCATGATTGGTAGCTTCTGGATTTGACACCCAGAATCACAATGGTAAATGGTCTTCATCTGTAGCGTTCCCGGGGATTGTCGCTCACATGTCAAGTTGTGGAACGTTATTCTAAACTTCTTCCCCAAGTTACCACAACTTACAGAGTTAAGAGATTTTGCGTATTAAGAGTCAAATCAACATTTTACCAGATCAAACTCAGTGGTGATGGGAGATGAATCCGGCTGTGTGCTTCCAGGTGGACAAAGGGCACTGAAATCGACAAATAATATTTTTTTCACAAGAATAAATACACATTTAACAATATGGAGTTATCAAATAATCAAGGTTTGAGGGCCATTGGTTGCATCCAGTAGGCGTGCAAAAAAACTATGGTCTTGGGTTCGAATCCCGATTCGCCCTGATTTTGTTTCTGGGTATGTCAGCACCATAACCGTGCTAGTGGGCATCAACGATCTGCGTTACTTCGGGCTTCCCTCCCATATCAAGCTGACCCGTCGTAACAAAACTGAAATACATTTCAAGGCAGAGTTAAACTCACTCATCATGTTATGCCTAAACAAATCATGAACAAATGTTACTGACCAATCACCCTTCTTGGACTTCACATAATGTAGTACTGCATAAATGGATTGGAACATAAAGGTTTAGTGTGTTGAGATATGTCTACACACAATCTAGATGAACTGAGCGATGGAATCACACAGTTTTTTACGTACTGAAATGCTTTCAATGGCGTGGTGCTGATATTATTAAATGGAACATTTTCTGCTAGCATCCTCGTTACATTGCCAGCAACTGAAACATCAACGTTATTATTATTTAAACTTAAGTCATATTCGGTTGATTGGTTATTTTACGCCGCAGTCAACACTATTCTGGTTACATAATGGCGGTCAGTAAGTAATCAAATCTGATCACAATCCGTGATGACAAGTAATTTAGTACGTTTGGGACGAATTCTCAAGCTGGTGTACAAAAACATATTCATTGCGCTGGATAAACTTAATTATTGAAGTGGCTCATATTTTGTGTTATCGAAAAGTTCAATTGGCTCGAAGGAAAACATGGCATATGATACAATAGTTTATTGACTGGAAGAAACACTTGTTTAACAATCGTCCAATCAACTCCGCTTTTGGCAGAGATTTCTAATAACTGCCGAGGAGTTTTATCGCATTTATTTACCAATCTGATAGGCTGAAGCTGACGTGTGCCCATTTGTAGCATTACAGACATAGACACCATCATACTTCAGCACGTTGGCCTCTGTGATCCCCATGATCAGTATCTCGGCAGGACGAAGGTGTGCATACGACTTATCAGCGGTGATGTCTTCGCCATATTTACTCAAGGTAACGGAAGGTGGAGGAATCCCTTCTCCCACGCATTTCAGCCTAACAATCCTCATTCCAGGGTTGATGACGACAATGGGAGGCTCCCCTTTCACAGTAACTGGCTCTGTTGTGAAACATATAACTTGAACCATAAATTGAAATCGTATTTAACCAAATCAATATTAACATGCATCATAGATAAAATACCCATCGACATAGGAAGCACAGTGGGTAATCTGTTCCGATAGATATGTTTAAATTTCTTGCAGTTTATGATTATTAAGTCACTGGAATAACTCACTGAGGTCAACCCACTACACCTGATGAAGGCGTCATAAGTAGCTAAGAATAGAAGACGTTGCCATCCATAAAAAGTGTCACGTATTCATGTAATTCCAACTTCTAATGCCTTTCAAAGACTTTATTAAGATATGATCATTAAACATGTTAAATAAGATAAATAAAAAATACAATTAACCAACGTGTGAACCAATATTAATTGCAGTTGCCACATGTGTACATATGTGATGCACTAAGTATATACATGACTAGAAACAAAACAAAAATGTCCTATGACACCTATAACATGCAGATGGACAATGCCCTCCTTGGATCCAAGAGTGTTGTTAGCGACACATCTGTATATTCCCTCGTTTTTCTCGTTTGCGGACGATATCGCCAACGTTGATCCCTTCGGGTGGGCATTTGGGTTCCCCTGTTGAGATGTGAAATAGGATGACTTATATAATTTTAATTTTGCTTTCAACTGAACATGTACGTGTGACAATAAGATACACCTTCAAGTATACAAAGACAAACTTTTGTTTCTTGTTCAGTTGTTTACATACGTAAAGAACGCCACAAACATGTTCCTGCTCCATATCGGTTGGCTGTATATAACCTAAACATATTAGTTATCCATATAAAAAGAATCCATATTTTGGTGACATGATGACAATCAATTATATATTAATACAGCTTCATCAAATATGTACTTTGAAATTTGACTGGTCTGTTGGTAGAAATGTAACGCTTTAAAATTTGACGATTACGCCGGTTGTGTCACAACAGATGCTATAAATGCAAGTATCTGCTGCGCAATTATTACAATACCACCAATGGGAGCATGATTTACGCAAGTTTGAGTTGAACCTTATGCCAGGATTGGTCATGTGATATCACAGTGGTTATATCCCTTTCAGTATCATCAGTATCCAGGTGGAAGTTGGGAATAGATAACTTCAAGCAATCTTTGAATCACGCCTAAATTGAGAACCATGTTCTGTTCATATCAGCTCAGAAATATACTTCATCACATTTGCAGTGTCACGGTCATCAAGTGACCCTACATCCAGTCCAAAAGGGAATGGTATGTTTACAACAATTGTACATGTGACTTTACAAACATAAACGGATTCTCTCGCACTCACTCACCAAACCAAAACCCATCAACCCACTCACTTTCATCTTATTTTACGACATGAAGCAAATGCCCGCCATCATTCCAACCACTATTATTAAAACTAGTATGTATCAATCTGTACTGTGTTCACAAGACTATAAAAAAGTTAACTAGGTTGAGATCGTTCAGTGACTCCCTACCTGTTTATCATATGTCCATGTGACCGATGGCTCAGGGTTGCCGGTTACATTACACAACAGAAGAACAGTTTTTCCCGCGATGACGTTTACAGTCTGGTTCCTGTTCAATATGTCAGGGGCCACTGAAACACACATGCATCGTTTCAAGATGGATACGATATTTACATGATGGCAACATGTCTTACATGCCTCTCTGGCAGAAGTACAGAATGACTAACACGCATATTATTAGTTCATATTCTGCGTCTTTGTCATACATTATCATACATTATGCGCAGAATATTTGGACGCGTTTGTATTTAAAATGAAAACAAGATTTGTTATTCACATATATAACTATGTGTAGACGGACAGATATGTATTATAGATAATTTGTAATAAATATCGACCTATCTATGAATACGTCTCTCCTTTTGATTTTAGATTCAAACGCTTACCATTATATACTGGACGATTAGGAGTAGAACAGACACAATGTTTAATATATGAACATATTTACAGTTACACGAAAGTAATTACAGGACCGCCTCGGCCAAAGGTGTTACAAGATGGCACTTGTGTTACCCTGCATAGTGCTCGGCCAAAAAATTGATAAAACAAAAACTGGTCGGACTCGGAGTCAATATGCTGTTTTTGCGTTGGTTATCCATGTTAAACTGCGGTATTTATCTCAGTGGGCTAAGGTTAAAAACCGACATTAGTCTGGGATAGTACAAGCACACACACACACACACACACACACACACACACACACACACACACACACACACACACACACACACACACACACACACACACACACACACACACACACACACACACACACGGAAATGCAAGTACAATGATCTTGAACGCGATTTCACTCACCTTGTTTACAAGTATGCAAATTAACAAGAGACAATAGACAAACATGACTTACTAGTGGGAAGATAAGAAGAGGTTGCTGATGGCGTTGATGTGTCAGGAGATGAAGGAGTGGTAACTGATGGTACTGTACTGCCAGTAACGGGGTTGACGTTAGCGTTACAGCGATCTTCATTACAACAGCGGAACCCTGCTTCACCCAAAGTCGTCATGTGGCCTAAACACTCCTGGTAAATATGCACACATGGTGTAACTGCAGTGTGTGTGATTATTAAAATATGCTAGCCACATATGTATCAGAAATAGTAAATAGCTGAAGAGATCAATGTTCTGTCCGTATGATAAAGGAATGATGTAAATTCTTGACATTTCAGACAGAATGACGTTCCCATTTTTGCGCAAATAAAATATTCAGTCACGTTTCACATATTCACATTCGTTATTTCCTGAAAATATCCTCAAACGACGTATTTCAGAAGTGATCACTCACCGTTTTCTCTTCACATCCAAGATCAAAGAAGGTAATTCCAAATCTGAAGACTTTTCGAACTGAGCAATACTGTCAAGGAGAAATATGAGGGTCTATTAGCATTTGCGATGTAATAAAAATAAAGCCTGACCCTGAAAAGAGAAGGTTTGTAATTATCACTAAGTCACTAATGTAACGTTGCACATGGGACATGCATTTGCTCCGTGTAGTGGATCGGGTATCATTCTTGATTTTGACACATCCGTGAAAGGTATTCCTCGCTGCAATGCAGTATTTAGGATCAGATTGCGAATGTGTTGTCTACAACAAGATAATCTCATAAGGGCTATTGGCATGATTCATGTTTCATTGGTAGAACGCAGGGAGAGGTAGTCAATATACTCAATGTTGAATATGTTTCTGCAATGTTAATTATGGGCTCCACACAGGGCGACAAAGGTTAGTCAAAGAAGTCCGGGATCAATTAATCAGAAACAGGCTTTAAGACATCGAGCGCAAACAGCCAATCACATGGATTGCCACACCATATAAACAAATGTTTGACTAATCGTGGGGCATGACCCATTATTAGTCAAGTCATATCAAACGTTCTCTTTTACTGCACGCCCTTTGTCGTCATTCTGGGTTGTTTCCTCCCTTACAACACACCCCCAGCATGTTCTGTTGATTGTCGTGTTACACCTAGCCCGTCTTCGTCTTGATCCATCAATTACCATCACTCGATACCTCTTTGTATTTCTGCAAACATCTGTTATTTTCTAATATCCCCTACTATGTTGTGAGGTTTTTTCACGATATCGTATTGCATGGTATCCTTGGGACAGCCGAGGATTACAACAAAAGGTCTCGGAATTTGGGTCGTATCGGAAGTACCCGGATGAATACCTTGAAATAGGTCAAATTACCAGTTTCTAGTAAGCAGTCACAGGGGTAATACCCCGAGGGTCTCAAAAATGTATTTGGAACTTGGGGAAACGTTCTGCGCACTCTTCTGCAGGTTTAAATGTATGCACGTTGACTTTTTCTCTACTCTTTATTCCCCTGGACTTTTCTTTTACTTTTTGTCCCATTTGCCCCCCGGCATTTCCTTGACTGTATTGAAAGTACCCAGGGTCTGCTCTTTCCTCGGATAACATACTGGTATAGGTTTTTGAGATCGGTACAATGTATAAGGGGTTACTAATAGACAGTTAAATATCACCGATTCTTTATATTTTTTCTTACCTTCAAATGGCTATGAAGTCATTAATTTGGTGGTTTTGATTTATTTTACCGACACTGCCTAAAGCACATTTCCGAGAGCTTTCCATATATCAGTAATACACGGTATGGTTTCCAAAAGGTGTCACATGGCCAACCCCTTATGTAATATGGGCGGAAATGGCGTTCGATCCCGGTTTGGACATGCAGAGGATATAACTGTGTTTAATGAATTGCATTTTGGATTAAGACTAAGACTAAACTGCATGGAACACCAGAAACCATTAAATCACATTTGGGCTGTGAAGATAGGAAGTTTTGACAATTCGAATTTGAATTAGCATTTTGTTCCTCAGAGAAGCGTCATATATCACTCCGATTATTTCCGTCCCCAATTGTTTGACACACCATATGCATATTATTCTCAGGAAGATGTCTCCCCTCGTCTCTAAGGTGAGAAGAAACTTTTGGCCAAAAGAAACCATTTACTCATATCAAAACATGAGAATGTAACAATGATTTTACAAACTGTGTTCTTCACAGTAGAACTATGCTTACCTGACAATGTAGAGTTTTAGGAACTTGTCACATTAGATTCTGAGCAAAACAATGACTTTTGTTCAAACAATTTGGGGTCAGAGCGTGCTTGCTAAAGTAAATGGACGGTACACGAACGAGTAAAAATATATGATTTTTATTTTAAAATTTCAAACTTGAATGGTTAACTGGATATAGCATTTCTAATACTAATACAAAATAAAAACTATTAAGAAATAACTAGACATACCTGGTCTGGTCCACACTCTGTCTCGCTTGAGCAAAAGGAAGGCTGTTCAACGATCGCGCACTTTTTACATTTTATGTTCCCCCTTCTGAGTGTGGTTGCTGAAAATATCAATATATTTGCATAGTATACATCGATGAGGTAATGATAAAAAAAAGGGTAAAAATGTAGGGGCCATGTGGACAGACTATGTGACTGGTCTCATGCCATCAACCACTAGTTTCTCCTGCATGATATCAATAGCATTGAATGCGGTATTATAGAATGTTCACTCACTCATCCATATTTTACGAAAACACTTGTATGTCACTTGTCCTCGGATCACAAAGAGGGGGTTTGGTATATTACGTCGTTGGAACTAGAACAATGCCTCATTGAGGAATGGCAGCGGACTACCCCCAGCGTCATTCGATGTTTGACGTCGTGGTTGCGTCATCGTGTTCAGGCATGCATTAATGCACAAGAAGCTGGTCATGTTGAATAAGTATTGGGACAATGATATTGTGAAACTTATTAAAAATAGTCTACTCTTTGTTGCGCCATACCCTCTGTATAGCGTTTAAACGTGGCATATTTTCTTTGTGCTTTTAGAGAATGTGTTCATAACGTCACCAGTTTTATACAGCACTTTGCAGGTGCATTTCGTTCCACGTAGTCCAAATCTGTGTGGCAACATGCTCGACATTTTACAAATAAATTGCCAATTGGTCCTTCTTTTTGTCACTGAATACATTTGGTTGTATTCGTGCTTCATATGTAAGTGATAATTTATATTGATTTTATCAAAATAGTGGAAAACATTTTAGTTCGAAAACTTTCTGTGTAACATTTGTTTCATTGATTCTATTGAAATTATCTCATATGCTTCTTCAAATAAAATACTGAAATTGCTACAATTTGATTTACTTGGTGGAAGAGAAGCCGTCTTTGTTGGTGATGCTGATGTTTCAGTAGTTGCAGGAGTTGTAATTGCTGGTGTTGTTCTGCCAGTCACTGGGTTGGCATTAGCGTTACAACGCTCTTCATTACAACAGCGGAACCCTCTTTCGCCCAAAGTCTTCATGTGGCCTACACACTCCTGGTACATGTACATATAGAGGGTAAAAAGATTGTGTGTGATCTTTTAAGATATTGGCCACATATGTATCATAATAGCAAAGAACAGAAGATATCTATGGTTTGTTCGTGGGATAATGTAATGTAGAATTCTGATAGGGCAGGATATGCTTATTAGTACCAATTTCGCAAACACCTGGACTGATTGTTCAGTGACCTATTGATATAATTGTCATGACGCTATTTCACTATTTTTGTCCCCTATGAAATCGGTTTCAGCGTATAATCGAGACTGGTTATTCTCTAGCGTTGGGTTTGATATTTTCTTGAAACGGGTCGAAGTATCTGCTGGTTCACTGAAGTTCCCAAGTTTCATCAAATAAATGTTTTGCCCGTAGCATTAAAACTGCTCCCAGCCCCCACACACCTCCACTGTGTGGCTAAACAACATATTTCTGAAATATTTATCTTTACTTATATGGAGCAGAATCTCTGCACGTGTAAACAGCAAACATAAAATCAATAAATGCGCTTTCAAGTCACTGTCTGGTCCATCACAAGATTGTCTGTTAAATACTTCATTGTTCACAGGCCGCCGTTGTAACAGGAGTATTTTCTGTGTGACTTCAGGCAACAAACAGTCACTTATTTTGTTGGGTGCTACCGGTGCATACCCTTTTCCCAAAATCCTGCTGTCACTGCTATTTGGTCTTACATGCCCAGTGGAATTGTTAGGGCAGATATTTGAGACTGACCATTCTCTGGCGTTGACGTTTTATGATTTACAGAGAAAATGAAATCCTTTTTTTGCTCTTCACGTTTCACATATTCACATGCAGAGCTATGCGTGATGATGGTTCAGATTTTAGGAATAGATCATCATTTACCACAATATTTGGGAAATTATTACTTACCGTCTTCTCTTCACATCCAAGTTCATAGAAGGCCAGTCCAAACCTGAAGACTTCTCGCACTGAGCAATACTGTCAAGAAGAAATATGAGGGTCTGGGTCTTACACCCTTAAAACATTCCTCTTTATCCAAACACCCTGATATATCAGGGTGAAAACACATACATCATTTCCATCATGTAATGATATCGTCAAAAATAGTTTTCAACTATTTGTTTATGAATGTTACATTTTTCCTTAATATTAAGGTTTTTAAACATTAAGGAATAGTGAGTGAGCTTTTAGCAATAGTCCAGCAATATCATGGCTGGGGACACAATAAATGGGCTTCCCACATTGTACCCTGTAGGGAATCGAACCCGGGTCTTCGGCGTGACGAGCAAACGTTTTAACCACTAGGCTACCCGACCGCCCCCATTAAGGAATACACGAGAACATTGAATCGAATATCGCCTGGCACAATTTATAACAGAAATAAACAAGATATGGAAATCTGGTATATATTTCCGAGGGAGCTTTAATATCTCGTATATATCTTACAAGAAACTCCTGGTCATTCGAAACCAATTAGAATATTACAAGGAGTGAGTGAGTTGGGTTTAACTTCGCTTTGCGTATCATGGAGTGCCATCGGGTACGGGTATGGTGCTAACAAATAAACCTAGACACATAATCGGGGTGATCCGGGATCCGAACCCACAATCATAGGTTCCTGGAGCGCCCAAAAGACGACTGGGGCAGCCGTGCTCCCTGCGATAGTTGAAGATAACTATGAGTCGAATTATGGAACACGGGAGGTACACGTTAGTGGAGGAATAAGTGCCACGGACACCCTGTAATGAAATAAGAGTGAAGTAATTCTAAAGTATGTGGTACAGGTTCAAAGGTTCATTATTATCAGCTAAATGAAGCCGAAGATAGACAATATAAGGACCAAGACCCCAATTGACACTGACAATGATCACAGATTAATAAACCATGGACAAATATACAAGCTGGTCAGCTAAGGAACTACATAACAGCTATTACAGACGATAGCTAAAACAACACTCTGACAAGACAGTCGACAATACACAATAGACAGTCAATTAAGCCGGCTGTTATCAATTAACACCTGAGAGTTATTTAACTCAACTCTCGAATGAGTTGAATAACCTCTGCTTGTTCAGGGAGAGGAGAGCACTGAGGGTCTCTCCCTAAAATATGTATATACCAATACGCCTGAACAAAAATATAGCCTAATGGACTTCACTCTCTGAGCAAGGGAATTCTTGACTTCCCGTAAATACAGTTAATCGAACTACAGCCAAGGTACTTGACCTAAACTAGGTAATCCCGGGAAACGCAGTTGTTCACCGATTACTAGAAAAAAGGCTTAAAATATATAAAACCCTAGCCAATAAGCCCATATAATCTGCTTCACAAAAGATGCATACCCATTACCAATTAACAGCGAATATAAAGGGAGAAGTAGCCATACCTGGTCTGGTCCACAGTCTGTCTCGCTCGAGCAAAAGGCTGGCTGTTGGACGAACGCACACTTTTTACATTTTATGTTTCCCGTTCTGATTGTGGTTGCTGAAAATATGAAGAATATGTCATAATAGGCCTCCGTTACATAACAATATGTAGGTTTATATTGATGGCTGGATGGCTAAGGGCGTTCTTCATACTGTGAACCGCCAGCTTCTCTAGTTGTGATATCACCTGGATATAGCTGATTATGGCAAAATAGAATATTTTTTCATTCATTCCTGTCTTGAAAATATATTTGCATGAAACTTGAATCATGAAGTTGGCTAATTTGCTAAGTACATGCCAATATGTAGACACCGATTGTCTAGGGGTTGTGTTTAGAGAGACCTAAAGAGAGGCACCATTCAGTTTTAAAGAATATTATATGAATACCAACTTTGCATGAAATCATTGAATCTTATAGTTTTTAATTTAAATAAATCATAAATGACAGGTCAATTAACACTGGTCTTAGCTAGCATTTAGACGTTGTGCCAAAGTTGATTATAACGTCGGCTAATACTCAATGCGATCACCTTGAACAATAGGTTTGGCAGGGTAATTTGAAGTATTGCCATGAAAAATATTCTTAATCAGAAATAGGTTTTTCAGTATGTATTTTCAAGTTTCAAAACCTGTGTGCATTTCTTTTCACAAATAATTCAAATAGAATTAAAGGAAATTGAATTATCCCAAAATATGCAAAACCGAAAATAATTAAACAATAGTTCGTGTAAATGGCCACACATAATGATGTGAAACATTTCAAATAGTCTTTGCCTTATTTAATTATCACATACATACAGTATTGAGGACATGCTTAACACCAGCAATAGATCCATTACTTTGATCAATTAAAACCATAAGGTGAATAGCACAACAAAATAATGACAATATATACATTTCGTGGTTTCTTTTATTAAATGGCAAATCGAGACACATTGTTTTGGGGATGAGTGCCAGATGAGTTGGAAGAACAAATCACTGGATCATCTTCAAATGTATCCACGGTTTTAACCTCCGTTGTGCCTTGGTCACTGAATTAAAAGAATACAAAAGTATCAAATCGTATGCAGCATTCAAATGTCATTAGGTAAAGCATGACCTGTTATGATGTTTATTTAAACTGAGGGTTGGGGGTAATCAGGGATCTTGTTATATAAAAAATGCCCCTTCTTTCAAGAGACAACGCATTGTATGCCTGGAAATATATGTTATCATTAACAAAGGTATTAAATAACACAGGGATTTGCATTAATACTCTGATACCCTCGGCCCACTGGAGAATACTGTTTGAACATTGACCTATAAATTAATTGAATTTTAAAGAAAACGGAATATAACTATTAATATTTTTTGTGGAAGATGTTTGCATTATTGAACCAGCCAAACTTTTCTTCGGCCACCAGTCTTGTCGGTGTTGAACTTTAAGTAAATACAGAAAGAAAACCTGAAAGAAAAAAACAAAACAAATCACAACAAAGTATAACATTTTCAAATAAATCAGTATCGATAAATCTCATTTACTCATGGTATCATAGGTTTCAGTATTGGCCACTATTTTCATCTTGCAATGGCAACAAACTGCAATTATTCTAAAGCAGTAACTTTAATTTACCTCTCCTCTGTATGGGAAACTCACGATTCAAGTATTAATGAAAAGAAGAGATCGCCTTTGTAGCCCGAGTTTCTAAAAAACACTGATAAATATTTTCACCAAATAACAAATAAACAAAATAATTTAGTGAAAGCAGTCTCGTGTTGAAAGCATGAATGCTGAATATGAATTATGCATTGACCTACCAATACAAAACAAAAATCCCCAATTGCGGAGATCGATGCTCATGATGTCAGTCATTGGATTGTCTAGTCCAGTCTCGATTATTTACAGACCGCCGTGATAAAGGTAGAATATTGCTGAGTGCGGCGTTAAACAATAAACAAACAAACTAGCAAAAGATAAAAATCCTTAAAATTGGGAGAAACCGATGTGAATCTGTGATTATTTGATGTGAAAATAAAATAATAATATGGTATACTTTCACATGTTAATAATAACATTTACATCTTATTATTTTTTGGAAAATTAATAAAATGGATATCGATATTAGATAAAATTAGAAGAAGTCCAAACTCTTCAACCTTGACAACCTAACATTTCATGACCATTTTAAACCTCATTTACTTTGTACAAATCGCACCCTTAGTTTTAACTCACTGCCAGCGGTAGTAAAAAAGTGCAAAATACATACAAATAATTGCAGGCGATTATGCTAGATCTACATTGCATGTTCCGTGATATCTAATCACCTGCTCGGCGCACATCACTCTCCATCTCCTTATCCACATGCTCACGATATATGATACTGGCGGAATCGAATATCTTTTGATCCTTCAGTATTAAAGCCCTTAGTGTGACCACACATTATTCAGCTTCACTAAACACGGCTGTGTTTTAAATTTATAATATATGTTTTTACTCAAGTTATTTCTGCATGAACAATGGTTGTTGTTTCTCGAGTATGGTTTGGATGTGAAGGTTAACATTATACAAACATAATAATTACAAACTTACCGCAATATTCGAGGAAAACATTTCGCAGACGGTCGAGCTAGTGTCTTCTCATATCGCGTCGTCTTCTTGAGGAGAGGAGACGCTGTCAATTTAGAGTTGCGTCCCTTGACTAAACTTCACGAAATGTAACACAAAGGGGACGTTGTAAAAGCGATGGGCCAACCTGAGAAATTTGTCGGCGGCATCGTCAACCAATGCCAACGCCAGAATGCTGGATTGTGCCTATTTTAAATTTAGATGTCTGTCTTAAGCAAGGCTGTATGAAATAAGTTTATTTTGTATTGAGGAACATACTGAAATTGACTCACTAGGGGAAAGGGAAGACGTCTTTGTGCTTCACAACCTCAGGACCAATAACTAATTTGGAATAAACTACAAACAAGGCATATTTTACCTGCTGATTAACACAACAAAGCTCAACTTTGCATATCGACAATCGGTGTTAGTAAAGGTGAGGTACAAAGACATAGGATTTTCAATGCAGTTGAAAAATATTCATTCTTTCAAGAAGACGTTTCATGACATACATTGTTTATGAACCAATGAGAGAATGTTGTTTATCGTCGCACTCACTGTGGTTAAGTTGGTTTAATAGGCAAGCAGTTCAGTTACATAACGGCCACGTACCAGGCTGAGATGTGGTTGTAGCAGGTTGAGTTGGTGCTGGCGTCAGGTGGTTGTTGTTTTCATGGCTGTTACACAAATCATCATTACAGCATATGAAGCCTCCATGAGAGAGTTCATCCACCCCCTTCATGTGTCCGTCACATTCCTGCCAACATTAGACGTCCTCAGAAATACACATATCACTTCATCAGCTGTGTTGTCATGGTCACTTAAGTAAAACAAGTAACCATGAAATGTCACAAAATATGCATAGCCCAATATCACTAACACATTCGGGTAGGAATATAGATCCTCAGCAACCCACGCTTGTCGTAAGACGCGCCAAAATGGACTGCGTTATCAGCCTCGGCGACTTGGTTGATGCATGTCATCGTATCCCAATTGCGTAGATCCATGTTCATGACGTCATTTACTGGATTGTCTGTTCCCTAATCGATTATTTAAAGGCCGCCGTGTGACGTTAAACAACAGACAAGGACAAGTAACAAATATCACATTTTTTATCAGGTTGTATTGTTAGAACATCAGCGCCAACTTCCATGTGTTAGGGCTGGGGAGGGGTGTGTGAGATTTTATCCAAACATTCTGGCTTAATAAATGAAAAAAACTATCATGTGTAAGAGACCGACAATTTCATATCCTTGGGGGAGGGAGTGTGTATGTGTGTGTGTGTGTGTGTGTGTGTGTGTGTGTGTGTGTGTGTGTGTGTGTGTGTGTGTGTGTGTGTGTGTGTCTCAAAATTCTAAATGAAAAAATATGAGGTTAAGTGGCTATAGCTGAAAAATATCTTATTCGATAGAAAATGTCCCCAATCCCCACCCCTCACCACCCAAACCCTTACCCCCTCACCCACCTATCCCCTGCTCCATAGAAGGTATTACAAGTAAGAGCCAGGCAGGATTACTAATATTTTTGTAGTATCGAAACCTGTTTGCCTGTGTTTGTCGAGAACTTTTCAAAATGTGTATCACCCTTTTAGAAGCAAGGGCTACCTTCAGATATTATCTTTTGATGCTAGTTTATGACTTTCTTCTTAATCCCACAGAAGGCCTAAACTGTACACGTCGGGGTTACATGGTGTATATTGTAGATAACTGTGCAGGGTTGGGTTCTCCCAGACCAAGGTAAAGTGTTATTCATATGTATTTATAGGTAACCCAGGTTATAAATGGATTTCTTTCGATCATGCTTTGTGGAAGTTCTTTGACATGTTGTCCATATTCTGTGTCTATTTTATCATGTTTTATCCATACCACAATGTTATCATCTATGCCACGATAAGAACGTAACAAGTACCTGTTCTACAAGTTAACCCACAATCAGTGATAGGGCGCTACTCAATTTGTAATGATGTCAAGTAGCCTTCTATTGATACAGACTTTATCTTTTCAACAGGCTCAGTGTAAATGCATCACATGCACATTAAAGCACCAATGTCAAATACAGTCATATACTTATTATCTGCTGTCCCTAACTACACAGTGACTTTACATTCCGCAGCTTTCCTCCCACTTTAAGCAATAAACAATACCGTTCAAAGCGGCGTTCAAACACAATTCACTCACTCTCACTCACATTCCATAACATGAAATATCACCCTTGAAGATCCGGGGTAGAATAGGTCTTCAGCAACCCATGCTTGCGGCAAAAATGACTATGCGTGTTGTAAGAGGCGACTAACGTGATCGGGTGGTCAGGCTCACTGACTTGGTTGATGCATGTCATTGTATCCCAACTGCGCGGATCGATTCTCATAATGTCAATCACTGGATTGTCTGTCCAGATTCGATTATTTACAGATCGACGTCATATAGCTGGAATATTGCTGAGTGCGGCGTTAAACAACAAACAAACAAATAAGCAAACAAAACATAAAGTATAGTATAACAATAGCATAAACTTCATGATTTACGAAATCGAAACACAGCACACATAGATATACACTGCATAACATAATCCGACATGTACATTAATAAGTTCTAATGAGTTTAAAGGTCATAACAGTTGAAACGATAAATCCCCGATTCCAAGAAAAATGTGAATGATCACCGACACAGATAACCTCATCCACATACGGACTCTACTACTCTGACACAAACCGTGGTCGAGGTATTTATGTACATGTTATATATATAAGGCGGAATTACTCACCGTCTTCTCAAGACAACCGAGGTCATAAAACGTCATTTGAAACCTGCGCCTCTTCCAAATTGAGCAGTACTGAAAGAAAGACTTGTGATGTTCACACTTAAGTCTCTGCAAATACAGGTTTGTTGGTTTGTTACTTACTAAAGAAGTTTTCATTAATATAGTCTGACCTACATTTAAAAAAAATTCTTTGAACGTCATCATCGTTAACAGAGGTAATGCGTTTCGCCTTACAGAATGATGTTATAATAACAGGTACATTGAAAATGGTGGTTAAATGGTGTCCTTGTATTTACCTTATCCTGGCCACACTTGGACACTGTGGAGCACTGGCTGGGATGGAGAACTGCCTCGCACTGCAGACACAGTCGGCTACCTCCCATAGGAACAGCTGCATGGGGGAAGATCGGTGACATGAAAAGGATACACTAGCAACAGGTACGTGTGATCAGACAATGGGGTAGGAAATAGGGGAAATACCGATGGTATGAAGAGGATATACTAGCACCAGATACGCCATGCCATGCAGGTCCATGTTTCAAAACTATGTCATCATTTTCCTAAACATTATGCACTGATATACCAATTGCTTAAATGAGCGAAATCTGGACATGGCCATCTTTAATGTTGTGTTTACTCTTATTCTGAAAAAGGGGTTTTAAGTACCTTTATGAAATCGTCGTACGCGATTTACAATATTAAGTTTCGTTTCAATATAATTTTTATTAAGATGAAATGGAGCGTATACATTTCATACACCTATGGCCCTGATTATAAGGTCCCGGACTATCCAGGTTTGACTGTATATGATTCTGTCACTCACGGAGTCCGCCACACAGCTTGGAGTTGCAGTGGTCGCCGATACAACATTCCTCACACCCGTGCGGGCTGCTCCCGCCTAACACCGACCCTGTACCTTGACATAGCTGTACAAACAAGATGCACAGCAACATGGATATATGCAACATGGTGAAGGAGAAGACAAACATCAAGTGGAAGAGTGGGTGGGTTTGGTTTAACGTTTTACACATTATGCCAGTTATGACGAAGGGTCGGCTTCATGTGGGAGGAAAGCCCGGAGTATGGCATGACTAATACTATTTTTTACAGATTATCTGTCCCGAGTAAATGAATTATGTATTTGCGGGAGACTTTCAACATGGTTCTAGGTGGGATAGATAACGGGTAAGTATTGTGCTGCGGGTAGGTTGTCTAGATTACGTTTGTCTTTTTTTACTGATATCACATGGACAAATGTGGGTTTCGTAATCTCAAGAGGCGACACCAGGTGAATCAAGCAGTTGTTGAACCGACGTGGCATAAAACCAGCTGTAACGGTGGATGACATTATCATTCTTTAAATATTTGTGACAATGCGTTGATATCGAGTAACGTTGCTATGTCCACTTTGCAACGCAAGAACAGTTGGGGTGAACTAGCTGACCAGGACAAATAAACAATGAATGATGAATTAGAATTACACAATAATTTCACCTATATACGTAACCCTGTGGGTATTATATGGCTTAAAGGTAAGTTTCGAGGTTGTTATAGTGTTTTGTCACATCATCAAGACTTTTTGTCACATCAACAACACTTTGTACCGTCTCTTCTCTTTAGTGTCACAATGTAGGAAAAAAGAATTAGAAGAAAGTGTCGCATAACAGTTATCTATAATTCAGTTTTAACGACAGTCTAATTCATATTCATCATACAAGATAATGAGGAAATGAAAACTGTTCTATGCAACAAGATCAAGGTAGCGTAAATTCTTAAAATAAAATATGTAGGGTCAAGCAAACAAGAAGTTCGAAGATATACAGCCAGATCATACACCAGAGAACGCACTGGGAGACAGGCTATTGGGTATCTGGACCAAAAGTTCTGTGTATACGCACGTGGAGACAAGCATGGGGCACTGGTGTTATTCCGCCCTTGATAATAGATGGGGTATGTATGCTGAATTAGAGGCCCAAGCTGTCCTCAGATACAGAAGACAAGCATCGGGTACTGTGGTCCTACTCAGTCCCGAAAAAACCAGGGGGAGACAAGCATTAAACAATGTGCACCTTGTTTGTCCCTGAACACACTGGGTGAAGGACTAAGGTGGCCTAAGCTGACCTCAGATACAGAAGACAAGCATCGGGTACTGTGACCTATCCGTCCCCCTAACACGGGGAGACAAGCATTTCGTACTGAGCTCTTATCCGGCCCTGGAACACACGGGGGGACATGCATCGGATACTGTGCCCCTATCTGTCGACCCGGGACACACGGAGAGACAACCATTAGATAATGTGCACCTTTTCTTTCCCTGAACACACAGGGTGAAGGGCAGGGGGTAACGTGCTGCTATCGGGCACTGGAACATACGAAGTTGCAAGCATTAGGTTCGTATACTGGGCCCTTTTCGGGCTCGGAATACGAAAGGGGAGACAATCATTGGACACTGTCTCTGTTCAGCCCCGGAATACGAACGAGGGTATTAGATAAATGGAACCTGTCCAGCCCCGGTATATATATGTAGAGACTAGTGTAGTACTAGAACAGAAGCCTTCGGCAAAGCTCCCTTAAGGTAGGTATGTTTCCTTCATCATATGCACAAACTGAGTACAAGGTAAGCATGGACCTGTTTCCTTCCTCATACACTCAAACTCATTACAAGGTAGGCATGGACCTGTTTCCTTCCTCATACACCCAAACTCATTACAAGGTAAGCATGGACCTGTTTCTTTCTTCATATACCCAAACTCATTCCAAGGTAAGTATGGACCTGTTTGCTTCTCCATATACACAATCTAAGTACAAGGTAAGCATGGACCTGTTTCCTTCCTCATACACCCAAACTCATTACAAGGTAAGCATGGACCTGTTTCTTTCTTCATATACCCAAACTCATTCCAAGGTAAGTATGGACCTGTTTGCTTCTCCAAAGACACAGTCTAAGTAAAAGGTAAGTATGGACCTGTTTCCTTCCCTATATACACAATCTAAGTGCAAGGTAAGTATGGGCCTGTTTCCTTACTCGTATAAACAATCTAAGTACAGTGTTAGTATGGACCTGCTTATTCATCATATACACAAATTGAGTACAAGGTAAGTATGGACCTGTTTCTTTCTGCACCCCGCTGTGTACTGCGTTGGACTGATTCCTGTCGATGAAGCATAGCATTGCTGCAAAGAAATACGCAATTATGTTAACAAGACGACGAACCGACCAAGGGTGGGTCCCTAGCCGAAGAGTTGAAACGGTAACAATATGAACGGCTGTGTAAACAGTGTTATCTATAATATTACTCGTGCAATGTTCTTCCATGATTTAGAACTTGTCATTGATTTGTTTGCACTTGAAACTGTATGCCAGCGTAATAGGTTGGGGACATCAATAAGCCTGGTATCTGCACTAGGATATTTCACTCAAATATAAAGGGACTGACAGTGAACTTACTTCGTCGTCTTTGCACTTGATAATCTCCCCACAAGAACCAGGCTTCACAGCCTTGTCACAGTCATAACACCAGGGGCCCTCGCATGCTGGGGAATCAGTGATATACTATGATACACATATGTGATATACAACAATACAAATTTGCGATATATAAAGACCATTAAACTGTACTTGTACCTGAAAGATATTTGAATATTTACAATGACAGTGTTAAACTAAATGTAATCTTTTGCCATTTACTAAAGAACGAAGGTAGATGACAATCTATTGAATCATGTTTACGGATATTTCCAGTTTGCAATATATATATATATATATATATATATATATATATATATATATATACACATAGATATAGCTATATATATATATGTGTATGTTTAAGATGAGTATCATTTCTTTTTTATCTGTAAACATTATATTGAAGTACTTAAAGTTTATTTGCCAAATTTATTTTGGACATTGTATTCGTTATGTCCTGCTATCAATAAACTCAAAGGTTTGCTGTGTACAACTCAGGATGCAATAGTCTGCACTAGCTAGTAAGTATATTATGCATTCAAAAATATATATGACATCTTAAAATTCATGTAGTTTGTTTCACATTGTATTATTGACATTGCTGTTCTTGTATATGGGTCAAAGGTCTTGACAATAATTCACCCCAAAGACATTCTTTAAATACATACATTACGGTTTGATCAGTTCATTTTTGGGACATGAACTGACTGTCAACAACTTAAATGTCCTAGATATGTTTTCTTCAAACTTTGCCATGATATAGAACATGTGTAAATGATATACAATGTACTTACATGGACATTCTGCCATGATACTTACTAACACTTTGTACGATTAATTATTTTTTTCAAGTTGAATGACAAGTAGTTTAATTCCTAAGGGGGTTTACAAAATACGTAAGTTACTCTGCTTCAAGAGAGTCATATTTAACAATCATTAATGACCAGTCCGCGCTTAGACTTTTGCGGTATATGTTAAATAACATTGGGCAGTGTGGTAACGTATTCCTGAGTATTGAGGTCAGCTAGAAAGCTGTATATGAAGCTTAGGCTGTTGTACATAACTTAACGGAAATAAAAGGAGGTAGACAATTCACCATTACCTGTGTACGAAGCACAACAAGTTCGAAACAGAATCAGAATGTGTATTGTGTATCATTTTCATCCAAAATAAACACCAAAAATCTGTTTTGGGTTCAGTACTTCTAGGTAATAACAATATAATAGGAATACGATCTCATTTACTTGAGATATGATTTGAGTAAATATAATTTGAAGCAAAATTAAAGTCAGTATTTTGTCCTGGTCCTCTGTGCATCACTGCACGCATGACACTTAATGGGCATGCAAGGGATTAAACGTCGAATTATCACCCTTTCAACGCGACACCATTCATCTTGAAGACCTTGCTAAACATGTTCTAATCTATTAAACTGTCACCTGTTAGGACATTACAGTGGAGTGAAAGGTGATTTGACTATCTATGGTAGCATGGTCGGTCCCTATATCCTGCTGTGTGTAATCCGGGCGGCCCTGTGTTGTCTGGCACTATCAGCCTGTAACTCAAGTCAGGAGAAATGGCTCAGCTAGAGTTTGCCATGTAGCATTAGCCAGGTTTCCTTCAACAAGTAACAGTTGTTTCTCCAGCCATACGTGGCTCGACCCAGCACTGCTACATTATTACTCCAACAGGTTTCTGGGTACACTGTTATGTTGGCAAGGTGGTGATGTTACATTATTACCTCAACAGGTTTCTGGGTACACTGTTATGTTGGCAAGGTAGTGATGTTACATTATTCCCTCAACAGGTTTCTGGGTACACTGTTATGTTGGCAAGGTGGTGATGTTACATTATTCCCTCAACAGGTTTCTGGGTACACTGTTATGTTGGCAAGGTGGTGATGTTACATTATTACCTCAACAGGTTTCTGGATACACTGTTATGTTGGCAAGGTGGTTACGTTTCATTATTACCTCAATAGGTTTTTGGATACACTGTAATGTTGGCAAGGTGGTGATGTTACATTATTCCCTAAACAGGTTTCTGGTCACACTGTTGTGTTGGCAAGGTGGTGATGTTACATTATTACCTCAACAGGTTTCTGGGTACACTGTTATGTTGGCAAGGTGGTGATGTTACATAATTACCCAAACAGGTTTCTGGGTACATTGTTATGTTGGCAAGGTGTTGATGTTACATTATTACCCCAACAGGTTTTTGGATACACTGTTATGTTGGCAAGGTGTTGATGTTACATTATTACCTCAATAGGTTTTTGGATACACTGTAATGTTGGCAGGGTGGAGATGTTACATTATTCCCTCAACAGGTTTCTGGTCACACTGTTATGTTGGCAAGGTGTTGATGTTACATTATTACCCCAAAAGTTTTCTGGGTACACTGTTATGTTGGCAAGGTGTTGATGTTACATTATTATCCAAACAGGTTTCTGGGTACACTGTTATGTTGGCAATGTGGTGATGTTACATAATTACCCAAACAGGTTTCTGGGTACACTGTTATGTTGGCAAGGTGTTGATGTTACATTATTACCTCAATAGGTTTTTGGATACACTGTAATGTTGGCAGGGTGGTGATCTTACATTATTCCCTCAACAGGTTTCTGGTCACACTGTTATGTTGGCAAGGTGGTGATGTTACATTATTGCCTCAACAGGTTTCTGGTCACCCTGTTATATTGGCAAGGTGGTGATGTTACATAATTACCCAAACAGGTTTCTGGATACACTGTTATGTTGGCAAGGTGGTTACGTTTCATTATTACCTCAACAGGTTTCTGGATACTCTGTTATGTTGGCAAGGTGTTGATGTTACATTATTACCCCAAAAGGTTTCTGGGTACACTGTTATGTTGGCAAGGTGTTGATGTTACATTATTACCCAAACATGTTTCTGGGTACACTGTTATGTTGGCAAGGTGGTGATGTTACATTATTACCCAAACAGGTTTCTGAATACACTGTTATGTTGGCAAGGTGGTGATGTTACATAATTATCCAAACAGGTTTCTGGTTACACTGTTATGTTGGCAAGGTGGTGATGTTACATTATTGCCTCAACAGGTTTCTGGTCACACTGTTATTTTTGCAAGGTGGTGATGTTACATTATTACCCCAACAGGTTTCTGGGTACACTGTTATGTTGGCAAGGTGGTGATGTTACATTATTACCCCAACAGGTTTCTGAATACACTGTTATGTTGGCAATGTGGTGATGTTACATCTAAATCCAAACACGCTCCTACCAGCCTTGAATCCCATCCCGGTATGTGCGATTTAAGCAGGTCGTAGGCGTTGGAAGCCTTATCCCTTTTTACTTCTCGAGCCAAGCTTAAGATAAAACTTTTAAGTATAATTCATGTAAATAATAAAATGCAGTTTTAGCCATCTTATTTCATTCCTTAGCCCACTATAAACACTACACTATTAGTCACAGCCCCTTTTCTAAGCATGCTGACTACATGGTTAGTTTATGAATGTTAGTTCAGTGATTAGTATGTAATGAGTTTCGTCAACACAAACCTGCAATGTTGATGCACCCAATAATCACAACGACCAGTATCAGAGCTGAAAACGAAATGATAGGATTGCACACGCTGACTAATAGTAGATTTTTCAACAAGATTGGCATGGAAACGCCAGAGCGATTTTTTAGATATTTGTAGTACATTTTCACAATGTTTATACTTTTATGAGCGGGAGGCTCTTTAAACTAAGATTCTTTAAATCTGAGCTACAAATGAACTGATTTTACAAATTATGATGACTTAAATAAATGTATATTTTAAAAAGGGGATATCTGGTAGTATTAAAATAACTTACCAGCAATGTGAGTCTGCATCGTCGCCCAGTATAAACATGCGTGTATCTCCGGTAACATACAGTGGGTGTGTGCCTGGCCAGACGACTATATCCAGGGACGCACACTGATAACGACGTGTGTCGGGGATATCATTTGAGTTCAAGCATTACACACTGCACAGGGCAGACGTGTTCACTTTTTCAAGGACTTTCTTACTTTCGAGATACGTTTCGATGGCTTTGGATTTGATCCTTCCTTTGAAACCTAACGTGTATGTTGTGTCATTTCTGAATACGATCGGCGCCATTAGGACCCTATATGTTTATATCAGAGTATAAAGTATAAGCCTATAGATGTTTGTGTAAACCCAAATATTATGTATTTACCTTAATTATTTTGCTTGTGATCAGAATGCATTGGTGCATCATAGGGAATCAGGGAAAATATGGTGTGTTTGTGGCTTTTATTAATGTTTTGTTTTTTGTTTCTGTCATACAGTTTATAATGGAAGCGTATTAGTGCCACATTCTAAAACAAATATCATCAACGTATATGATATTGTAATGAGTGTATCATCTACTTTCGAGCAATATGACTGTCTGAATAACGAAACTCATGATTATGTTTACATCTATATACACAAACTCCTTTATCCACACAAGATACTACTGGTGTGCGTCGCCTATGACTACAATGTAATTTAAAGTTTGTACTACACCCGAAGAGCCGTTGAACGGCGGCAGATTTTGTGTGGATAACGGAGCTGTGACAAAGACGAATATCTGTACTTGCAATATACCTATGTAATGATTGTGAGTCCAGATACTCCATAGGTCTAGTACCTTGTATCTTCAGGAAGTTTAAAATGTCCTTGCCAGACAAAGTGATTGAGTCTTTATTCCATAAGACTAGTTTGCTATTTGGTCTATTTTCATAGTATTTGGGTGAATACTATAGACCAAAAACGACTGAACAGCAAACTACCTCAATACAACCAGAGTAAGTCAGTACTGGACAAAAAATGCTCTGCAATCACTTACGAACGAAACCTGAGTTTCGAATGACCACCCAGTAGCAAGACGACCTGTAAACGATCCGACGAAGCCTGGAGGTAAAGACAAATGACTTTGACATGGGTCTTATATTAATTTGTATGTATTTTTTTTTCTATATTTGCCATTTAGCTCATCTATTGTATTCTATACAATTTCTAATAATTAATTATCCTTCATGCCAAAGGCAAAGCAGATGTAGCTCACTTATATTTTATGTAATTAATTCTATACATTACCATCATGTCAAGGCCAAGCTGACTATAGCTCACCAAGAAAAGCTAATTAGCATCAACCATATGCTATCAGAAATATCATTCTACTTCAATCCTTTGGTTTCTTAAGCTGTAAATTGCTGAATGACCATAAAGACTGTATAGACACCCAGACTATGTAATTAACGCAATTACCATCCTGTCACGATCACGTGATATTACCTTTACCTGTCAATTACTTAATGACCATTGAATAGGCATCCAGACTATATAATTGTCTGATCATATCTTCAAGCCATCATCAAACTGACCTTAATTTCTTACAGACACAAAAGTATTGAAAAGGAGATGGTCTTACTGAAATAAAACTCGACATTATTACGATTATCTAAGCGTTTTCAACTTGTGCACTAAGTACATTATCATGATACACCGTATGAGCAATGTAAACGATAGCGTAATACACGCAATTGTAAGGTCGGTATCGCTGGGGTTAATATGATAACACAGAAAGAAACAAAACAGTGTTACAATGTTACAAAGTGAATCATGAAGCTTTGTTAAACAATCCTTTGGTTTGCCTTTAGACTCTCTTGCACGTGGAATGCGGCTCGGCAGCTTTGCGATAGGAGCCTTGAACTGAATATGCTATCACATTTGCAAAATCTTTCTGCGTTATAGGTCCCTGTATGTTATGATCGGACGAAACATAAATTTAGGGTTGTGTGTGTTTACCCAAAATGTATATTTTTATTTTTAAAAGATGTTTATATATAATCATTATGTTCAATGTTTCGCATGTTGTCTGAAGACACTGGTGTCTCAAATGACACAAGGCCCTATATTCTACCTTTGTGATTATGATCATGAATGTGTTACATCTGGTATACTGTCATTTCACATGAATTGAATAACTTTAATCCTTTTGTGTGTATTCCTGGAGAACACTGGATGTAACATTCGCCATACCAGGTTGTAACCTTGAATACTTTCGAAGGAAGTCCAGGGTAAATAGATCCAAAGTGGTGCTTAATAGGGATATACAGTTGAACTTTATAGGAGGCAGTGTTACATAATCTATCCACTTTCTCGCCTTTCTCGTTCCTACTTCCTGACATAACATCAACTATTCCCACTCCAATACGGTGCTTATAGATGTAGTTATCCAATTGTTTTATCTCTCCATGCCTGGTTTGGATGATTGGATTTCCGAGTAGGAACACGCCAAGCAATCGTTATTATGCACGCCATGCAATCGTTATTATTATCCTTTTTATTTTAAAGAGGGCAGTGTGAAGTCTGTGGCAAGGGGGAAATTAATTAACATAATCATCAAACGGTTAAATATAAAACAGGTGTGCTATGGCAAGTTGAATACTTTTTTGCTGCAAACAATTAATAGGATGTATATACAATGTGCTGTCACGCGGTTCTGTCCACACCGTAACGTCGGCCACGGAGAATAGCCGGATGGGAGACCGCATTCAGCAGCTTCACACCTGAGAGGGTCTTGGGCTTTGGTCCTGCCCCACACGGAGGCCATGTAACACGTGTTATGTCTAACTATGTGTTAACTCACGTTTATGGGTTTCATCCCAGTGATAACCATCTGAGACGTGGGTTGCTTCGTGATGACATGCCATATGAAGTTGACAATCGTGATATAAAAGAAATAACTTACATGTACGAACTCAATACCATCACAAACAAATGTGTTTCTTTTGTTGATATGCTTAAAATTCGCAGGCGTGACACACTTGTTCTTGGCCATCAGACCTTAAATGGATATCTGCGGTAGTGACGACCGCACTCAAGTGGCCGGAGCTTTTACGAGTGATCTGACAGGTTAATATGACGTCATGAAAACACACAAATTTTATTGGTTAATGAGCAAAAGGGTGACGTCATGTAAACACCCACCTACGTGGGCCGTTTGACAACAAGGATGTATAAGTTTTAATGGTAATACATATCCATCAAACGATTCCAAGACTTTTCAACAAAGGGTCTTGGGTAACAAAACCTACCTGCTATGTCTTCACATCTTCATACAATGATACTGTGGAATATCCAACACAGTCCAACACACAAATTATAGTTCTGCGCTATTCTCTGGACGAGGACGAAATACGTTTGTCGTGATGAATAAGAGCAGTGTAATTGAACGATAAACCATAACATGTATCACGGCACCAATCATAATTCGGTGGTGTACGGTATATCTGCAGTTTATGAATAGTATTTCTCACAATACATGCGGTGTTTTTTCCGTTGTGTTCGCCTTGTTGTCATCTGGAATCTGAATGACAACGATCATGTGAAAAAACCCTGGTAATGGTCACAAATATTTTAAAGTGATGAAAGTAGTTTTTTGTCGTTTCCGTCAAATGTTTTCATTGCCAAGTAGCAATGCCGAAGTCACTTGATCTTTGAAACCAGATTCCCTGTTGATTGGCATGTGAAATGTCATTTGCATGAGGCCATCTATATTATTTGTATGTGTTTCTCCCCTCAAGCCTTAATTGACAAGGGAGCGGGCGGACGAAATAAAATATATTACTTATTAAAATGTAGTTCAATAATTGTGTAAGTTATTTTATGAGATTTAAAAAAAAGTATTAACGCCTGGTACTAGAATCTAGTCTATGAATTAAATTATGAAGTAGATCGAGTCGCTTTGCCTCGGAAACGAATTTTTAATAAACAACTGAAAAAAGATAAAGTTGATGGTACAATGGTATATCTAGTAGTATTTATTTTATTACATCGTTGCGCAATTATCCACAGCGGCAGGAAAAATTGAGACACGTAATTAAATTTTATATTATTTCACGTCGGAATGGAGATAAAATACGGACAGCCTCACAGACTTCGAAACAATGTTCAGATAAATATTCGTTCACATTAATTCTGTCATGTGCGTGAACATGGATTTCAACATTATTTCCATCCAGCTTATTCAGGTCGCTGGCTTCACAGATCATTTTCTCTTGTAAACTACTTCGGCATGAACACATGTTTTGTCTCGAAGCTCAAAAGCAACAATGTTTCTCTCAGATGCATTTTTTCGCCATCCATGACGAGCATCTATCATAATGTCAATGCCTTGACAATCTTCCTGATCATTTGATTTCAACAATGTAATAATACACACGGCCTCATTCACGGCGTCATCACAAGGTTCCTTCTGAATACCCACCTGATCAGGGTTACGACCTCGGGGTGAATTAATAAATTAATTTGCATTTTTAGAAAAGAAAATAGAATTATTAAAAAACTGTACTTCCTGTTCTTGGTACGTTTGGATTGCACTGCGGATTTCTTTTAACTTCCTAAAACGTTTTGTTTGACTTATATCTGGATATGGAGCCATTTGTGGTATCCAGGGTTTGTCATTCAAGCTGATACGAAGTTTGACGGTCAATGGTGATCTTGTTCCCGTATGGTTTTCAAAAAGCTTCTCTCGACACTCGGTTGTGTTTACATTGTCTGTCATTGTTCGAAATTGAAACACCGCCACCTTGCGGGCTATTTATAGTCAGGGTGGGGATTTAAGCAAGTAGTACGACGTGTCTTGGTTTTTTAAAATGTTAATTGATGAAGAGTTTGATAAAATGTGTAACGGTGAGGGGACACACATTTGTAAGAATAACGCATGATAAATGCCAGGGAATAGTGGTGCCTTTACCGAACTATTATCACTGGAAAAAAGACGTTTACCTGTGTCATACTAGAAATCGTATGTTTGAAGCATTTCATAAGTTACATGTGACAGCTGTCTGATTAGTGCACCAGTTGTACATGGTACACTATCATTGTTTCTTTCCTGTCAGCACACATAGAGTGTTACTGAAGTTTGAAAATCAGATCTTAATAAATTGATCAAAGAGATTTATTTTTACTACACAACTTGTTCATATGCATTTGAAAAAAATGAAAGTAAGGTCGTCAACTATTATCTCTTCATTGCATATATATACTAAAGATGTCCCAATAATGTCACATGCATGTCCTAAGTTATACGTTTGATGCGATATTCATATTGCGATATTCACATTGGCATGTCCACAGAAGCAGCTGGCATTGTTTTGTTTTATTGAACCTTCGCCTCAAGAAGAAGATATTCTATTACACATACATATTCCCATGCTTCCTTATATCACATGTCGTTCTCTCTATGACTATATATTCCCTTTGTACAGTGTGTCCTTCTTGGGTACCCCGTCCTTGTTACACCCCGAGTCTGTGCAGCAGTAGCTGCAGGTGAAGTCTTCGTTGTCTGGGTTTCCTGGCACAGGTGTCATACATTTGGCCTCAGTAGATGTTAGCTGCCACCATTTCGTCTCACAGTCGCTGGCTGAGACACAACTGGATATTGGACAATGAAAGAACGTGGCTGAATGATAGAGAGGAGAATTTACATTGCTTTTTGCAACATACCAACATTATCGTCATGGGGGAAACCATTAATTTTTTTTTTTCACACGAGCTGTATGTGCAGTGTCAAACACGTGACCATCTAGAGCTAATACCACTGGCCTGCCCCAACGGTTCGAATGAAAAGGAAAAGATAGCCCTTTCATATCAATATTCAAATTAGGTTTCCCTCAGTGATTATTATCATTGCCAACTTGTTTATATTTAATACAAGTTTGCGTGTCTAATTATACACGTTGATCATTAAAAGAGGCTTAAGTATATATTTCGATTAAGAAAAATTGCAAAATCTGGAATTAATTAAATCATTTAATATGAATGAAAGAGCAAAGATGTCCTCAATGCAAGTCGATTACGAGACCACGAACTGAAAGTAGTAAGATATAGGTACGTGCATATATGTGTTAGGAGGAAAGAAATACCGACCTTTTAGTAACTGACTTCCTTCCGTCAGCCCTGGTGTTGATAGTGGTCATGCAGAATGATGTCATACTGGGACATTGGGTGTCTGGTCCAGGAACCATACCGCAGTGAGGACCGGAACATGTTTCACAGGTGAGAGGTGCTTTGAACAGAACATTGAGATGGACCGTTAGTGGGATCTTCTTTTAGACGTTGGAGTGGAGGAAATGACACAATGACATTGGCAGTTAGTGGGATCTTCTTTTAGATGTTGGAGCGGAGTAAATGACACATTGACATTGGCTGTTAGTGAGATCTTCTTTCAGATGCTTGATTGCAGTAATTGAAACATTGACATGGATAATCAGTGGAATCTTCTCTGAGATGTTGGATTCCAGTACACGGTACATTGACATGGATAGTTAGTGGGATCTTAGATATTAGATTGCAGTACACGGTACATTGGCATGGACAGTTAGTGGGATCTTAGATATTAGATTGCAGTAAACGGTACACTGACATATATAGTTAGTGGGATCTTCTTTTTTATGTTAAATTGCAGCAAATGGAACATTGGCATGAACAGTTAATAGGATCTTCTCTTTGATCTAGGATTGCAGTAGTCGGTACATTCATATGGACCAAAAGTGGGATCTTCTTTTAGATGTTGGAGTGCAGTAGGTGGAACAATGGTATGCACAGTTAGAAGGGTCTTCTTTTCAATGTTGTAGTGCGGTAAATAGATAGTTTGCATGATCATGTGGAAAGGTAATGGTACCTTCACTAGTTTTTGCAGTTCTGCCGTAAATGGAATATTGACAACGATGGTGGTTTTGAACATTTGAACATTTGGAAAGTGTACTTCAAAATGCCCGTAGCTTCAAATATATAACTGAACATTTTCTAATATGTATCTTTTCTCAAACATTGTTAAACACTCTGTATCCCTTTTTTGAATAATGCTAATAAATATAAATTCCCGAAACCGTCCTTCTACATTATCATCACAAAATATACACCCATGTGTGGTCCAATCACTTCAACCTTTTGATTGACTTAGTAACAACAAATACAAAATGTGGGTTCAAATAATCCGTGCCAGTTGTACTTTTCAAAATACATTGTGCAATACACATTGTATTCATTTCTGAACATTCCTTGACAACACTGCTGCACCGGTACAAATTCCACCGCGCCCATCCCCATTAACAGGGAGTACCTTTGACTGCAGTTGCTTTGTTGGATAGTTGTGACATTGGTACATCTCGTGCAGTTGGAGCGTCAGCTGCTATGAAATGAAAAAGTCATTTATCAATGAATCCCTTCAAACACATATTGCTGCATTGCATTCCTGTGTAAATGCAATTATGATGGAAGAGCTTCTATATTATGTAAACTAATAAGCTTTACATATCATTTATCATTTCATCACATTCTAAATTTCCAAGTATTATCGACTAAAGAGAGAAAGTGTTTTATTACGTAACTGGACAATACTGCTCCTTTCGTCTCGTTCACAAACTCTGCCTTGCCATCGAGCCTGGAAAAAGCGAATGTCCATGTATCGGTCAATTCCCCATCTGCTATTTAACGGTTTAATGTGCTATTTAAACTATTTCACAAGCGTGATGTACATTGACTGACGCCTTTCTGTTTATGCTTCACAAACTCAATATGTCCTCTTTACAGATACTTCGTGCGTATAGATACATACTTAGATGCACTACCTTATAAACCACGTGACAGGTCCAGCGTCTTTAGCGAGAACACTAACCTTCCTGGCTGAATCACAAATAGAGTCAGTCTGAAATAAAGATCAAACCCAAATAATCGCTTTTCAGCAGAACCACTTGACTTGCAAAGCAAAATGATGAGCGTTTGCATTATTTTACCAAGTCTCTAGCATGTTCGTAGTTCTCAAACTATAGCTGAACGTGGAATACTTAGTAATAATATCAACATACTTATGTTCATATTGCACATTTAGATGTTGAAGGGTTGTGAATGGACTTTGGAATCAGAGAACACGCCATAGAGTGCTGGCTGACTGAAGAGGATGTTCAACGATGTCATATTTGCCAGGACTGCATTTTCTATGTCTGTGTGTTCATGTGAATTCTACTTCATCTGGGAATCGTAACCTTTGAAGAACCTCTGTAGTTTACTTGGCATGTTCCGTGGAGAAAATATGCATTTCACCACGGATTGAAACTGTATATCTAACATTACCACATGCATACATAACTCTCAATCAATCTCTACATGTTCTTTTAAAAAAAAAAAAAAAAAAGAGATCAATTTTCATTGTAAACGCTAAGTCACATTTCCTATGCCAATATCACCTGGCATCCTTTCGGGCCATCGAGACTGTAAGAATGCATTTCTTTCTGTCATTATTGTATATATACACCAGACTCAGGCTGACTGAAGCAAATATCTTCCCAAACTGATAAATCGTGATATCGTACAAAATGAATTTCATGTGGCAATTACATACATTACATAGGGGGAATGGTATCGTAACGTTTTCCAATACATGATAACCTAACTACATTCACCCATTCCTACATTCTCCCTCACTCTACAAATGAATGATCCTTCCAGAAGCAATAGTTTGGTGTTCATCTGTTCCATGTACATGATTTCAACTTTAGTTTCTTCCCTTTATTATTATATTACTACATTTAAAACAGTTCATGTGACCCACATTGAGGTCTTAATAAATATGTTAACTGTGCCTTATTACGAAATTGGATGGATTGAGTACATTTGGGAGAAAGATTGATAAGATGGTTACACTGAAATGTTAATTGTGCCAAACATGTCATGTAATTACACTGGAGACATGTAATACCACCTTTTTCAATTCTGAAATTGCACGACAATGGCAGCAACTGTTGAAATGTATGTATTCACACGTGGTATGATTCCAGTAAATTATAATATTTATGAATTACAGAACGAAACAAACGCGTCACAGTTGATAATATAAATTCATTTCGCAGAGATGAAAGTTCCCGACTCCTGGTGCGTGTTTACAAAAACTAATTTAAACGTACACGGGTGTCGTTCTGACTGCAGGAATGTATATGAAACGACACAATTCTGGAGTCAGAATAGAATTCAAGTAACTTACAGATGCAAATGTGGTTGTCAGTGATAAACCCTCAGCGTCCACAGTCCCAGGAACACACATGGCACTGAATGTAAATCGTCTTCTTTATACACACATATACATACATCGGTTTACTAATTGTGTGTGACTCATTCAGTCTTTCAAATGTTGATATGAACACATGAGGTTTATGAAAAAGCAAGAAACATACATTGGAAGCTGCTGTAGTAAGGTATATGTTGAAGATAATTTACCATATTTAAAAGAAGTTTTTGGAGAGAGAAGAATCGCCTTTGGTTATGTGGATGTAAAATGTACGTTCGCGTCATGCATATCAAAAGAGGGATTGAAACTACTAACTGAAAAGCCTCTCCAGGTTGCATGCCAATGTCACTAAACTTGTAACTATTGCCCAGTGTCTTGGTAGTATTACCAGCAACTGAAACAAAGAGCATTTGTGTATTGAATGTCAGACAATATATCAGCTGCATCAATATATTAAATGTGTGTTGTTCTGATGGTATGAGGATTATTTAATGACATCTTATATGGCACGTCGGCTACTTACAACTTCAAAACATGTCTTAAATGAGTACCTTTAATTTAAAGATCATATAATAATCAATTGAGAAAACAAACACATGTGCATGTAGTGTAATATTCCTGTTACACATACCAACCAGGTATGCCTCATTTGTAGATACACCATTATCAGCGTGGCAGATGTATATTCCTTCATACTGTTGAATATTTTTGTTGTTGACGCCTGTCAGTAGCATCTCCCCGTCTCCAAAATCTACAATTGTTGGGTCGGTAGGTAGGTCCAGTCCTCCGCCATATTTGCTCCAAGTAAATTTAGGAGGCGGTTTAACTTTCGTTTTACACAACAACTGTGTAACACTGTCAGGCTCCAGGACAACTATTGGCTTCTCCACAGAAATTGTTATCGGCTCTAGAATCAAATGCAAACCAAGTTACACGTATCAATATTTCACAATGATATGTGATTAAGCTACAAGGCATTTGCATTTTTAAATATTCTGATGGAGTTGGATGTTCTTCGAAAGAACAGTTTTTTGACACGCACGTCTGTGTATCTCAATAATTCACGAGGAGGTTTTGTGTAAAGAATGAAGTTTCGATGCTGTTCCTCAACGGGACTCACAAGGGATTACTGTTGACTTCTCAAAAGTATTTTCGGATCTTAAATCAAATGAACCCGACACGGCATATATGTATTATGTTGAAAGAGTCATCCCTACCCATATCCATATATTCATATTGACAGTTGATTGGGTTATTTTCCTCTGCTAGCTTTCACTATCTGTGGATAAAGTTCTTGGGACGGTAGTTACGGTAAAGTTGTGTAATAAATACATAAAACAATAATTCTTTTATATGTACCCCAACTCAAATTTGTGATAAACGTGACGTTGTTTTCTGGTGTCACTGTACACTGGATGTATACAACTAATTCCGCCAGGTCAGCAGATTACTTGGAAATAATCAACAAAATGCAATGCTTTGCACATACGAATCATGTTGCCAGAAACCTACCATGTTAAGTATTAAGGTGAAGTAAAGAGTCAACAAAACGGATTTCATCACAAAGTCTCATTTAGATTACAAACAACTCTTCGATTCATGACTTACTGTTTATCTGTACATGTATTGTTCCATTAGCCACACCAACTGAGTTCTCAGCCACACACGTGTAGTCGCCAGTGTTGTCGTTAGTTACGTACGCAAGGCTTAAGTTGTTTCCGTTAGGCTTGGCATTGTAAATATCCTGTTGAAGAAAATTAGATAACTGATCACATGGGTGTTAATGTAATGTAATGGAAATTGCCTTTTAATGATGGTATTCAATATCAGAAAAATAATCACTAAAACGCAAAAGGGGTGATACTAAAAACAAGTAAAAGGGATTGAAAACTTAAAGAAATATTCCATCAAGTAATTGAAAGTGACTTTTGCCCATCATTAGAACATCCATAAACAGGCTTGGCATTGTAACCTCGCTGTTGAAGAAAGTTGGATAACTAATGATATAAAAGTATAACACGTCAAAACAGCACTGGGACCCATACCTTCATCTTGTTTACTAATGTGACAAGAATTGTCTTGATAATGGTATTCTATAGTAGAAATAGAATTCGTAACACCATAACGCAAACGGGATGAAGATAATTTTACCTTAAGATTGAAACCTTAAAGAGCTATTGCTTCGATTAATTCAAAGATGCTTTTGCCCATCAATTGAACATACATAAACACTGCATACCTGTGTGTTATAGTACCACATGACACTGGGCTGAGGCACTCCTGTGACATCACATGACAGGATGACGTTTTCCCCGAAAAATGCATTGACGTTCTGACTGGGATTTGAAATGCTTGGTGCAACTAAAGGCAAAGGGTATATATGTATATGAGTATCGTGTTTAAGAAATAACTTTTATTTTAAATGCATTCTTTAAATCATGTCATAATGAGTGATTGAAAAACATGTATTCACTTCTAGACTACGCACCTCCTGGTATTGTTGTAGTGATCGTTGTTCCTTCAGTCGTTGGTTCTTGCTTGTAGGTTCCTGGTATTGCTGTTGGCTGACCAGGCGAAAGCAGAGAGGAGGAAGGGGAGATTATGTCTGACAGCAACGCGGATGCTGAGGGCAAACTAGTAATAGCCGTTGATAGGAGGCTGGAAGTGACAGCAGCAGGGAGCGACATCCGGCTGGATGTTGGTGTTGGGAGGAAAGATGTAAAAGAGTTTGATCCCAATGGAGATTTTGTTGGATGGGTAGATAATATTTGATTCACTGAGCTTTGTGAGGGAAGAAGATATGCCCCTGACGACAAACTAGAAGCGGGAACATACAATGGGAGGGTTGATGATGAACTGGGCAATGATTCAGATGCTGGCTCTCCTCTCGAGGAGGAATAAGTACCTGCACTTGCCTCTGATGACGACATCGTGCTCCTTTCAACGGAGGTCATTCCTAACGTAGGTGACGGGGAATTCGACCCCATTCCATATAATGACACTCCCATTGAGGAAGCATAAGTACCTGCACTTGCCTCTGAAGACAAAATGATGATGGTAGGAACGGAGGTCATTGCTAAAGTATGTGATTGTGAACTCGTTGCAATTTCAGATGATGACACACCCCTTGAGGAAGCAGAAGTACCTCCACTTGCCTCGGATGAACATATTATGGCCGAAGGAAGAGAGGTCATTGCTATTATAGGTGATTCGGAACTCGATGCCAACACAGATGATGACACACCCCTTGAGGAAGCATAAGTACCTGCACTTGCCTCGGATGAAGATAGTTTGGGCGAAGGAAGAGAGGTCATTGCTAATGTAGGGGATGGGATATTCGACTCCATTTCAGATGATGACACACCCCTTGATGAAGCAGAAGGGCCTGCACCTGCCTCTGATGAAGATATCATGGAGGAAGGAAGAGAAGCCATGGCTAAAGTAGGTGATGGGGTATTCGAATCCATTCCAGATGATGACACACCCCTTAAGGAAGCAGAAGTACCTGCACTTGCCTCGGATGAAGATAGTTTGGTCGAAGGAAGAGAAGCCATGGCTAAAGTAGGTGATGGGGTATTCGAATCCATTCCAGATGATGACACACCCCTTAAGGAAGCAGAGGTACTTGCACTTGCCTCTGATGACGACATCGTGCTCCTTTCAACGGAGGTCATTCCTAACGTAGGTGACGGGGAATTCGACCCCATTCCATATAATGACACTCCCATTGAGGAAGCATAAGTACCTGCACTTGCCTCTGAAGACGAAATGATGATGGTAGGAACGGAGGTCATTGCTAAAGTATGTGATTGTGAACTCGTTGCAATTTCAGATGATGACACACCCCTTGAGGAAGCAGAAGTACCTGCACTTGCCTCGGATGAACATATTATGGCCGAAGGAAGAGAGGTCATTGCTATTATAGGTGATTCGGAACTCGATGCCAACACAGATGATGACACACCCCTTGAGGAAGCATAAGTACCTGCACTTGCCTCAGATGAAGATAGTTTGGGCGAAGGAAGAGAGGTCATTGCTAATGTAGGGGATGGGATATTCGACTCCATTTCAGATGATGACACACCCCTTGATGAAGCAGAAGTACCTGCACCTGCCTCTGATGAAGATATCATGGAGGAAGGAAGAGAAGCCATGGCTAAAGTAGGTGATGGGGTATTCGAATCCATTCCAGATGATGACACATCCCTTAAGGAAGCAGAAGTCCCTGCACTTGCCTCGGATGAAGATAGTTTGGTCGAAGGAAGAGAAGCCATGGCTAAAGAAGGTGATGGGGTATTCGAATCCATTTCAGATGATGACACACCCCTTATGGAAGCAGAGGTACCTGCACTTGCCTCGGATGAAGATAGTTTGGTCGAAGGAAGAGAAGCCATGGCTAAAGTAGGTGATGGGGTATTCGAATCCATTTCAGATGATGACACACCCCTTAAGGAAGCAGAAGTACCTGCACTTGCCTCTGATGACGACATCGTGCTCCTTTCAACGGAGGTCATTCCTAACGTAGGTGACGGGGAATTCGACCCCATTCCATATAATGACACTCCCTTTGAGGAAGCATAAGTACCTGCACTTGCCTCTGAAGACGAAATGATGATGGTAGGAACGGAGGTCATTGCTAAAGTATGTGATTGTGAACTCGTTGCAATTTCAGATGATGACACACCCATTGAGGAAGCAGAAGTACCTGCACTTGCCTCGGATGAAGATATTATGGTGGAAGGAAGAGAGGTCATTGCTATTATAGGTGATTCGGAACTCGATGCCAAAACAGATGATGACACACCCCTTGAGGAAGCATAAGTACCTGCACTTGCCTCGGATGAAGATAGTTTGGGCGAAGGAAGAGAGGTCATTGCTAATGTAGGGGATGGGATATTCGACTCCATTTCAGATGATGACACACCCCTTGATGAAGCAGAAGTACCTGCATCTGCCTCTGATGAAGATATCATGGAGGAAGGAAGAGAAGCCATGGCTAAAGTAGGTGATGGGGTATTCGAATCCATTCCAGATGATGACACACCCCTTAAGGAAGCAGAAGTACCTGCACTTGCCTCGGATGAAGATAGTTTGGTCGAAGGAAGAGAAGCCATGGCTAAAGTAGGTGATGGGGTATTCGAATCCATTCCAGATGATGACACACCCCTTAAGGAAGCAGAAGTACCTGCACTTGCCTCGGATGAAGATAGTTTGGTCGAAGGAAGAGAAGCCATGGCTAAAGTAGGTGATGGGGTATTCGAATCCATTTCAGATGATGACACACCCCTTAAGGAAGCAGAAGTACCTGCACTTGCCTCTGATGACGACATCGTGCTCCTTTCAACGGAGGTCATTCCTAACGTAGGTGACGGGGAATTCGACCCCATTCCATATAATGACACTCCCATTGAGGAAGCATAAGTACCTGCCCTTGCCTCTGAAGACGAAATGATGATGGTAGGAACGGAGGTCATTGCTAAAGTATGTGATTGTGAACTCGTTGCAATTTCAGATGATGACACACCCATTGAGGAAGCAGAAGTACCTGCACTTGCCTCGGATGAAGATATTATGGTGGAAGGAAGAGAGGTCATTGCTATTATAGGTGATTCGGAACTCGATGCCAAAACAGATGATGACACACCCCTTGAGGAAGCATAAGTACCTGCACTTGCCTCGGATGAAGATAGTTTGGGCGAAGGAAGAGAGGTCATTGCTAATGTAGGGGATGGGATATTCGACTCCATTTCAGATGATGACACACCCCTTGATGAAGCAGAAGTACCTGCATCTGCCTCTGATGAAGATATCATGGAGGAAGGAAGAGAAGCCATGGCTAAAGTAGGTGTTGGGGTATTCAAATCCATTCCAGATGATGACACACCCCTAAAGGAAGCAGAAGTACCTGCACTTGCCTGGGATGAAGATAGTTTGGTCAAAGGAAGAGAAGCCATGGCTAAAGTAGGTGATGGGGTATTCGAATCCATTTCAGATGATGACACACCCCTTAAGGAAGCAGAAGTACCTGCACTTGCCTCGGATGAAGATAGTTTGGTCGAAGGAAGAGAAGCCATGGCTAAAGTAGGTGATGGGGTATTCGAATCCATTCCAGATGATGACACACCCCTTAAGGAAGCAGAAGTACCTTCACTTGCCTCTGATGACGACATCGTGCTCCTTTCAACGGAAGTCATTCCTAACGTAGGTGAAGGGGAATTCGACCCCATTCCATATAATGACACTCCCATTGAGGAAGCATAAGTACCTGCACTTGCCTCTGAAGACGAAATGATGATGGTAGGAACGGAGGTCATTGCTAAAGTATGTGATTGTGAACTCGTTGCAATTTCAGATGATGACACACCCATTGAGGAAGCAGAAGTACCTGCACTTGCCTCGGATGAAGATATTATGGTGGAAGGAAGAGAGGTCATTGCTATTATAGGTGATTCGGAACTCGATGCCAAAACAGATGATGACACACCCCTTGAGGAAGCATAAGTACCTGCACTTGCCTCGGATGAAGATAGTTTCGGCGAAGGAAGAGAGGTCATTGCTAATGTAGGGGATGGGATATTCGACTCCATTTCAGATGATGACACACCCCTTGATGAAGCAGAAGTACCTGCATCTGCCTCTGATGAAGATATCATTGAGGAAGGAAGAGAAGCCATGGCTAAAGTAGGTGATGGGGTATTCAAATCCATTCCAGATGATGACACACCCCTAAAGGAAGCAGAAGTACCTGCACTTGCCTGGGATGAAGATAGTTTGGTCAAAGGAAGAGAAGCCATGGCTAAAGTAGGTGATGGGGTATTCGAATCCATTCCAGATGATGACACACCCCTTAAGGAAGCAGAAGTACCTGCACTTGCCTCGGATGAAGATAGTTTGGTCGAAGGAAGAGAAGCCATGGCTAAAGTAGGTGATGGGGTATTCGAATCCATTCCAGATGATGACACACCCCTTAAGGAAGCAGAAGTACCTGCACTTGCCTCTGATGACGACATCGTGCTCCTTTCAACGGAGGTCATTCCTAACGTAGGTGACGGGGAATTCGACCCCATTCCATATAATGACACTCCCATTGAGGAAGCATAAGTACCTGCACTTGCCTCTGAAGACGAAATGATGATGGTAGGAACGGAGGTCATTGCTAAAGTATGTGATTGTGAACTCGTTGCAATTTCAGATGATGACACACCCCTTGAGGAAGCAGAAGTACCTGCACTTGCCTCGGATGAATATATTATGGCCGAAGGAAGAGAGGTCATTGCTATTATAGGTGATTCGGAACTCGATGCCAACACAGATGATGACACACCCTTTGTGGAAGCATAGGTACCTGCACTTGCCTCAGATGAAGATAGTTTGGGCGAAGGAAGAGAGGTCATTGCTAATGTAGGGGATGGGATATTCGACTCCATTTCAGATGATGATACACCCCTTGATAAAGCAGAAGTACCTGCACCTGCCTCGGATGAAGATATCATGGAGGAAGGAAGAGAAGACATGGCTAAAGTAGGTGATGGGGTATTCGACTCCATTTCAGATGATGACACACCCCTTGATGAAGCAGAAGTACCTGCACCTGCCTCTGATGAAGATATCATGAAGGAAGGAAGAGAAGCCATGGCTAAAGTAGGTGATGGGGTATTCGAATCCATTCCAGATGATGACACACCCCTTAAGGAAGCAGAAGTACCTGCACTTGCCTCGGATGAAGATAGTTTGGTCGAAGGAAGAGAAGCCATGGCTAAAGTAGGTGATGGGGTATTCGAATCCATTTCAGATGATGACACACCCCTTAAGGAAGCAGAAGTACTTGCACTTGCCTCTGATGACGACATCGTGCTCCTTTCAACGGAGGTCATTCCTAACGTAGGTGACGGGGAATTCGACCCCATTCCATATAATGACACTCCCATTGAGGAAGCATAAGTACCTGCACTTGCCTCTGAAGACGAAATGATGATGGTAGGAACGGAGGTCATTTCTAAAGTATGTGATTGTGAACTCGTTGCAATTCCAGATGATGACACACCCCTTAAGGAAGCAGAAGTACCTGCACTTGCCTCTGATGACGACATCGTGCTCCTTTCAACGGAGGTCATTCCTAACGTAGGTGAAGGGGAATTCGACCCCATTCCATATAATGACACTCCCATTGAGGAAGCATAAGTACCTGCACTTGCCTCTGAAGACGAAATGATGATGGTAGGAACGGAGGTCATTGCTAAAGTATGTGATTGTGAACTCGTTGCAATTTCAGATGATGACACACCCATTGAGGAAGCAGAAGTACCTGCACTTGCCTCGGATGAAGATATTATGGTGGAAGGAAGAGAGGTCATTGCTATTATAGGTGATTCGGAACTCGATGCCAAAACAGATGATGACACACCCCTTGAGGAAGCATAAGTACCTGCACTTGCCTCGGATGAAGATAGTTTGGGCGAAGGAAGAGAGGTCATTGCTAATGTAGGGGATGGGATATTCGACTCCATTTCAGATGATGACACACCCCTTGATGAAGCAGAAGTACCTGCATCTGCCTCTGATGAAGATATCATTGAGGAAGGAAGAGAAGCCATGGCTAAAGTAGGTGATGGGGTATTCGAATCCATTTCAGATGATGACACACCCCTTAAGGAAGCAGAAGTACTTGCACTTGCCTCTGATGACGACATCGTGCTCCTTTCAACGGAGGTCATTCCTAACGTAGGTGACGGGGAATTCGACCCCATTCCATATAATGACACTCCCATTGAGGAAGCATAAGTACCTGCACTTGCCTCTGAAGACGAAATGATGATGGTAGGAACGGAGGTCATTTCTAAAGTATGTGATTGTGAACTCGTTGCAATTCCAGATGATGACACACCCCTTAAGGAAGCAGAAGTACCTGCACTTGCCTCTGATGACGACATCGTGCTCCTTTCAACGGAGGTCATTCCTAACGTAGGTGAAGGGGAATTCGACCCCATTCCATATAATGACACTCCCATTGAGGAAGCATAAGTACCTGCACTTGCCTCTGAAGACGAAATGATGATGGTAGGAACGGAGGTCATTGCTAAAGTATGTGATTGTGAACTCGTTGCAATTTCAGATGATGACACACCCATTGAGGAAGCAGAAGTACCTGCACTTGCCTCGGATGAAGATATTATGGTGGAAGGAAGAGAGGTCATTGCTATTATAGGTGATTCGGAACTCGATGCCAAAACAGATGATGACACACCCCTTGAGGAAGCATAAGTACCTGCACTTGCCTCGGATGAAGATAGTTTGGGCGAAGGAAGAGAGGTCATTGCTAATGTAGGGGATGGGATATTCGACTCCATTTCAGATGATGACACACCCCTTGATGAAGCAGAAGTACCTGCATCTGCCTCTGATGAAGATATCATTGAGGAAGGAAGAGAAGCCATGGCTAAAGTAGGTGATGGGGTATTCAAATCCATTCCAGATGATGACACACCCCTAAAGGAAGCAGAAGTACCTGCACTTGCCTGGGATGAAGATAGTTTGGTCAAAGGAAGAGAAGCCATGGCTAAAGTAGGTGATGGGGTATTCGAATCCATTTCAGATGATGACACACCCCTTAAGGAAGCAGAAGTACCTGCACTTGCCTCGGATGAAGATAGTTTGGTCGAAGGAAGAGAAGCCATGGCTAAAGTAGGTGATGGGGTATTCGAATCCATTCCAGATGATGACACACCCCTTAAGGAAGCAGAAGTACCTGCACTTGCCTCTGATGACGACATCGTGCTCCTTTCAACGGAGGTCATTCCTAACGTAGGTGACGGGGAATTCGACCCCATTCCATATAATGACACTCCCATTGAGGAAGCATAAGTACCTGCACTTGCCTCTGAAGACGAAATGATGATGGTAGGAACGGAGGTCATTGCTAAAGTATGTGATTGTGATCTCGTTGCAATTTCAGATGATGACACACCCCTTGAGGAAGCAGAAGTACCTGCACTTGCCTCGGATGAATATATTATGGCCGAAGGAAGAGAGGTCATTGCTATTATAGGTGATTCGGAACTCGATGCCAACACAGATGATGACACACCCTTTGTGGAAGCATAAGTACCTGCACTTGCCTCAGATGAAGATAGTTTGGGCGAAGGAAGAGAGGTCATTGCTAATGTAGGGGATGGGATATTCGACTCCATTTCAGATGATGATACACCCCTTGATGAAGCAGAAGTACCTGCACCTGCCTCTGATGAAGATATCATGGAGGAAGGAAGAGAAGACATGGCTAAAGTAGGTGATGGGGTATTCGACTCCATTTCAGATGATGACACACCCCTTAAGGAAGCAAAAGTCCCTGCACTTGCCTCGGATGAAGATAGTTTGGTCGAAGGAAGAGAAGCCATGGCTAAAGTAGGTGATGGGATATTCGACTCCATTTCAGATGATGACACACCCCTTAAGGAAGCAGAAGTACCTGCACCTTCCTCTGATGAAGATATCATGGAGGAAGACAGAGAAGCCATGGCTAAAGTAGGTGATGGGGTATTCGAATCCATTTCAGATGATGACACACCCCTTAAGGAAGCAGAAGTACCTGCACTTGCCTCTGATGACGACATCGTGCTCCTTTCAACGGAGGTCATTCCTAACGTAGGTGACGGGGAATTCGACCCCATTCCATATAATGACACTCCCATTGAGGAAGCATAAGTACCTGCACTTGCCTCTGAAGACGAAATGATGATGGTAGGAACGGAGGTCATTGCTAAAGTATTTGATTGTGAACTCGTTGCAATTTCAGATGATGACACACCCCTTGAGGAAGCAGAAGTACCTGCACTTGCCTCGGATGAAGATATTATGGTGGAAGGAAGAGAGATCATTGCTATTATAGGTGATACGGAACTCGATGCCAACACAGATGATGACACACCCCTTGAGGAAGCAAAAGTACCTGCACTTGCCTCAGATGAAGATAGTTTGGGCGAAGGAAGAGAGGTCATTGCTAATGTAGGGGATGGGATATTCGACTCCATTTCAGATGATGACACACCCCTTGATGAAGCAGAAGTACCTGCACCTGCCTCTGATGAAGATATCATGGAGGAAGGAAGAGAAGCCATGGCTAAAGTAGGTGATGGGGTATTCGAATCCATTCCAGATGATGACACACCCCTCAAGGAAGCAGAAGTACCTGCACTTGCCTCGGATGAAGATAGTTTGGTCGAAGGAAGAGAAGCCATGGCTAAAGTAGGTGATGGGGTATTCGAATCCATTTCAGATGATGACACACCCCTTAAGGAAGCAGAAGTACCTGCACTTGCCTCTGATGACGACATCGTGCTCCTTTCAACGGAGGTCATTCCTAACGTAGGTGACGGGGAATTCGACCCCATTCCATATAATGACACTCCCATTGAGGAAGCATAAGTACCTGCCCTTGCCTCTGAAGACGAAATGATGATGGTAGGAACGGAGGTCATTGCTAAAGTATTTGATTGTGAACTCGTTGCAATTTCAGATGATGACACACCCATTGAGGAAGCAGAAGTACCTGCACTTGCCTCGGATGAAGATATTATGGTGGAAGGAAGAGAGGTCATTGCTATTATAGGTGATTCGGAACTCGATGCCAAAACAGATGATGACACACCCCTTGAGGAAGCATAAGTACCTGCACTTGCCTCGGATGAAGATAGTTTGGGCGAAGGAAGAGAGGTCATTGCTAATGTAGGGGATGGGATATTCGACTCCATTTCAGATGATGACACACCCCTTGATGAAGCAGAAGTACCTGCATCTGCCTCTGATGAAGATATCATTGAGGAAGGAAGAGAAGCCATGGCTAAAGTAGGTGATGGGGTATTCAAATCCACTCCAGATGATGACACACCCCTAAAGGAAGCAGAAGTACCTGCACTTGCCTGGGATGAAGATAGTTTGGTCAAAGGAAGAGAAGCCATGGCTAAAGTAGGTGATGGGGTATTCGAATCCATTTCAGATGATGACACACCCCTTAAGGAAGCAGAAGTACCTGCACTTGCCTCGGATGAAGATAGTTTGGTCGAAGGAAGAGAAGCCATGGCTAAAGTAGGTGATGGGGTATTCGAATCCATTCCAGATGATGACACACCCCTTAAGAAAGCAGAAGTACCTGCACTTGCCTCTGATGACGACATCGTGCTCCTTTCAACGGAGGTCATTCCTAACGTAGGTGACGGGGAATTCGACCCCATTCCATATAATGACACTCCCATTGAGGAAGCATAAGTACCTGCACTTGCCTCTGAAGACGAAATGATGATGGTAGGAACGGAGGTCATTGCTAAAGTATGTGATTGTGATCTCGTTGCAATTTCAGATGATGACACACCCCTTGAGAAAGCAGAAGTACCTGCACTTGCCTCGGATGAATATATTATGGCCGAAGGAAGAGAGGTCATTGCTATTATAGGTGATTCGGAACTCGATGCCAACACAGATGATGACACACCCTTTGTGGAAGCAGAAGTACCTGCACTTGCCTCAGATGAAGATAGTTTGGGCGAAGGAAGAGAGGTCATTGCTAATGTAGGGGATGGGATATTCGACTCCATTTCAGATGTTGATACACCCCTTGATGAAGCAGAAGTACCTGCACCTGCCTCGGATGAAGATATCATGGAGGAAGGAAGAGAAGACATGGCTGAAGTAGGTGATGGGGTATTCGACTCCATTTCAGATGATGACACACCCCTTGATGAAGCAGAAGTACCTGCACCTGCCTCTGATGAAGATATCATGAAGGAAGGAAGAGAAGCCATGGCTAAAGTAGGTGATGGGGTATTCGAATCCATTCCAGATGATGACACACCCCTTAAGGAAGCAGAAGTACCTGCACTTGCCTCGGATGAAGATAGTTTGGTCGAAGGAAGAGAAGCCATGGCTAAAGTAGGTGATGGGGTATTCGAATCCATTCCAGATGATGACACACCCCTTAAGGAAGCAGAAGTACTTGCACTTGCCTCTGATGACGACAACGTGCTCCTTTCAACGGAGGTCATTCCTAACGTAGGTGACGGGGAATTCGACCCCATTCCATATAATGACACTCCCATTGAGGAAGCATAAGTACCTGCACTTGCCTCTGAAGACGAAATGATGATGGTAGGAACGGAGGTCATTGCTAAAGTATGTGATTGTGAACTCGTTGCAATTTCAGATGATGACACACCCATTGAGGAAACAGAAGTACCTGCACTTGCCTCGGATGAAAATATTATGGTGGAAGGAAGAGAGGTCATTGCTATTATAGGTGATTCGGACCTCGATGCCAACACAGATGATGACACACCCCTTGAGGAAGCATAAGTACCTGCACTTGCCTCGGATGAAGATAGTTTGGGCGAAGGAAGAGAGGTCATTGCTAATGTAGGGGATGGGATATTCGACTCCATTTCAGATGATGACACACCCCTTAAGGAAGCAGAAGTACCTGCACCTTCCTCTGATGAAGATATCATGGAGGAAGACAGAGAAGCCATGGCTAAAGTAGGTGATTGGGTATTCGAATCCATTTCAGATGATGACACACCCCTTAAGGAAGCAGAAGTACCTGCACTTGCCTCTGATGACGACATCGTGCTCCTTTCAACGGAGGTCATTCCTAACGTAGGTGACGGGGAATTCGACCCCATTCCATATAATGACACTCCCATTGAGGAAGCATAAGTACCTGCACTTGCCTCTGAAGACGAAATGATGATGGTAGGAACGGAGGTCATTGCTAAAGTATTTGATTGTGAACTCGTTGCAATTTCAGATGATGACACACCCCTTGAGGAAGCAGAAGTACCTGCACTTGCCTCGGATGAAGATATTATGGTGGAAGGAAGAGAGGTCATTGCTATTATAGGTGATTCGGAACTCGATGCCAAAACAGATGATGACACACCCCTTGAGGAAGCATAAGTACCTGCACTTGCCTCGGATGAAGATAGTTTGGGCGAAGGAAGAGAGGTCATTGCTAATGTAGGGGATGGGATATTCGACTCCATTTCAGATGATGACACACCCCTTGATGAAGCAGAAGTACCTGCATCTGCCTCTGATGAAGATATCATTGAGGAAGGAAGAGAAGCCATGGCTAAAGTAGGTGATGGGGTATTCAAATCCACTCCAGATGATGACACACCCCTAAAGGAAGCAGAAGTACCTGCACTTGCCTGGGATGAAGATAGTTTGGTCAAAGGAAGAGAAGCCATGGCTAAAGTAGGTGATGGGGTATTCGAATCCATTTCAGATGATGACACACCCCTTAAGGAAGCAGAAGTACCTGCACTTGCCTCGGATGAAGATAGTTTGGTCGAAGGAAGAGAAGCCATGGCTAAAGTAGGTGATGGGGTATTCGAATCCATTCCAGATGATGACACACCCCTTAAGAAAGCAGAAGTACCTGCACTTGCCTCTGATGACGACATCGTGCTCCTTTCAACGGAGGTCATTCCTAACGTAGGTGACGGGGAATTCGACCCCATTCCATATAATGACACTCCCATTGAGGAAGCATAAGTACCTGCACTTGCCTCTGAAGACGAAATGATGATGGTAGGAACGGAGGTCATTGCTAAAGTATGTGATTGTGATCTCGTTGCAATTTCAGATGATGACACACCCCTTGAGAAAGCAGAAGTACCTGCACTTGCCTCGGATGAATATATTATGGCCGAAGGAAGAGAGGTCATTGCTATTATAGGTGATTCGGAACTCGATGCCAACACAGATGATGACACACCCTTTGTGGAAGCAGAAGTACCTGCACTTGCCTCAGATGAAGATAGTTTGGGCGAAGGAAGAGAGGTCATTGCTAATGTAGGGGATGGGATATTCGACTCCATTTCAGATGTTGATACACCCCTTGATGAAGCAGAAGTACCTGCACCTGCCTCGGATGAAGATATCATGGAGGAAGGAAGAGAAGACATGGCTGAAGTAGGTGATGGGGTATTCGACTCCATTTCAGATGATGACACACCCCTTGATGAAGCAGAAGTACCTGCACCTGCCTCTGATGAAGATATCATGAAGGAAGGAAGAGAAGCCATGGCTAAAGTAGGTGATGGGGTATTCGAATCCATTCCAGATGATGACACACCCCTTAAGGAAGCAGAAGTACCTGCACTTGCCTCGGATGAAGATAGTTTGGTCGAAGGAAGAGAAGCCATGGCTAAAGTAGGTGATGGGGTATTCGAATCCATTTCAGATGATGACACACCCCTTAAGGAAGCAGAAGTACTTGCACTTGCCTCTGATGACGACAACGTGCTCCTTTCAACGGAGGTCATTCCTAACGTAGGTGACGGGGAATTCGACCCCATTCCATATAATGACACTCCCATTGAGGAAGCATAAGTACCTGCACTTGCCTCTGAAGACGAAATGATGATGGTAGGAACGGAGGTCATTGCTAAAGTATGTGATTGTGAACTCGTTGCAATTTCAGATGATGACACACCCATTGAGGAAACAGAAGTACCTGCACTTGCCTCGGATGAAAATATTATGGTGGAAGGAAGAGAGGTCATTGCTATTATAGGTGATTCGGACCTCGATGCCAACACAGATGATGACACACCCCTTGAGGAAGCAAAAGTACCTGCACTTGCCTCGGATGAAGATAGTTTGGGCGAAGGAAGAGAGGTCATTGCTAATGTAGGGGATGGGATATTCGACTCCATTTCAGATGATGACACACCCCTTAAGGAAGCAGAAGTACCTGCACCTTCCTCTGATGAAGATATCATGGAGGAAGACAGAGAAGCCATGGCTAAAGTAGGTGATTGGGTATTCGAATCCATTTCAGATGATGACACACCCCTTAAGGAAGCAGAAGTACCTGCACTTGCCTCTGATGACGACATCGTGCTCCTTTCAACGGAGGTCATTCCTAACGTAGGTGACGGGGAATTCGACCCCATTCCATATAATGACACTCCCATTGAGGAAGCATAAGTACCTGCACTTGCCTCTGAAGACGAAATGATGATGGTAGGAACGGAGGTCATTGCTAAAGTATTTGATTGTGAACTCGTTGCAATTTCAGATGATGACACACCCCTTGAGGAAGCAGAAGTACCTGCACTTGCCTCGGATGAAGATATTATGGTGGAAGGAAGAGAGGTCATTGCTATTATAGGTGATTCGGAACTCGATGCCAAAACAGATGATGACACACCCCTTGAGGAAGCATAAGTACCTGCACTTGCCTCGGATGAAGATAGTTTGGGCGAAGGAAGAGAGGTCATTGCTAATGTAGGGGATGGGATATTCGACTCCATTTCAGATGATGACACACCCCTTGATGAAGCAGAAGTACCTGCATCTGCCTCTGATGAAGATATCATTGAGGAAGGAAGAGAAGCCATGGCTAAAGTAGGTGATGGGGTATTCAAATCCACTCCAGATGATGACACACCCCTAAAGGAAGCAGAAGTACCTGCACTTGCCTGGGATGAAGATAGTTTGGTCAAAGGAAGAGAAGCCATGGCTAAAGTAGGTGATGGGGTATTCGAATCCATTTCAGATGATGACACACCCCTTAAGGAAGCAGAAGTACCTGCACTTGCCTCGGATGAAGATAGTTTGGTCGAAGGAAGAGAAGCCATGGCTAAAGTAGGTGATGGGGTATTCGAATCCATTCCAGATGATGACACACCCCTTAAGAAAGCAGAAGTACCTGCACTTGCCTCTGATGACGACATCGTGCTCCTTTCAACGGAGGTCATTCCTAACGTAGGTGACGGGGAATTCGACCCCATTCCATATAATGACACTCCCATTGAGGAAGCATAAGTACCTGCACTTGCCTCTGAAGACGAAATGATGATGGTAGGAACGGAGGTCATTGCTAAAGTATGTGATTGTGATCTCGTTGCAATTTCAGATGATGACACACCCCTTGAGAAAGCAGAAGTACCTGCACTTGCCTCGGATGAATATATTATGGCCGAAGGAAGAGAGGTCATTGCTATTATAGGTGATTCGGAACTCGATGCCAACACAGATGATGACACACCCTTTGTGGAAGCATAAGTACCTGCACTTGCCTCAGATGAAGATAGTTTGGGCGAAGGAAGAGAGGTCATTGCTAATGTAGGGGATGGGATATTCGACTCCATTTCAGATGTTGATACACCCCTTGATGAAGCAGAAGTACCTGCACCTGCCTCGGATGAAGATATCATGGAGGAAGGAAGAGAAGACATGGCTGAAGTAGGTGATGGGGTATTCGACTCCATTTCAGATGATGACACACCCCTTGATGAAGCAGAAGTACCTGCACCTGCCTCTGATGAAGATATCATGAAGGAAGGAAGAGAAGCCATGGCTAAAGTAGGTGATGGGGTATTCGAATCCATTTCAGATGATGACACACCCCTTAAGGAAGCAGAAGTACTTGCACTTGCCTCTGATGACGACAACGTGCTCCTTTCAACGGAGGTCATTCCTAACGTAGGTGACGGGGAATTCGACCCCATTCCATATAATGACACTCCCATTGAGGAAGCATAAGTACCTGCACTTGCCTCTGAAGACGAAATGATGATGGTAGGAACGGAGGTCATTGCTAAAGTATGTGATTGTGAACTCGTTGCAATTTAAGATGATGACACACCCATTGAGGAAACAGAAGTACCTGCACTTGCCTCGGATGAAAATATTATGGTGGAAGGAAGAGAGGTCATTGCTATTATAGGTGATTCGGAACTCGATGCCAACACAGATGATGACACACCCCTTGAGGAAGCATAAGTACCTGCACTTGCCTCGGATGAAGATAGTTTGGGCGAAGGAAGAGAGGTCATTGCTAATGTAGGGGATGGGATATTCGACTCCATTTCAGATGATGACACACCCCTTAAGGAAGCAGAAGTACCTGCACCTTCCTCTGATGAAGATATCATGGAGGAAGACAGAGAAGCCATGGCTAAAGTAGGTGATTGGGTATTCGAATCCATTTCAGATGATGACACACCCCTTAAGGAAGCAGAAGTACCTGCACTTGCCTCTGATGACGACATCGTGCTCCTTTCAACGGAGGTCATTCCTAACGTAGGTGACGGGGAATTCGACCCCATTCCATATAATGACACTCCCATTGAGGAAGCATAAGTACCTGCACTTGCCTCTGAAGACGAAATGATGATGGTAGGAACGGAGGTCATTGCTAAAGTATTTGATTGTGAACTCGTTGCAATTTCAGATGATGACACACCCCTTGAGGAAGCAGAAGTACCTGCACTTGCCTCGGATGAAGATATTATGGTGGAAGGAAGAGAGATCATTGCTATTATAGGTGATTCGGAACTCGATGCCAACACAGATGATGACACACCCCTTGAGGAAGCAAAAGTACCTGCACTTGCCTCAGATGAAGATAGTTTGGGCGAAGGAAGAGAGGTCATTGCTAATGTAGGGGATGGGATATTCGACTCCATTTCAGATGATGACACACCCCTTGATGAAGCAGAAGTACCTGCACCTGCCTCTGATGAAGATATCATGGAGGAAGGAAGAGAAGCCATGGCTAAAGTAGGTGATGGGGTATTCGAATCCATTCCAGATGATGACACACCCCTTAAGGAAGCAGAAGTACCTGCACTTGTCTCTGATGACGGCATCGTGCTCCTTTCAACGGAGGTCATTCCTAACGTAGGTGACGGGGAATTCGACCCCATTCCATATAATGACACTCCCATTGAGGAAGCATAAGTACCTGCACTTGCCTCTGAAGACGAAATGATGATGGTAGGAACGGAGGTCATTGCTAAAGTATGTGATAGTGAACTCGTTGCAATTTCAGATGATGACACACCCCTTAAGGAAGCAGAAGTACCTGCACTTGCCTCGGATGAAGATATTATGGTGGAAGGAAGAGAGGTCATTGCTATTATAGGTGATTCGGAACTCGATGCCAACACAGATGATGACACACCCCTTGAGGAAGCATAAGTACCTGCACTTGCCTCGGATGAAGATAGTTTGGGCGAGGGAAGAGAGGTCATTGCTAATGTAGGGGATGGGATATTTGACTCCAATCCAGAGGATGACACACCCCTTGATGAAGCATAAATACCTGCACTTGCCTCTGATGAAGATATCATAGTGGAAGGAAGAGAAGTCATGGCTACTATAGGTGATTCGGAACTCGATGCCAACACAGATGATGACACACCCCTTGAGGAAGTATAAGTACCTGCACTTGCTTCTGATGAAGATAGTTTGCTCGAAGGAAGAGAGGTCATGGCTAATGTAGGTGACGGGGAATTCGACTACATTCCAGATGATGACACACCCATTGAGGAAGCATAAGTTCCTGTACTTTTCTGTGATGAGGATGTGATGGTGATGGGAAGAGAGGTTATTGCTAATGTAGGTGATGGGGTATTCGAATCCATTCCAGATGATGACACACCCCTTAAGGAAGCAGAAGTACCTGCACTTGCTTCGGATGAAGATAGTTTGGTCGAAGGAAGAGAAGCCATGGCTAAAGTAGGTGATGGGGTATTCGAATCCATTCCAGATGATGACACACCCCTTAAGGAAGCAGAAGTACCTGCACTTGCTTCGGATGAAGATAGTTTGGTCGAAGGAAGAGAAGCCATGGCTAAAGTAGGTGATGGTGTATTTGACACCAATCCAGATGATGACACACCCCTTGATGAAGCATCAATACCTGCACTTGCCTCAGATGAAGATATCATAGTGGAAGGAAGAGAAGTCATGGCTACAATAGGTGATTCGGAACTCGATGCCAACACAGATGATGACACACCCCTTGATGAAGCATAAGTACCTGCACTTGCCTCAGATGAAGATATCATAGTGGAAAGAAGAGAAGTCATGGCTACTATAGGTGATTCGGACCTCGATGCCAACACAGATGATGACACACCCCTTGAGGAAGCATAAGTACCTGCACTTGCTTCTGATGAAGATAGTTTGCTCGAAGGAAGAGAGGTCATGGCTAATGTAGGTGACGGGGAATTCGACTCCATTCCAGATGATGACACACCCATTGAGGAAGCATAAGTTCCTGTACTTTTCTGTGATGAGGATGTGATGGCGATGGGAAGAGAGGTTATTGCTAATGTAGGTGATGGTGTATTTGACTCCATTCCAGATAATGACACACCCCTTGAGGAAGCAAAAGTACCTGAACTGGCCTGTGATGACGACGACATACTGCTTGGAACGGAGGTCAAGGCAAAAGTAGGTGATGGGGTATTCGGCTTAATTCCAGATGATGACACACCCCTTGATGAAGCATAAGTACCTGCACTTGCCTCAGATGAAGATATTATGGCGGAAGGAAGAAAGGTCATGGCTATAATAGGTGATTCGGAACTCGATGCCAACACGGATGATGACACACCCCTTGAGGAAGCATGAGTACCTGCACTTGCCTGTGATGAGGAAGGAACAGAAGTCATTGCAAAAGTAGGTGATTGGGAACTCGACACCATCCAAGATAACGCTCCCTTTGAGGAAGCAGAAACACCTGCGCTGGCCTCTGATGATATTATACTGGAATGAAGAGAGGCCATAGCCAGAGTTAGGGATGACGAGTATGATAATTCTTCAGATGATGACATGTCCTTTGAGGAAGCATAAGTACCCCCACTTGCCATAGATGGTGATGTAAAGCTAGATGGAAAGGATGTCATTAGCATGGTATGTGATGATGATTCAGGTGCTGTCGGTGATGGCGATAGAAACAGGCTTTGTGGGGATGACGTTACAGCCTCAGATGAGTGTGACATGATCACGTTGTTTGGTGGGATAAGTATAGAAGCCAAGGGGACATGTGTAGCATATGAGGCGGACGTGGCCATTATCGTTATCGTACGGCTGAAAGCTATTGTCAAAGATTCTATACTCTGAATATTTGACACGGTGGAGGGTTGCATAGAAGGAGACAGCGACAGCATGGTGGGCAGCGTTGATGTAACTTGCGCACTTGAGTTCACAGATGTGGACGGTGTCGTGATTGCCGCAGATGTGTTAGCTTGTCCAAGGTCCACTGGAATAAGGAAACTTTGTGTCAGTACTCGAAATTACCATTGTAATAATGTTCATAAACATTCAGCAGTTACTCAGAATATTTGTTTTTGTTTACAATAACCGTGATACATTCAAGTGTAATGTGAACTTAAAGACATATTTGTTTTATTTCATATTACAATTTGCATTCAACATTACCATTGAGCGATCCATTGAGAAACTGCGCTTTGCTGTCAGGCCTAAACAGAGCATTTGATATTATTCTTTGATTGAAGATGTTGTGGTAAAGCAGATTTGTTATGTACAGTGTAATGATTGAGCTAATATAACGAAAAAAATATATATATATAATAGAGTCTGGTATAGAAATTGAACGGTTGATAGAAAAACTGCAGCACTTACATTAAAAAAACATAACATTAAGCACCATGGTTATTTTTACGCTCAAACATCTCCAAATTGGGTGTGTTATGTACCAAATTAAGCAACGTTTTATGTTGTTAATCTTGTATTAGATATATCAAACATAGCAAAGACGTCCATACCGTATAAGCCACGTTACAGGGCCTGGATTTGTGTCAATAATACCCACTTTTCTGGCTGAAGTACATACAACCTCATCCTAAAAGATAAACAAAATGAATGTTATTATTCATACAACCATTGCGATGGGTATCATTATTTTCTATAACATTACAGCGTGAATACAAATAGTAGGATATACCACAGGGCAGATGCGTATGCTATGAAAGGGGCTTTAATATATAAATGCTGCCATTTCGTAAATATATTCATTGGAAGAGAAGTAGCACACGAGAAGAAGTAAGCTTCAAATTAGTTGGTACAAAATACAGTAGGAATTTTGTGCCAGGGAATAGTTTGTCTTACAGAATGTCCATCAGGAATCATGCAGGTATTGAGAGTGTTTTATCTTACGAGGTTAAACTCGTGGGTAATGGGAGATCCATCTGGTCCCGTGAGGCCTGGTGGACACATTGCACTGAAACAGATAAAAAAACAACACTAATTTATTCTTCATCTGTATGCTGTATATCATCCCATTAATTTTTCCCATAACAAATAATTTTGATACACAACTCTTAATTGAATGACACATGAACAAAATGTAAGCCTCCTCATGTTTTAGATTGTATACACATAAGGTTGCACTTGAGATTTTTAAAAATATTGTCAACTGAAACTTATGTTCTAGTAATGAAAATATTGTAGCTTAAATAAAACACCATTTGTTAGTGCCCAATCACAGATCACAGCACAATCACAGTACAAATAATATTCCTAGCCCAAACATTTATCGTTTAATGAATGGTAAACGTGTCAACTAATCGAAATTGTTTTTCTCTGTGTAAAGATGCATCTCTTTAGTTATATATTATTTAATTGGTCGTTTAGAAATAGGCTCAACTTACCTATTTGACAAAATCACGCCATCAGTGTGCTTGGCAAAGCACTACGCATGTGGTTGGAAAATATAATGTTCTCCTTTTGTGTTATCTTGCTAAAGTTTTGGTCAAAGAGAATTTTTCGTCAGTGTAATTGCATCGTCATCACTATAGCTTGATGATCCAAATACGACAAGGTGATCAATACTGCTTCCATATATCTAAGGTAGCAGAATGACTGTAACATGATATGTTTTAATGAATGTGTGTCATCCTTGAGGCAAATGTCCTCGATACGCATTCTGAAGATTTGATCAGCCAAAGCATTAGGAAAGCTCAAAACTACGAGTAACGAGACGTGTTCCACAGTCGTAAAACCCCCGAGCAGTGTGTGGAACGGACAAACCAAGATTCATAATCAGTACGAATCTGGGATACGAACCAACGATCCGCAGATCTAGGCGTGATGCAATTCCCTACAGCAAATTGCCACACCTTTTCTCGGGTAGTGTGACAAGTAGATACAGACACTTATATGAACGAGACCAACATCAATACGCCAGTGTTGTCAACCTACTGGAATGCCTTCAATGGTGTGGTGCTGATGTTGTTAAATGGTACATGTCCATCGACTGGCGTTGTAACGTTGATCGCAACTGAACATACAGAAAACAGTCGGAATAACATCATCACATCTTGCATTGACATGTTGCCGTAAACCTGTAGTTTATGCTATAATTAACTAATATAATGAACATTTTTAGTGTCCAACCAAGTACATGAGGTAAATGCAATACAATCTTTACATTAATACTGGAAGAAACAATTGTTTAACAGTCGTACGATCGATTCTGCTTTTGGCAGATATTTATTAGAACTATGGAAGGAGCTATGTCGCATTTATTTACCTATCTGATAGGCTACAGCTGATGTGTGCCCATTTGTAGCATTACAGACATAGACACCATCATACTTCAGCACGTTGGCCTCTGTGATCCCCATGATCAGTATCTCGGCAAGACCCAAGTATCGATACGACTTATCAGCGGTGATGTCTTCGCCATATTTACTCAAGGTAACGGAAGGTGGAGGAATCCCTTCTCCCACGCATTTCAGCCTAAGTGCTCTCATTCCAGGGCTGATGACCACGATTGGAGGCTCTCCTTTCACAGTGACTGGTCCTGCAACAAAAAAACATAAAATCTGAACCATAAATTGAAATAATGTTTAACCAAATCAATAATAATCTGCATAACAGATAGAATGCCCATCGATAGAGGAAGCACTTTCGATAATCTGTTCAGATCGAATATAAGATAAAATGTCGTGCAGTTTCCGATAATTAAGTCACTGAGATAACTCACTGAGGTCAACCTATGATACCGCATGGGTATGGTGCGGACAAACCAACCTAGTAAAACACAGGCAGGACGAATCTCAGATTCCACCCCACGAGTATAGGTATCTGGCACGTCTAAGGGGCTGAACTCTACACAACGAATTGCGGCGTCTTCGACAGCTTGAACCCCGTGCCCCCTGTGGTGTCGAAATCAATGACTGACGTCCTGCTGTATTTTTATCGACAATGCATCTGTAGGACATAACTTTGCTTCAACTGACCAATCAGCTTTAAAAAGGCCGCATGTGCAAACGTCAGAAAAAATTTGGAACTATTTAATGTTATGATCATTAAATATGTTCTGGGATAAAATATGATACAAATAACCAACGTGTGAACGAATATTAATTGCAGTTGCCATATGTGTATGTATGTGATGCACTAAGTATATATATGACTAAAAAAACCAAAGCATATCTTGTCCTTAAGGCACCTATAACATGCAGATGGACAATGCCCTCCTTGGTTCCAAGAGTGTTGTTAGCGACACATCTGTATATTCCCTCGTTTTTCTCGTTTGCGGATGATATCGCCAACGTTGATCCCTTCGGGTGGGCATTTGGGTTCCCCTGTTGAGATGTGAAATAGCATGACTAAAATATAATTTTAATATTTGCTTTCAACTGTACATGTACGTGTGACAATAAGATACACCTTCAAATATACAAAGACAAACTTTTGTTCACATTAGGACAGAGCATCACAAACCTGTTCCTGCTCCATATCGGTTGGCTGTATAGAACCTAAACATATTAGTAATCCATATTTTATAAAAATAATCCATATTTTGGTTACATGATGACACTCAATAATATATTAATACAGCTTCTTAAAATATGCACTTTAAAATTTGACTGGTCTGTTAGTAGAAATGTAATGCTTTAATAATTGACGATTACACCGGTTATAAATGCAGGCTATAAATGCAGGTACTTGCTTCGCAATTATTACAATATCACCAATGGGATGATGATTTACGCAAGTTTGAGTTGAACCTTATGCCAGGATTGATCATGTGATATCACAGTGGGTATGTCCCTTTCAGTATTATCATTATCAGGGTGGCAGTTGGAAATATTTTTCTTAATTTGAAGTTTACACGATATATGTTTTTTTTTCAAATGGACGAGAGGTCGGGCACGTGACCGCGAAATTGACGTTCATACGTTTTTCACGAGACTGTGCTCTTGAAATGATGTAAACACTGACGGATTAATTCCACATTCCTGGGAGAACCACTGGGAATTCCCTTGCACAAAGACATACTAAAGCGTTGTTTCTGATCATTTAGACCCTTTAATCTTGAAATAAGCGTTTTAGTATGCAGTGAGAAACGTCAGAGAGTTTGACTGCATGATCGTTCACGAATATACCCGCTACGACCCATCCTAGTGAACAAAACGAAGAGATGCACATCCAAACTATCATAGTATCGACTCGATCCGTGTCTAGGCTAACAGAGACAGTTTACTGCAATCTATGAATTTACCTAAGTATATATTTGACACACATATATAATCACTTTTCCATGATCGTCCAATTGATCAGTGATGACTAACACATTCAATCGCTACAGATTAATTGACAACTTCCGAAATCTCTCCCATCATAGTTATCATGTCGGCCATTTTGACGTATCGTATTTGGTGGAAATGTATTACGACATTGTAACTGACTTACTGAGGTATTTCTTAACAGACCTTTCTCATTGAATGATATTATTTGAATACATGCGTTGTGTCAGATGTTTCTGAAGAGCAAGTTGTGCATACATACGCTCATGTCACCTCTCTTTTTGAGGAACTATTTTATTCCGCGATACAGCTGGTTGTTGTATAGCTGTCAGTGTAAACATGCAGTCACACATATTAAATAAAACTGTGTATAGATCTAGTCCTAAATCCTTTGAGGTAAGGAATTGTGATAAAAATGTAATAATAATAGACATTCACTTTGTGTGAGTTCATTGGTTTATGAACCTTCAAAGTGTGAGAGGCACAAAGTGATCAATTCTTGAATATATAACTTCTAACAATCTTAAAATCACGAGGCCGGTCGGGTAACCTAGTGGTTAAAGCATTCGCTCGTCACTCCGAAGACTCGGGTTCAATTCCCGACATGGGTACAAAGTGTGAAGCCCAGTTCTGGTGTCCCCGACGTGATATTGCTGGAATATTGCTAAAAGCGGAGAGAAAATCAAACTCACTCACTCACTTTAGATCATGCCTCAATTGAGAACAATGTTCTGTTCATATCAGTTCAGAAATATACTTCAATATATTTGCAGTGTCATGGTTATCAAGTGACCCTACATCCAATCAAAAAGGGAATGGTATGGTTACAACAACTGTTCATGTGATTTGACAAACATAAACTGATTCTCTCTCACTCACTCACCATCACTCTCCAACCCAAAACACAAAAGGCCACAAAACGGTTTGATCTTAGTCTGTTGTTCAGAGTAGCTGTGATGTGATCGTTCAAGGACTCCCTACCTGTTTATTATATGTCCATGTGACCGAGGGCTCAGGGTTGCCGGTTACATTACACAACAGAAGAACAGTTTTTCCCACGATGACGTTTACAGTCTGGTTCGTGTTCATTATGTCAGGGGCCACTGAAACACACATGCATCGTTTCAAGTTGGATAAGACCTTTATATGATGGCAATATATCACACGCGCCTCTCTTGCATAACTAAAGAATGGCAGACACACATACAGATTCTTAGTTGATATGTATTACAAATGTCAATCAACCTGCCCCACAGTCTGTATGGGAATTTATTTAGCAATAGACATATACTGTTTTGTATTGCAGACAATATTGTAACATTGTTTAATATACAAAAATGTATGTAATTATAGTGTCTCCATGTTAATGTATTACAAGTATGCAAGTTACCAAAGCACACAATCATCTGCCATCAGTGTCTGTTTTCAGGGGAAAAACTGTTTTGCATCAAGTCATAACTTACTTGGGATCAGAGAAGAAGGTTTCTTTGGGTTGACGTTAGCGTTACAGCGATCTTCATTACAACAGCGGAACCCTGCTTCACCCAAAGTCGTCATGTGGCCTACACACTCCTGGAAAATATACACAAAGAGTGTAATGGCATATTCTATGATATTTAAAAGATGTTGGCAACATATGTATGATAATAGCAAAGAACAGAAGAGATTGATGTTCGCCGGATAGTATATCTGAGATGTCTGTTTGGGCAGGACATGCTTACCAATTTCGAAAACACCTGAACTGATTTTTCAGTGACCCATTCATAATATTGTCATGGCGTTAAAATGCTATTTTACGCCCAATGGAATCGTTTTCAGCGTATAATCGAGACTGATTATTCTCTGACGTTTGGTTTTATATTTTCCTGAAATGGGTCGAAGTTCACTGAATTCCCCACGTTTCATCAAGTAAATGGTTTGCCCGAAACCTTAAATTAAAAATGTATCTTTACTTCTTTATCTGTACACTCGCAAACAGAAGACGTAAAATCATAAAATGCGCTATCGAGTCACTGGTTCCATACTAGATTATCGGGTCAAGACTTGATTGTTAACAGGCCGCCGTTGTAACAGGAGTAATTCTGTGCAACATCAGGCAACAAACAAACAGTTATTTTGTTAAGCACATTGGTGAGTTGCGGGTGCCACCGGTAGGGCGGGACATGCTTACCCTTTTCGCGAAATCCTGTTGTCACGACTATTATGCCTTATACACAGTGGATGATTTTGGCAGATAAATGAGACTGAGTATTCTCTGGCGTTGTCACTTTATATTTACAGAAAGAATGTGATCCTCCATTTGGCTTTAAACGTTTCACATATTCACATGCAATGCTGTGCATGATGGTGTGTGTTTCAGTGTTCACCACAATATCATCATTTACTACATAATTGGGAAATTATTACTTACCGGCTTCTCTTCACATCCTAGTTCATAAGAGGCCAGTCCAAACCTGTAGACTTTTCTTACTGAGCAATACTGTCAAGAAGAAATAAGGGGGTCTGTTAGCCTCTTTTTCGAAACATACTAGTATATCAGAGCAAAAACATATACAATATTTCCATTTCCACGATATTAATATCGTCAAAATGGTACACCATTACTTTTTGTCAATATTACTTTTGGATTAAAATGAAGGCTTTTCAACGTTAAAGAATAGTAGAGACCAGTGAATCGCATATTGCCTGGCACAAATTATCTCAAATGTAAACTAGATTTGAATGTATTCGAATTTGAATACTATTCTAATTCCCTTAAAATAATCATTTTTATACATTACATATCTGTAATCTGGTATATAATTCCTAGGGAGATGTCATATCTCGTGTCTTATTTACAAGAACTCCTGACCATTCGAAACCATTTGGAATATAAGAATGAGTGAGTGAGTTGGGTTTAACGCCGCTTTGCACAGTATTCCACTTATGGCATGGTGTGTCATCTTAATGTGGGAGGAAAATCCGAAGTAATGCAGGTCTCAGACGTTTACCATTCTGGTGGCATCCATGAGCAGAATGAGCAGAATTCTGCTTTCAAAAACACGAATAGCAAAGTAAGTACTAAACCCATACCGGAGATGTAAGTACCAAAGCAAATGGCTGAATTTAAGCTCACCAAAGATATCATTCAACATTTACAACCAGATATGTACAATTGGTAAGGTGGCAGAAATGACCATAAATACGTGAGAAATATTCACATGGGACTGCATAATCTCGCTGCGGCGTCAAAATAAAAGACACATTCAATACAGAGATGACATGTATCAAATTAATTAAAGTATGGGAATAAACTACTAGAGAATAAAATGTACAGACAAAAAAAACTCTAGTAGTAACCTTATGGACATAAAGACACCGAACTGTACCGAGTTGTGCCGAGCAGTGCCGACCGCTGCACAGCAATGAGAAGGCCCTACGGTCACAGGACTGTGACGAGCCTTGTTTTACGATGCGGTGACAAAATGTCATGTTTATATTGAACATCTGAAGATAAAGTCTGCTTCACTAAAGATTCGTTCAAATTACCGAAATAACCACTTATACAAAGAGAGCAGTAGATATACCTGGTCTGGTCCACACTCTGTCTCGCTCGAGCAAAAGGCTGGCTGTTGGACAATCGCACACTTTTTACATTTTATGTTCCTCGCTCTGATTGTTGTTGCTGAAAATATCAAGAATAATTTCATAATATACGTCGTTTATATAACTATAAATAGGGATGTACTTGAGGACCATGTCTGGCGCGGTGGCTAAGTCGTTGCTCATACTATGAACCACTAGCTTTTCTCTTTGTGATATAGCTTTGATAGAGCTGACTACGGCAAAAATAGAATATTTACCCAATCATTCCTGTTTTGAGAATATATATGCATGACACTTGAATCATGAAGAGGACCTATAATTTGCTAAGTACACAGCAATATTTAGTGAGTGATTGAGTGAGTTGTCTTTAACGCAGCTTTTAACAGTTGTCCAGTTATACCGCGGCGTGTCAGCTTAATGTGGGACGAAAGCCGGAAGTGATGCAGGTCTTAGAAGTTTACCACTTTGTTGAAACCCACGAACACGGGTATGGTGCTGACAAACCTAGAAACATAATCGGGGCGAACCGGGATTAGAACCCACAACTCTGCACAGCGAATTGTGGCTCTTTAGATGACTAGGCCACCCGTGCCACCCAATATTTAGACACCGATGGTGTTTAGAGAGACCTAAAGAGATGCAATATTTAATGGAATATTATATGAAAACCAACTTTACATAAAAACAGTATTATAATTATTAATTTATGAATGATAAATGACAGGACAATTAACACAGATCTTTTCTAGCAATTAAACATTGATTGGACCGTATACACAAATTATCAGATTACTGAACCCAGAGGTATGAACAAATTGAGAAACGCATTAAAAATATTAAAAAAAAGAGGTTATATGAGAGTCGTTGTTATTCAGTGTTAAAAAATCTTCTCTGTACATGCAACTTTATGATATATGCAGCAATGACTGAAAAATGGGAAAACATGAAATTTGCTGCTATGGCGGTTATTTTTTAAATCGGTTCTAAATTCTATGAGATACATTTAGAAACATGAAAACTGGGATCAATCATGCCAAGCTTCAGGTTCATATAGAGGCCTTTGACGTTTTGAGGTGATATCGAACATATAAAAGTTGACGATGGAAAGACCGACATACGTACAGACCACGACAACGCAACACATTACATGCTCTCCTGACTTATGTCAGGGGAGCTGAACACTTAGAAGCATGATAAGGACATACTGAGGGACAGAGGAGATGTTGCTGCTGAAGACGCCAGGGAAGCTGCGATTGTTGACGTCAGAGGGATTGAAGTGGTACTTGATTGTTGAAGGTCCACTAAAAATCAAATACAAATAAAGGTTTCATATAATCACACAATATGGAATCATATGGTAATTCGGAATGCTAACAATTCCTTATTTATATTTTTATTAGCAAGTCAGGAGGATTTATAATAATTTCGTCTCTGAACAAGTTGTACTTTAAGGTTATTCCTCTCTATATCACATGTTTATGAAAATGTAAATTTGATTGTAGAGACTTACCCGTCATGGAGCCATTTAAGAACAGTGCTTTGCCATTAGGTCTAAACATAAGAATTAGATCAATAGAAAACTGTTCAACTTCAGCATATTGCACAATTTAATCTTCTGTATATGTCTTTTATTTGTTACCATCATAGTTGGTGACAAACATTATTATCAATATATTTATGCTGCACAAAATGCACAGAAAAAGCAGCATACCTGATAAGCCACGTGACCGAGCCAGCATCTGTATCAATAAGACCAACTTTCCTTGCTGAAGTACATATTAGCGCACCCTATACCAAAATGAAAGAAAAGCGTATTTTTATAATAGCAAATGTGGATATAACAAATTGGTTCTTTACATTTAAAATAAAAGCGTCAAAACACTTCCCACATCCAATAGAAATCGATTGTACGACTCCGACTATATCAGGAGCATGTGTTTATGGATCACTATCAAAAAGTGATGTAACCAGGTGTTCGCGGAATGTGTGTGTTAAAGTTCGCGAAAAACAAATCTTTTACTATTTCAAATTTTGACAATTCAAGTATTAAAATTATTGATTTATCCAAATGCAATTGGAACAATATTCCATAATTAACCGGTAAACGTTTGACAGATCAGTTACATATATACTGGTGTGTGTGTAATATTCGTGTTCCATCTCTGTTAATGTTATGTTTGTTTATGTATACTGTGCAATATTCTAGTTCATCGAAAAGATTATTATAGGTTCGGCACACATATACATTGTGTCAATACTTTGCCTTTCCGGACATTGTTTTATCTACCGTGACGAATCATATATGTATATTTTAAAATAATCAATACACTTAAAAAAACATCAAAATGTCCAGTCGTTCTGTAATCATGAATTCCATAGCTTTATTGTCATAGTTCGAGCTATACACTGGCAAATCAGTGAGCACTCGTGACCTTATAAGTTAAGGAAAGAGTCCAGGAGTGGCAAGTGACATCGTCAGTGTTACAACAAATGAAAAGCAAGTCACCCATATGGCACCCTGGGGATATACAAATCGACGATACTTGAGATTTTCCGTAAGGTTGTAGGGACATGTAAAACACATTCAAATTGATATTTTAAGTGGGGATTTAACTCCGTCAATAACGAGGTGAGCTCATGATTCGTAGCGCCTTGATTCGACTTCGATTGGTGAGCTTCCATCAGCTGTAACGTACCCAGGGACTGTGGCTGTCATGTGAAGTTGTGGAACGTTTTTCTAAAGGTCTTCCCTAAGTTACCACTACTTACTAAGTTAAGAAATTTTATGTATTATGAGTCAAATACACATCTTACCAGATCAAACTCAGTGCTGATGGGAGATAAATCAGGCTGTGTGCTTCCAGGTGGACAAAGGGCACTGAAAAAGAAAAACTAATACTTATTTTCACAAGAATACATACACATTTAACAATATAGAGTTATCAAATCATCAAGGTTTGAGGGTCAATGGTTGCATCCATTAGGCGTGCCAAAAAACTACAGTGTAGGGTTCGAATCCTGATTCGCCCTGATTTTGTTTCTGGGTATGTCAGCACCATAACCGTGCTCGTGAGCATCAACGGTCTGCGTTACTTCGGGCTTCCCGCCCATATTAAGCTGACCCGCCGTGATAAAACTGAAATAAACTTCAAGGCGTCGTTAATCTCACTCACTCATCGTGTTTTGCCCAAACAAATGTAAATGGGCAATCACCCTTCTTCGGATAGTCTCATTATGTAGTACTGCATATAAATGCATTGGGACATAAAGGTTTAATGTGTTGAGATATGTCTACACACGAATCTTGATGGACTGACTGATGGGATCACACAGTGTTTTACGTACTGGAATGCTTTCAATGGCGTGGTGCTGATATTATGAAATGGAAGGTTTTCCTCAAGCAGCCTAGTTACGTTGCTTGCAACTGAAAAAAAAAGTTATTATTGTCAAAAGTCTTATTCGATTGGTTGGTTGTCATTTTACACGACAGACAGCAAAATTCTAGCTATATCATGGCGGCCGGCAAGTAATCAAGTGTCGGCAAGATAAACGAGCAGTTGTTGGCAGCGTCACACGGCAACAAATCAAACCGTGGGCTTCTAACCAGAAGTAATTGATTACGCTTGGCGCCTACATTAAAGTGCTCTCCTACGTGTAGACAAGCATATTCATTGTGCAGGATAAGCTTCATTATTGAAACGGCTCATATTTTGTGTCATCGAAAAGTACAATTAACTCGAAGGAAAACATGGTATATGGTACACTAGTTTATTTACTGGAAGAAACAATTGTTTAACAATCGTACAATCGACTATTGGCAGATATTTCTTAGGACTATGGAAGGAGCTTTGTCGCATTTATTTACCTATCTGATAGGCTACAGCTGATGTGTGCCCATTTGTAGCATTACAGATATAGACACCATCATACTTCAGCACGTTGGCCTCTGTGATCCCAATGATCAGTATCTCGACAAGACGGAAGTATCGATACGACTTATCAGCGCTGATGTCTTCGCCATATTTACTCAAGGTAACAGAAGGTGAAGGAATCCCTTCTCCCACGCATTTCAACCTAACTGCTCTCATTCCAGGGCTGATGACCACGATTGGAGGCTCTCCTTTCACAGAAACTGGTCCTGCAATAAAACATAAAATCTGAACCATAAATTGAAATAATGTTTAACCAAATCAATAATAATGCCCAATAATAATGATAAAATGCCCATCGATAGAGGAAGCACTATCGATAATCTGTTCAGATCGAATATAAGATAAAATGTCGTGCAGTTTCCGATAATTAAGTCACTGAGATAACTCACTGAGGTCAACCTATGATACAGCATGGGTATGGTGCGGACAAACCAACCAAGGAAAACACAGGCAGGACGAATCTCAGATTCCACCCCACGAGTATAGGTATCTGGCACGTCTAAGGCTGAACTCTACACAACGAATTGCGGCGTCTTCGACAGCTTGAACCCCGTGTCCCCTGTGGTGTCGAAATCAATGATTGACGTCCTGCTGTATTTTTATCGACAATGCATCTGTAGGACATAACGTTGCTTCAACTGACCAATCAGCTTTAAAAAGGCCGCATGTGCAAACGTCAGAAAAAAATTGGAACTATTTTATGATATGATCATTAAATATGTTCTGGGATAAAATATGATACAAATAACCAACGTGTGAACGAATATCAATTGCAGTTGCCATATGTGTATGTATGTGATGCACTAAGTATATATATGACTAGAAACAACAAAGCATATCTTGTCCTTAAGGCACCTATAACATGCAGATGGACAATGCCCTCCTTGGTTCCAAGGGTGTTGTTAGCGACACATCTGTATATTCCCTCGTTTTTCTCGTTTGCGGACGATATCGCCAACGTTGATCCCATCGGGTGGGCATTTGGGTTCCCCTGTTGAGATGTGAAATAGCATGACTAAAATATAATTTTAATATTTGCTTTCAACTGTACATGTACGTGTGACAATAAGATACACCTTCAAATATACAAAGACAAACTTTTGTTCACATTAGGACAGAGCATCACAAACCTGTTCCTGCTCCATATCGGTTGGCTGTATATAACCTAAACAGATTAGTAATCCATATTTTATAAAAATAATCCATATTTTGGTTACATGATGACACTCAATAATATATTAATACAGCTTCTTAAAATATGCACTTTAAAATTTGACTGGTCAGTTAGTAGAAATGTAACGCTTTAACAATTCACGATTACCGGTTATAAATGCAGGCTATAAATGCAGGTACTTGCTTCGCAATTATTACAAGATCACCAATGGGATGATGATTTACGCATGTTTGAGTTGAACCTTATGCCAAGATTGATCATGTGATATCACAGTGGTTATGTCCCTTTCAGTAGTATCATTATCAGGGTGACAGTTGGAAATATTTTTCTTAATTTGAAGTTTACACGATATATGTTTTTTTTCAAACGGACGATAGGTCGGGCACGTGACCGCGAAATTGACGTTCATACGTTTTTCACGAGACTGTGCTCTTGAAATGATGTAAACACTGACGAACTAATTCCACATTCCTGGGAGAACCACTGGGAATTCCCTTGCACGAAGACATACATAAGCGTTGTTTCTGATCATTTACACCCTTTAATCTTGAAATAAGCGTTTTAGTATGCAGTGAGAAACGCGAGAGAGTTTGACTGCATGATCGTTCACGAATATACCCGCTACGACCCATCCTAGTGAACAAAACGAAGAGATGCACATCCAAACTATCATAGTATCGACTCGATCCGTGTCTAGGCTAGTCCTAAATCCTTTAAGGTAAGGAATTGTGATACAAATATAATAAGAATTGACATTCACTTTGTGTGAGTTCATTGGTTTATGAACCTTCAAAGTTTGAGAGCCACAAAGTGATCAATTCTTGAATATATAACTTCTAACAATCTTAAAATCACAAGGCCGGTCGGGTAACCTAGTGGTTAAAGCATTCGCTCGCCACTCCGAAGACCCGTGTTCAATTCATGACAGGGGTACAAAGTGTGAAGCCCAGTTCTGGTGTCCCCGACGTGATATTGCTGGAATATTGCTAAAAGCGGAGAGAAAATCAAACTCACTCACTCACTTTAGATCATGCCTTAATTGAGAACAATCTTTTGTTCATATCAGTTCAGAAATATACTTCAATATATTTGCAGTGTCATGGTTATCAAGTGACCCTACATCCAATCCAAAAGGGAATGGTATGCTTACAACAACTGTACATGTGATTTGACAAACATAAACTGATTCTCTCTCACTCACTCACCATCACCCTCCAACCCAAAACACCTCCACTCACTCACTTTTATCTTTTTTTACGACATGAAACAAATGTCTGACGTCCATTGCAACCACTATTATTAAAACTAGTACAAAGTATGTATTGATCTGTACTGTGTTCACACAAAAGGCTACAAAACGGTTTGATCTTAGTCTGTTGTTCAGAGTAGCTGTGATGTTATCGTTCAATGACTCCCTACCTGTTTATTATATGTCCATGTGACCGATGGCTCAGGATTGCCGGTTACATTACACAACAGAAGAACAGTTTTTCCCACGATGACGTTTACAGTCTGGTTCGTGTTCATTATGTCAGGGGCCACTGAAACACACATGCATCGTTTCAAGTTGGATAAGACCTTTATATGATGGCAATATATCACACGCGCCTCTCTTGCATAACTAAAGAATGGCAGACACACATACAGATTCTTAGTTGATATGTATTACAAATGTCAATCAACCTGCCCCACAGTCTGTATGGGAATTTATTTAGCAATAGACATATACTGTTTTGTATTGCAGACAATATTGTAACATTGTTTAATATACAAAAAAGTATGTAATTATAGTGTCTCCATGTTAATGTATTACAAGTATGCAAGTTACCAAAGCACACAATCATCTGCCATCAGTGTCTGTTTTCAGGGGAAAAACTGTTTTGCATCAAGTCATAACTTACTTGGGATCAGAGAAGAAGGTTTCTTTGGGTTGACGTTAGCGTTACAGCGATCTTCATTACAACAGCGGAACCCTGCTTCACCCAAAGTCGTCATGTGGCCTACACACTCCTGGAAAATATACACAAAGAGTGTAATGGCATATTCTGTGATATTTAAAAATTGTTGGCAACATATGTATGATAATAGCAAAGAACAGAAGAGATTGATGTTCGCCGGATAGTATAACTTAGATTTCTGGTGGGGCAGGACATGCTTACCAATTTCGAAAACACCTGAACTGATTTTTCAGTGACCCATTCATTCATTCATAATATTGTCATGGCGTTATAATGCTATTTTACGCCCAATGGAATCGTTTTCAGCGTATAATCGAGACTGATTATTCTCTGACGTTGGGTTTTATATTTTCCTGAAATGGGTCAAGTTCACTGAATTCCCCACGTTTCATCAAGAAAATGTTTTGCCCGAAACCTTAAATTAAAAATGTATCTTACTTCTTTATCTCTACACTCGCAAACAGAAGACGTAAAATCATAAAATGCGCTATCGAGTCACTGGTTCCATACCAGATTATCTTGACTTGATTGTTAACAGGCCGCCGTTGTAACAGGAGTATTTCTGTGCAACATCAGGCAGCAAACAAACACTTGTTTTGTTAAGCACATTGGTAAGTGGCAGGTGCCACCGGTAGGGCAGGACATGCTTACCCTTTTCGCGAAATGCTGCTGTCACGACTATTATGCCTTATACACAGTGGATGATTTTGGCAGATAAATGAGACTGGGTATTCTTTGGCGTTGTCACTTTTTATTTACAGAAAGAATGTGATCCTCCTTTTGGCTTTAAACGTTTCACATATTCACATGCATTGCTGTGCATGATGGTGTGTGTTTCAGTGTTCACCACAATATCATCATTTACTACATAATTGGGAAATTATTACTTACCGACTTCTCTTCACATCCTAGTTCATAAGAGGCCAGTCCAAACCTGAAGACCTTTCTTACTGAGCAATACTGTTAAGAAGAAATAAGGGGGTCTGTTAGCCTTTGCGATGTTTTTAAAGTTGAACCTCACACCCTTAAAAACATACCTCTTTTTCGAAACACACCAGTATATCAGAGCAAAAACATATACATTATTTCCATTTCCACGATATTAATATCGCCAAAATGGTACACAATTACTTTTTGTCAATATTACTTTTGGATTAAAATGAAGGCTTTTCAACGTTAAAGAATAGTAGAGACCAGTGAATCGCATATTGCCTGGCACAAATTATCTCAAATGTAAACTAGATTTGAATGTATTCGAATTTGAATACTATTTTAATTCCCTTAAAATAATCATTTTTATACATTACATATCTGTAATCTGGTATATAATTCCTAGGGAGATGTCATATCTCGTGTCTTATTTACAAGAACTCCTGACAATTCGAAACCATTTGGAATATAAGAATGAGTGAGTGAGTTGGGTTTAATGCTGCTTTGCACAGTATTCCACTTATGGCATGGTGTGTCATCTTAATGTGGGAGGAAAATCCGAAGTAATGCAGGTCTCAGACGTTTACCATTCTGGTGGAACCCATGATCATGGTCCTAGATAACCTAGAAGCATAATCGGGGCGAACTGGGATCCGAACCCACAAACAGCTAAAACAAAACTCTGACAAGACAATCGACAATACGCTAGCAGGGAGAACGGTATAGCCCAGTGAGCTAACAGAATTCTGCTTTCAAAAACACGAATAGCAAAGTAAGTACTAAACCCATACCGGAGATGTAAGTACCAAAGAAAATGGCTGAATTTAAGCTCATCAAAGATATCATTTAACATTTACAACTAGATATGTACAATTGGTAAGGTGGCAGAAATGACCATAAATACGTGAGAAATATTCACAAGGGACTGCATAATCTCACTGCGGCGTGAAAAAAAAGACACATTCAATACAGAGATGACATGTAACAAATTATTACATGATTAAAGTATGGGAATAAACTACTAGAGAATAAAATGTACAGACAACAAAATATGTAGTAATAAGCTTATGGACATAAAGACACCGAACTGTACCGAGTTGTGCCGAGCAGTGCCGACCGCTGCACAGCAATGAGAAGGCTCTACGGTCACTGGACTGTGACGAGCCTTGTTTTACGATGCGGTGACAAAATGTCATGTTTATATTGAACATCTGAAGATAAAGTCTGCTTCACTAAAGATTTGTTCAAATTACCGAAATAACCACTTATATAAATAGAGCAGTAGATATACCTGGTCTGGTCCACACTCTGTCTCGCTCGAGCAAAAGGCTGGCTGTTGGACAATCGCACACTTTTTACATTTTATGTTCCTCGCTCTGATTGTCGTTGCTGAAAATATCAAGAATAATTTCATAATATACGTCGTTTATATAACTATAAATAGGGATGTACTTGAGGACCATGCCTGGCGCGGTGGCTAAGTCGTTGCTCATACTATGAACCACTAGCTTCTCTCTTTGTGATATAGCTTGGATAGAGCTGACTACGGCAAAAATAGAATATTTACCCAATCATTCCTGTTTTGAGAATATTTATGCATGACACTTGAATCATGAAGAGGACCTTCAATTTGCTAAGTACATAGCAATATGTAGTGAGTGATTGAGTGGGTTGTCTTTAACGCCGCTTTTAACAGTATTCCAGTTATGTCACGGCGTGTCAGCTTAATGTGGGAGGAAAGCCCGAAGTGATGCAGGTCTTAGACGTTTACCACTTTGGTGAAACCCACGAACACGGGTATGGTGCTGACAAACCTAGAAACATAATCGGGGCGAACCAGGATAAGAACCCACAATCATAGGTTTCTGGCGTGCCCAAGGGACGCAACTCTGCACAGCGAATTGCGGCTCTTTAGATGACTAGGCCACCCGTGCCACCCAATATTTAGACACCGACGGTGTTTAGAGAGACCTGAAGAGACGCACCCATCTTCTTTTTATGGAAGATTATATGAAAACCAATTTACAGAAAATCAATATCATAGGTCTGTGAGAGGCATTTAGAAGTGATATACGTAAGGAAGAGAATCTATGGATGTCAACTTCCTTATTATGAGGAACACAACGTTTCGGAGTGTATGCTTACTCCTTCATCAGGTGAGCGTTCATTATCGATATTATAGTTATTTATGTATACATAATAAATGACAGGACAATTAACACTGGTCTTAGCTAGAATTTAGACGTTGGGCCAAAGTTGTTTTAAAAATCTTCTAAAACTCAACACTCAGTACCTCCCAAGCAGCATTAAACGTTTTTTACCAAACGTATCCAGTTTAGATGCCACTTTGCATCAGATAAATGCTGCAAGTTGCATTCACTTTGATCTATAGTTTTGGACGGGCACTTTGTAGTACGGCCAAGGCAATATTAGGTGTTTCACCATGCATTTTTTTGTTAAATCTTGTGTGATTTTTTCCACAGATATGATTAAAGGGATTTTCATTTTCCCAGAATTTGCAATTTAAAAATAGGCCGTGTAAATGGCCACGCATAATGATGTGTAACATTTCAAATAGTCTTTGCCTTATCACATACATACAGTATTGAGGACATGCTTAAACGCTTGATACCAGCAATAAATGCATCTCATGCCTCGAGATTCATTACTTCGATCAATTAAAACCATAAGGTGAAAAGCACAGCAAAATAATGACGAAAGATAATTTTGGCTGAGATAACATTGATGTGTTGTTTATTAAATAACAAGTCAGGACAAATTGGGGATGAGTGCCAGAAGAGCCTGTTTAGGCCTCCAGTGACAAGTTTGAAGGACAAATCACTTGATAATCTACAACTGTATCCACGGTTTTGACCTCTGTTGTGCCTTGGTCACTGAATATATAAAGCAAAAATATCAAATCGCATACATCATTCCAATGTCATTTGGTAAAGCATAGCATTGTAGGATGTTTATTTTAATTTCAACTTATTTAAATTGACCAGATTGTTTTTGTAATATACTATTCCAAAAAAGAAACGCATAGGTGTTTCTGAATTTAAAAAATTCCTCTGATCAAAGAATATGTCAACTGAATCGATAAAATATGTTATAAATCTGTTTATAGGAGACTTCTATGCAAATCTGTATTTTACAAAAACACCAAAACGCAAAACGTTGTGTTTGATAAGACGTTTTACAAATTTCTGAAAACACATCACCAAAACGAAACCAAACTCATTTTGCACGTGCAAATTGGGCCATGAGTTGTATGCTGTATCTGTCTATAAAATGCCATGTCGCATTTGAAATGTGAAATCAGTTCTGAAGAGTTTCACGACGGAATCATTATGCCACGTCTAGACGCTGCGACTCGCAATATCGCCATTGGAAGACTAGAGGCTGGCGAGTCGCAATCTTCAGTTGCAAGACGTCTAAATGTAAGCCAGAGTACGATTTCTCGACTCGCAACACGCTACAACCTTACGGTACCACAAACGACCGTCCACGCACCGGAAGACCTCGAGCCACCACAGCAGCTCAGGAACGCTACATCCGGGTCCTCCATTTACGTGATCGTACTGTTACAGCTGAGAGCACAGCGGCCAGGGTGCCTGGACTTCGAAGGATATCGGGGCAAACAGTACGGAACAGACTGACAGAGGTTGGAATGAGAGCCCGGAGACCCTACTTCGGGAACGTGTTACGACGTCAGCATCGCGTCCAACGTCTCCGCTGGTGCAATAACATGTCGGCCTGGAACTTACGAAACTGGAGGCGCATATGGTTCAGCGATGAATCTAGGTTTCTTCTACAGCGACGGGATGGACGAAACAGAGTTTACAGACGGGTCCATGAACGTTATGCTCCTAACTGTGTACGTCAAGTGGACAGATTCGGTGGAGGAAGCGTCATGGTGTGGGCGGCGATATCCTACACCAACCGTACTAATCTTATCCATGTCCAAGGAAACCTGACGGCTGTGCGCTACAGGGACAATATTCTTCAGCAACACCTTCTCCCAGTTATTGACGTCCGACGGGAGTTATTCCAGCAAGACAACGCCAGGCCACAAACAGCACGTGTCACCATGGAGTATTTGGCAAATAACAACATTCCTGTGCTCCCCTGGGCATCTCGTTCCCCGGATCTCAACCCCCTAGAACATCTTTGGGATGAACTTGATCGGCGTCTACGTCAGCGTTTACGTCAACCTCAAACTCTTCAGGAGTTTGCTAAATTTCTTCAGCAGGAGTGGAGGAGAATTCCTCAACCAGTTATACAGCGTTTGATCCAGTCCATGACGAGGCGGGTCCGAACTGTTATTCATGCACGTGGCGGACATAACAGATACTGACACTTCTGTGGACGCTGAACAAAATCATGACTGTTTAGCCTGTGGTGATCATTATTATCATATACACACCTCGTTCTGCCAAATGCACGTCAAATGTCATGCTCCTGAGTATGTTTGTTGAATAGTTATACACGTTTGAATTAAACCTTTGTCTCTTCAGATTTCTGCCTTATGCGTTTCTTTTTTGGAATAGTATATAAACAATTGGTGGTTGCCTCTTCTTTCCAGAAAAATAGCATTGAAAGCCCGTTAAAATGTTTTGCCATCAGCAGAACTATTAAATAACACACAGAGTGGCAATAATACCCTGATGTCCTTAGTTCACTGGGGGATAATGTTTGAACATTGGCACATAAGTGAATTTAAGTTTACAGAAAACTGAATATAATATAACTATCACTATTTTTGTTTCCTGAAGATGTTTGCATTATTGCACCAGACATATCTTTCATCGGGTCACCACTCCTGTCAGTGAAGCTTACGTAAATACAGAAATATAACCATTACCTGAAAGAAACAGAAACAAAAAAGTATCATATTTTCAAGTAAATCAATATTGATCAATCGCATTTACTCACAATGTCATTAGTTTCAGTATTGGCCACTATGGATTTTATTATTATTTATTATTATTATTATTATTATTATTATTATTATTATTATCATTATTATTATTGTTGCTGTATAGAGCTCGAACAGAAGTTTGTTAAGGCCTAGAATTTCGAAAAGATCTCAGCTAAGCTAAATCTTAACAACTTACGTTCGAAGATAAGATATCTTAAGTTTAAGATAAGATACTTTTTCGAAACTATCATAAACCTGTCGCAGATCGCACAAGGATACGATAGGTATCGTAACTCTGACAGAGAGCTCATTTGTGTTAAAGATTGAAATAACGAGGTGTTTCCCAATGACGTCTGGGGGATTTCCCAGCCGCTGACAATAACAACATGGAGAAGTGACACGGAATTCATGATCATATTGTTAGGTCACACTGTTTAACACGCACATAATTGAGTGAAATTCTGTACAATCCTACATATGTCCAACATGTAGACGTTTTGTTCTTATGATAAATGATGCCATGACTACCCGAACACAAATAGCACTCACGTGCTGTGCAAAGGCATTGTTCAAACACAAGAAATGTTATAATCAATAAGCGTAGTGTTACCACACTATAGCTCCTAGAATTGAAATAACGTGCAAGCAGATACTTTACTATTTTCCCTTCAAATGGTCCTCCCGCGACAGCGCAGAACTTTATGGAAACACATTGCGTTAAAAGTCAAGGACGAAAGTAAGGGACGTTATTCTAAATGACTATGACTAGACGTGACCTTTGATTGAACAGCAGGCGTTCAGCATTTAAGATGTGTGTTCAAGTCTGATGATACGTGATACATATATACCTACATATAATGTCTTTTTCTGTCCCTTTACACTAAGTAGAGCTAATAAACTTATTTGTCTGATTTGATTTAACTCTGGCTTAGGAGCGAAATACACTGTAAATATGTCAAATCTATTTCAGAATGTAGTTCGATGATGTTTGGCTGAGGATCATTTACTAGTATTTGTCCGTTTACCCTATACTTTACAACAATTTTATTGTCTGAATGGTCTCAAGTATCTATATTTCTTTAACATAAAACGGGTAGATGTACAGTTAAATATTAAAAAGATCAGAATCAATTAATATTTTGACTCGGTATATTGAATGCAAAATTCAAAGATTATTGTGTTGTGTCTAATTTTTATTGATCATTAAATTTCATTCAATAAACGTTTTCTGCGAACATAAACTGGAAAGTGAATTTTGGACATTCTTCAAACAATGCTTCTGTTTGACGACAATTAAACCCGAACGAGCATGGGAACTCAATTTTTATTTGATTTATAGATACGAAAATCTGTGTTTAACTTTTGCTGTCAAAATTTCAATAAATTGTTAAATATAAAGGAATACGTCCTTAAGCCGTTTATCACCTGTACGTACGTTGTTTCACACTTCTTCAGCATGGATAGAAATATATTTAAGCTACCGACTCCATAGTCATGTGGATCGCTGTCGCGATTAAACACATTCCTGACGTGACATCATTGAAGAATTGTTCTTGTTTTCGAAGTGTCAGATTGTATCGCACAGTTTAACAAAATGAAATGACACTGTTTGAAGCAGACAAATTGTTTGGCAAAATATCTTTGGCAAAGTATGCCGCCATCTTGGATAAAGATAAAATAAACTTATGACAGGTATGGGGCTATCTTAGATTTACGACAAACTTAAGATATCTTAGGGCGACAATAGTTTCGAAAATAGGCTACGATAGCCTACGATTTCCTTACGATAACTTTACGATTATTTTAGGGCTACGATTGTTTCGAAAATCTTGGCGCAGTAACTTTACCTCTTTACTGTATGGAAAACTCATGATTCAATTACTAATAAAAAAATCGCTAATGTTTGCCGAGTTTCTAAAAACACTGATAACTATTTTCAAATAAAAAATATACAAAACAATTCAGTGATAGCAGTCGAATGTTAAAAACATAAATACCAACTATGTATTATGACATAACCTACCAGTATAAGATAAAAATCCTTAAACAATTGGGAGATACCGATTTGTATCTGATTATTTGATGTGAAAACAAAATAATAATATGGTATACCAAGATATTTACCCATGTTAATAAAAACATTTACACCTTACTAATTTTGGAATTATTAATAAATTGGTATTCTATATTAGATAAAAACAGAAAGGTCCAAACTCTTCAAATATGTATTGACAACCTAACATTTCACGACCATTTCGTACCTCACTTACTTTATACAAATCGCACCCTTAGGTTTAGGTAACTGCCTGAGGTAGATAAAAAGGTTAAAGATAAAATTAATATTATTTAAATTTTTTTAAAATATAATAATTGCAGGCGACCATGCTATCAACCACCCCCAAACATTAGCAAAAAACATCCTGATGTTTGAGTGGTCTTTGGACCGTAACCTATTGCTTTCCAAACTCAATAGAGTCCTCCCTGGTTATAATGCCACCTTTAAAAATTCGTCCAGCCGAAAATGTGGCATTATAACAAGGTTGGCATTATAACCAGAGAGGTGAAAACCAGACCTTAATGCCAGACCTTAATATATAGAGGATGAAATGTCATTTAAGCTTATAGAAACGGATAATTATCAATAACATCAAACCATTTTTTTTGTTCTTTCAAGAACGTGAATGGTGAAGCTTTACATTGTACAAACACAATAATTACAAAACGTACCGCAATAATCGAGGAAAACATTACTCGTGTATCGCACGAGCTGGTGTCTTCTAATATCGCGTCGTCTCCTCGAGGAGAGGAGCCGGAAGATAGCCCCTTCTAAGGAGACGTCGTCGCTAAGGAGCAGCGTCCCTTGATCAAACTTCACGAAATGTGACACAAAGGCGACGTTGTAAAGTCGTTGGGCCAGTCTAAGAAATTCGCCGGCGACATAGTCAACCATTGCCAACGCCATAATGATGGAGTTTAAGTGCATTTTTTTATATATTTAAAAGTTAATCCTAAGCAAGGCTGTATGACATAAATCTATTTTGTATTGAGGAACAAACTAAAATTGATATTATTACGACTCACTAGGGGAAAGAGAAGACTCTTTGTGCTTTACACACTCAGGATCAATTACTAATTTGGAATAAACTACAAACAAGGCATATTTTACCTGCTGATTAACACAACAAAGCTTTACTTTGCCCCGCGACAATCGGTGTTGCGAGTTAGTAAAGGTTAGGAACAAATGGAGAGGATTGTCCATGCAGTTGGAACATATTCAAACCGGCAAGAAGACGTTTCATGACATACATCGTTAATGAACCAATGAGAGAATGTTGTTTATCGTCGCACTCACTGTGGTTAAGTTGGTTTAATAGGCAAGCAGTTCAGTTACATATAGGCCACGTACCAGGCTGAGATGTGGTTGTAGCAGGTTGAGTTGGTGCTGGCGTCAGGTGGTTGTTGTTTTCATGGCTGTTACACAAATCATCATTACAGCATATGAAGCCTCCATGAGAGAGTTCATCCACCCCCTTCATGTGTCCGTCACATTTCTGCCAACATAAGACGTCCTCAGAAATACACATATCACTACATCAGCTGTGTTGTAGTGGTCATTTAACTGGAACAGGTAACCATGAACTGTCACAAAATATGTATAGCCCAATACCATTAATACCCTTGGGGTAGGAATATAGGTCCCCAGCAACCCATGCTCATTGTAAGAGGCGTCTGAATAATCTGGCTGATCAGCCACGGTGATGCATGCCATCGTATCCCATATTGCTGCGTGCGACGTAAGACAAGAATCAAACACAAATAACATTAAGTATGGGAATAAATGTTTTGATAAATCACACTCGTTTGATATTTCCACAATCTAAATGTATTCGTGTTATTTTTCCGTTTTTCACATTTTTCTTTTAGAAAAACTGCGCGTACTTCCACGTGTAAGGGACCTACGGTTTGATTTTCTAAAAATAAATTGACCCCTGAAATTTTTGAAGATGATAATTATGCTTCAGATTGTTGAAAAAAGAAATTGCCTGCCACATTGTTGCAAGCAAGGTTTCTTTAAAAAAATCATTCTGAAATAAATACTACCTGATAGTTATGGTCTGAAGGCTAATGCATTCAGTGTGCTTGACATGTTACATTCTTCCTGATATCACAAGTAAGAGTCGTGCAGGATAACTACATGTGTAGTATGGAAACCTATTTGCCTGTGTTTGTCAAGAACCTTTTAAAATGTGTGTTACCTTTGTATGTAGCAAGGGCTACCTTCAGATATTATCTTTTGATGCTAGTTTATGAGTTTCTTCTTAATCCCACCGAAGGCGTAAACTGTACACGTCGGGATTACATGGTGTTTATTGTAGATAACAGTGCAGGGTTGGGTTCTTCCAGACCGAGGTAAAGTGTTATTCATATTTATTTCTAGGTAGCCCTGGCCATAAATGGAATTTCTTTCGATCATGCTTTGGGGAAGTTCGTTGACATGTTGTCTATATTCTGTGTCTATTTTATCATGTTTTATCCATACCACAATGTTATCATCTATGCCACGATAAGAACGTAAGAAGTACCTGTTCTACAAGTTAACCCACAATCAGTGATAGGGCGCTACTCAATTTGTAATGATGTCAAGTAGCCTTCTATTGATACAGACTTTATCTTTTCAACAGGCACAGTGTAAATGCACCACATGCACATTAAAGCACCCATGCCAAATACAGTCATATACTTATTATCTGTTATCTTCAACTACACTGTGACATCACATTCAGTAACTTTCCTCCCACATTAAACCGACAAGAGTGATATGACCGGAATGCTGTTCAAAGCGGCGTTCAACACAACTCACTCACTCTCACTCACATTCCATAACATGAAATATCACAGTTGAAGATCCGGGGTAGAAGAGATCTTCAGGAACCATCGTTTGCCGTAAAAGGCGACTATGCTTGTCGTAAGAGGCGACTGAAGGGATCGGGTGGTCAGGCTCGTTGACTTGGTTGATGCATGTAATTGTATCCAAATAAGTGCGGATCGATGCTCATGATCTCAATCACTTGATTGTCTAATCCAGATCCGATTATTAACAGACGGCCGTCATGTAGCTGGAATATTGCTGAGTGCGGCGTTAAGCAACTAACAAACAAACAAGCAAGTAAACACAAACATGAAACATAGTATCAAACAATGGAATAAACTTCATGAATTACAAAATCGAAACACAGCACACATAAATATTACACTGCTTAACACAGTCCGTCATGTACATTGTTAAATACCACTGAAGTACAAGGACTATCAATAAAGGTCATAAACAGTGGACACGATAAATCCCCGATTCCATGTAAAATGTGAATGATCACCGACACAAATAACCTCATCCACATACGGACTCTACTACTCTGACACAAACCGTGGTCGAGGTATTTGTGTACATGTTATATATGTAAGGCTGAATTACTCACCGTCTTCTCAAGACAACCGAGGTCATAAAACGTCATTTGAAACTTGTACATCTTCCAAATGGAGCAGTACTGAAAGAAAGGCGTTTGATGTTTACACTTTAGTCTCTGCAAAAACAGATTTGTTGGTTTGTTACTTTCTAAAGGAGTTTTCATTGATACATTCTGTTTTATTTTTTGTATACCTCAAAGCATTTTGCCATACAGAATGACGTTAATTGAACAGGTACATTGTAAATGGTGGTTAAATGGTGTTCTTGTATTTACCTTGTCATGGCCACACTTGGACACTGTGGAGCACTGGCTGGGATGGCGAACTGCCTCGCACTGCAGACACAGTCGGTTACCTCCCATAGGAACAGCTACATAGGGGAAGATAGGTGACATGAAAAGGATGTACTAGCTCCAGATACGTAGTACCAGACACTAGGACAGCTAACAATGGGGGAAGATAGGTGGCATGAAAAGGATGTACTAGCTCCAGATACGTAGTACCAGACACTAGGACAGCTAACAATGGGGGAAGATAGGTGGCATGAAAAGGATGTACTAGCTCCAGATACGTAGTACCAGACACTAGGACAGCTAACAATGGGGGAAGATGGGTGACATGAAAAGGATGTACTAGCACCAGATACGTGGTGCCAGACTCATGGACAGATAACAATGGGGGAAGATAGGTGACATGAAAAGGATGTACTAGCTCCAGATACGTAGTACCAGACACTAGGACAGCTAACAATGGGGGAAGATAGGTGACATGAAAAGGATGTACTAGCTCCAGATACGTAGTACCAGACACTAGGACAGCTAACAATGGGGGAAGATAGGTGACATTAAAAGGATGTACTAGCTCCAGATACGTAGTACCAGACACTGGGACAGCTAACAATGGGGGAAGATAGGTGGCATGAAAAGGATGTACTATCTCCAGATACGCCATGTTGTCCATCGGAAGACAAGGTCACATGTACGATTTATATGCATATATGTTTCAAAACTATGTCATCATTTTACTAAATATTATGTACTGATACACCAATTGCTTTAATGAGCGAAATATGGACATGGTCATCCTAAATTTTGTGTTTTTCATTATTCTGAAAAAAGTGTTTTAAGTGCCTTCATTAAATCGTATTAAGTGATTTACAATTGATAAGTTTCGTGTCAATATAATTTTTATTGACATGAAACCCCGTTTATCCGTACGTTCCAATATATTTTGTCCTGTTCAACGAAATGTCAGGAGTTATGCCATCTGGATCGTATACATTTCATACACCTATGGCCCTGATTATAAGGTCCCGGACTATCCAGGTTTCACTGTATATGAATCTGTCACTCACGGAGTCCGCCACACAGCTTGGAGTTGCAGTGGTCGCCGATACAACATTCCTCACACCCGTGCGGGCTGCTCCCGCCTGCCACCGACCCTGTACCTTGACATAGCTGTAACAAACAAGATGCACAGCAACATGGATATATGCAACATGGCTAAGGATCAGACACACTTCAAGTGGAACAGTGGGTGGGCATGGCTTCACACTCTACGCATTATGTCAGTTATATCACGGCGGGTCAGCTTCATATGGGAGAGAGGCCGAAGTAATACTTTGACGAATTAGCCTAGAAAGACAAAATAACAACAGTGGTGCTGACAAACCTAGAAACATAATTGGGCTTAACCTGGATTCGAACCTACGATTACAGTTTTTGTTGCACTCATAAGGGACGCAACTCTTCACAGCGAATTGTGGCGCCTTAGACGACTGGGCCAATGTGACAATGCGTTGGTAACGAGTAACGTTGCTATGTCCACTTTGCAACTCAAGAACAGCTGGGTAGAAGTAGCTGATCAGGACAAATACAATATGAATGCTGAATGAGAATTACATTAAAATTGCTATAATTTCACCTCTATACCTATTCCTATGGGTACTATTTGGCTTACGGGTAAGTTTCGAGGTTGTTATAGACTGTAAACACTTTGTACCGTCCCTCCTCTTTATTGTTACAATATACGAAGTAGGATTAGACGAAAGTGTCAAATAACGGTTATCAATAATATAGTATTTCTGACAGTCTACATCATATTCATCATAAAAGACAATGGGAAAATGAAAACTGTTCTATGCAACAAGATGAAGGCAGCGTAAGTGCTTGAAGTATTTTAAGAATAGGGCCAAGCAAACAAGAGGTTCCTAGATACACGGCCTGGTCATATCTTGTAACAAACCCTACGTGATGTGTTACGACGCGACTGAACCCCTGGGGTTCTTGTCCAACCAGAGAACGCACTGGGAGACAGGCATATTGAGTATCGGGAACATACGTTTCATGTATGCACACTTGGAGACAAGCATGGGGTACTGGTGCTATTCTGCCCTTGAAAACAGATTGGGTATGTATGCGTAGTTAGAGGCCTAAGCTCGCCTCAGATACAGAAGCTAAGCATCGGGTACTGTGCCCCTACCCGGCCAGTAAACACTCAGGGCGACATGCATCAGATATTGTGCCCCGTTCAAAGCCTGGAACGCACGGAGAGACAAACATTAAATAATGTGCACCTGTTCTTTCCCTGAACACACAGGGTGAAGGGCATGGGGTAACGAGCTCCAAAACACACGAGGAAGCAAGTACCAGGTATGTACCCTGAGCCCCTTTGCAGCCCTGGAATACGAACGGAGAGACAAGCATTGGTAACTGTCTCTGTTCAGCCCCGGAAAACTATGTATTAGGTACATGGAACGTATCCCATCCCGGTATACACATTGAGAGACAAGCGTGTAGTTCTAGAACATACGACTGCTTCAGTCAAAACTCATAAAATTCCCTCAAACATTCTAAATAGAGTTTTCCTCATATACACAAACTAAGTAACGACCTGCTTCTTTCTGCACCCTGCCGTGTACTGCGTTGGGCTGATTCCTGTCGATGACGCATAGCATTGCTGAAAAGAAACACGCAACTGTGTTAACAAGAGGACTAAACGACCAAGGGCGAGTCCCATGCCCCAAGAATTAAAAACGGTATCAATATTAACGGCTGAATAAACAGTGTTATCTACAATATTAAGCAATGTTCTTGCGTGATTAAGAACAAGTTATTGATGTGTTTGCACTTGAAGCTGTGTGTCAGCGTGATAGGTTGGGAACATCAATAAGCATAGTATGTATATGAGATAGTTCACTCAATTTTAAAGGAACAGACGGTGAACTTACTTCGTCGTCTTGGCACTTGATAATCTCCCTACAAGAAGCAGGTTTCACAGCCTTGTCACAGTCATAACACCAGGGGCCCTCGCATACTGGGGAAACATTGACATACTATGATACACATATGTGATGTTTAAAGAACATAAAACTGTACTTGTACCAGAAAGATATTTGAATAGTGACAATGGCAGTGTTTCTATAAAATTAAATGTAAAGTTTTGCCCCTCAGGACAGAACGAGGGTAGACTGCAATCTCCTGGATCATGTTTACGTATATTTCCTATTTCGTATTGATCTGTAAACATTATATTGAGCTACGTAAAGTTTATTTGCCAAATTTATATTGGAAATTGTATTCAACATTTCCTACTATCAATAAATTCATAAGTTTTCTGTGTACAACTAAGGATGGTTTATTAACGTCTGCAATAGCGTGTATATTATGCATTCAAAATATATATATGACGTCTTCACATTGCATTTTTGACATTGCTGTTCTTGTATGGGCCAAAGGCTTTGACACAAATAAACTATTTTGACTTGACTTTGACCATAACTCATTCCAAAGACATTCTTTTAATACATACACACATTACGATTTGATTAGTTCATGTGTAGGACATGAACTGACTTCCAACATCTAAAATGCCCTAAATATGTTTTCTTCAAACTTTGTCATGATATAGAAGAATGTTCTAACGATATGCACTGTACATACATGGACATTCTTCCATGATACCTACGAACACGTTACACGATTAATGATTTTCAACTTGAATGTCATCTGTGTAAATCCTATAGGGGTTTACATAACACTTATGAAAGTTGTTATGCGCTAAGAAAGTCATATTATACAAGCACTAGTGCCTTTCCTACACTGCGACTATGGGCATATGTTAAATAATATTGGGCAATGTGATAACGTAGTACTGAGTATTGAGGTCAACTGAAAAGCTTTTCTATAGCTCAGACTAATATACATAATTAACTCATCGGAAATGAAAGTAGGTAGACAAAGCACAGCAAGTTCGAGACAGAATCTGAATCTGTATTGTTTTAATTATTTTAATTGGTTCATAATGATGATCATTTTCATCCTAAATAAACACCAGTATACTTTAATTTTTGTAAAGCATGATCAATCCGTTTTGAGTTTAGAACTCCTAAATTATAACAATATGAATATGATAAGTAGGAACATGATCCTATTTACGTAAAATTTGATTTTGAGTAAATATAATTTGAGGCAACATTAAAGTCAGTATTTGTCCTGGCCCTCTCTGCAGCACTGAACGCACGACACTTCAGGGGCATGCAAGAGATTAAACGTCAAAGTATCACCCTTTGAACGCGATGACATACATCTGGTAAAGCTTGCTCAATATGTTCTACTCTGTCACCTGTCACCTGTTCGGACGCCTACGTCCCAAACAATACAGTGGAGTGAAAGGTGATTTGACTAGCAATGGTCGGTCACTACATGTATATCCTGCTGTGTGTAATCCGGTCGGCCCTGTGTTGTCTGGCAATATCAGCCGGTAACCCAAGTCAGGAGAAAGGGCTCAGCAAGAGTTGTAGCATCAGCCCGTCAGGTTTCCTTCAACCAGTGACAGTTGTTTCTCCGGTCATACGTGGCTCCACCCAACACTGCTACATTATGACCCCAAACAGGTTTCTGGGTACACTGTAATGGTGGCAAGGTGGTGATGTTACATTATTACCCCAATAGGTTTCTGGGTACACTGTAATGGTGGCAAGGTGGTGATGTTACATTATTACCCCAACAGGTTTCTGGGTACACTGTAATGGTGGCAAGGTGGTGATGTTACATTATTACCCCAACAGGTTTCTGGGTACACTGTTATGTTGGCAACGTGGTGATGTTACATTATTACCCAAACAGGTTTCTGGATACACTGTTGTTGGCAACGTGGCGCTGTTACATCTCAGTCAAATAACGTTCCCACCAGCCTTAAAACCCATCCTGGTATGTGCAATTTAAGCAGCTTTTATCGTAGGGCGATGGAATAAATGAATGAATGAATATTGTTTTACGACGCATCGGCAATTTTCCAGCTATTCACAGCGAGCGTAGGGCGATGAAAGTCTTATCCCTTTTCAGTTTTCGAGCCGAAACAAGCAAAAGCAAAAACTATTAGTGCTAATGTCATTCGAACCGAGTTTGTTTCCCGGGGTCTGCCTCTACCCCATCCGATCTGTCCACTACCACTGTGACGGTTAGGGTCCATTTGACCGCGAACCTGTACTTTTTGATTATACATAGTAAACATCACCATTGGCCATCCATTTCTAAATTTTCTGTAAAGTAAAGGGTCCATTAGACCGCGAACGTTATTATTTTCCAAAGTAAACAATGTCAATTGCAAGCCATTTCTCATTTTATGTAAAGTAAACCTTTTGTGAGAGAACTAGAACATGCCCGCGTCATTGTTCCGCTGTACAACAATGTCTGCACTGACAAACAAAATAGAAATGCGTGTACTTCCAATTCATTTACCCATATTCACTTACCCATAATTCCCATAGACTTTTCAGAAACCTATTACCAGTTAATTAGTAAAATCGCATTTGGATTAATATTTCCAGGCATATCTAAGAGATCTGAAGTCACATGGTTTCACATAAATATTGCACTTCCTAGTAAACTTCTGACGTTGCTGTCCATTTGAGTTATGAGGAAGTACTGTGTTGAGAAGGTCGAGTTGATCGTGTTTAACACAATCATACACGTTACTTTAACAACCAGCAAACACAAACACTAACTATATTCACGTATAGATAAGTATGGTTCTAGAGAGCCGTGTATGTGTAATTGATTAGATACATGCTAGCAAGTGTACTTCGGCATTACTTGAACATTAAGCTGATCATCACACTGCCAACTTTATAACAATGTAATTTGTTGTGTAATTAGTATGTAATGAATTTCGTCAACACAAACCTGCAACGTTGATGCATCCAATAATCACAACGCCCAGTATCAGCGCTGAAAACAAAATGATAGAATTACACACAATTTCAACAAACACTGACTTATAATAGACTTTTTCAACATGATTGGCATGGAAACGCCAGAGCGATTTTTGAGATATTTCAATTACAATTTCACAAGTCGGGAGGCCCTTTAAACTTGATACTTTAAATCTGAGATATAATTAACTGATTTCACCAATTATAATGTCCTCGGAGGAGGGTGTATTTGATAGTATTAAGGTAACTTACCGGCAACGTGACTCTGCATCGTCCCCCTGTACCAGCACGTGTGTGGCTCCGGTGACAAAGGTTTTTGTCTTGCCAAGCGACTTTATCATTTGAGGTAAACTGATAACGACGTGTGTCGGGGTATCGATTGAGTTCAAACACTGCACACTGCACACTGCACAGGGCAGACGTGTTATCTTTTTCAAGGACTTTCTTACTTTCGACATATGTTCCGATGGCTTTGGGTTAGAGCCTTCCTGTGAAACCCCCCGTGTGTGTATCATTTCTAAATGCGTTCGTCACTATTACGTCCCTATATATATTTATGTCAGACTAAGCAGGAAGTTTTTTACCCAAATTGTATTTACTTATATTTTTTGCACGTGATCGGGAGACATTGGTGCATCACAGGGAATCAGGGAAAATATGCTGTGTTTGTGGCTTTTATTAATGTTTTGATCCTCTCATACAGTATATTATGGACGCGTATTAGTGCCACATTCTACAACAAAGCAAGGGAATTATAAACTCCCTTATGATATAAGGTCCTTGACCTACAGAGTATCTAGCCTCACAATTGTTAAAAAGGTACTTAACCAAACAAGTGACTTGACTCCCAATAGTAAATAGGTACTTGACCTAAACAAGATAATCGCGGGACGGCGGTCTTGAATGTTTTGTTGAATGAATAAATACGATAATTGTTATTATGAATACCAACTCTACAATTTTAAATGCTAATTCCCCTATCAAACTGTAATTTGTATAAACGATTGTTTGATTATTTATGTAAGACATTGATCCTTACATTAAATACTGGAACATCTCTTTGACTGATCACTAAATCACGGAATTCTAGGTTAAAGTTAAGATTACAAATTGTAATCCCATAAGTAACGGGATAACAATTTTAACCCAAGTGCACGGACGTCGTAGAGGACAACCTGCCCTCGTCAGCCGTGAATACAATAGCCTGGCGAGCATAACAAAGTGTGTTTCCTAACATAGGGAAATCCCGAATAGCAAACGGAAAGTGAAAGTACCTGAACATAAGCTATCCAACGTTTCCACTAAAGATTTACAACAATATATCTACAATTATTGAGGTGGCAAAACTGAACACAAGTACATTAGAAATATCTATAAGTACAAGGAAATCGGGAGAAAATCAAAGTTACAAAATCATTTTCAACACATGAATAGGGTAGCAAACATATATGAGATAACATATATCAAATTAATACATGATAAAGTGTGCCATAAAATCGCTTGTGAATAAAATTTACGGGTCATTAGTTCTCTTACGATAGATGTAAAGACCTGGACAACGACGACCGCCGGACTTTGCCGAATGGTGACGGAAGCAGAACAATTAAGAGGAGAGCGGTTCGGTGACTAGACCGTGACTAGGCTGGTTTCACCCCCAGATGACACCAATACGCTTCCATAGTGTTTGACACGTAACTAAAATAATCTTCTTCTTTATTGTAGTAGTATGTTATTGTGTATATATCATCAAGTGTATTTAAGGTCAGCTCTATTTTAATACCTAAGTCTTAGCCCTAGTTTAACCACCCAATCTAGCCTGCTTCACTAATACAATAGCACAGTCACCCTTGCGCTTGCCTTCTCTATTGTTTCTCTGGTCTCTATTGTCTAGCCCCAGCCCCTTACTTTCAGTGACAGGGTGCATTATGGGACTGATCAGTTTGAATTTACACTCTGTTGTATTTGACTCTGCATGGAAGAAAGATCTCAATTCGTCGCTGAAATCATTCAGTCAACTGTCACAGGTTAGTTTATTTTTGAATTGTACATTTATATGTTCTTATTTTGTGCTTTGAAGGGTTTGCTAAGGTGCATATGTATGGTTTCTTAACTTCTTTTAATAGTACTTATATGGTTAGGTGTGATAAATGTATATCACATCAGTCATCGTATTCAGGTAAGTGTAGTTAGGCTAAATTTGCTTAAATAATAAGTATGTTTATTATAGCTAGTCTTAAATAACATCTTCATGTTGATATTACTAAACTTATTGTGTAACTAAGTATGATGAGTACATTTATTGGTAGACTGGAGCTATTTACCTTTAAATTAAAGTTCTCTCGTATCACTTGCATTTGCTTGAAACAAAACAGTACTAGTGGAGCCCAGTCAAGACGATCTGATCGATAATCAAGGTCTATGTTGTGATAAAACGGGTCTTACATCGCGCAATGCGTGAGCACCTTGATTATAAACATGAAAAGATTTGGAAAATATCAGTTGACAACGAGTTTGCGGTGCACATGTTTTGCAAATCCTGCAATCAACCGAAATCTGCAGGACAGTTTGCGAACCGGATTTCGATTTCGCAAATACATTAAATGTATTCATTCAAGAATCATGACACAAAGTTTAACTCATTTTAACTTAATTCAACGATTTTATAGCGATACTGACATATATCGCCCATTGGCGAGAAAAAGGTTTGGCCCATGGGCGAGAATATTTTCCTTTGCTGAACAGTTTTAGTTTCGCAAATACATAACGGTTTTATCAGCCATACACATGATTCAACTCATTTTACCTTAATTCAAATATTAAAATATTTCGCCCATGTTTTCGTCAGTCCCTTTAAATAAGTAACTAATTGTGTACAGAGTATATTGTATCATGTGAAATATACTTTATATTTTATCATTACATTACTATTTAAAAAGGGCCTTTGGTTGGATGTTTCCTTTACAGAAGTTTTACAAATTTCACCTTTTTTCATATTGCAACGATACGCCAATTCATTGGCGACATTTTCCAACACATTAAAGTTTAGTTTAGTTTCTTTTTCATTTCCCATTTCATGTCTCGTTGATACATCACACTGGGAAAGTAAGTGACACTAAGTATGCAATATACAGGTACACGTGCGCGTATTTTAATGGCAACCAAAAAACATTCGTCTTTCATTGCATAACGTCTGGCTGAATATCTCACATTCTAACGAAATCTCGAAATAATTATTTAATTATATGAGGTGTCGAACTAACCAATGGGAATTATGTTTACAGGCGATTGAGGAAAACTTGAGTGAATATTATAACACTGAAGCAACTTTATAATGCATTGTCACTTTTCGTATGAAAATGGTAACAGTTCAGAAAAAGCAACAGCCTTCTTATGATAATTCTCATTCTCATTAGGACGTTGTATCTAATTATAGTGTCGGCCCTATTTACAGGTGATTCTACAATACCTGTTCTCGGTCAATCACGATCTACCACACCACGCGTGAATAAACAGTTATGCAGGTGTTGCTGTGGGCAAATACTTAGCCTGAAAATGTATATTTATTTTGTGGATACATGTTTTACAAATTTTCGTTGATATGTGGATATATTAAGCACAAAGACAAAACAATGTTTATGAAAGATAAATTAGTGCCTTGAAATATTCATCGAGATGTGTATGATCGTTTAATGGGGTCATTCAATTAAAGTATGTTTGGAGGAGATATCAAAGGAGCCGCCCAATATACACAGTGTCGTCCGGTGAACTACCACCCCACCCTGTCCATAATAGTTATGTAATCGGTACACAAATATATTTGATGCGGTGTCAGTGTGGGAGGAGTTTGAATTACGCCCGCCACTGGCCACAGAAATCCTCAAAGTATAGTAACAATCAACAAGGTCAATGCCGTACTAATTACCTAGTGACGCACTCAGCAACGACTGTCAATCTGTCTGCTACAGCTACCATACCATCATCCCTGTCACAACTGGCATATCAACGGCTTATTCAAAATATTAATTGTAGAAACGTCGTTAAGTTGTTTTCCGCCGGTCGTAAGTTCATTGTTTGACTGAGCACACTTGTGTCGGGGTTGCGATATTTTCTTCTCTTTGTTGGCAGCCTGCCACCGGTCTGAATTTTGAGAAAGGTCTCAGCATGGGACTGCTAATTTCTTCTTAATGATGTCTACAAGCTTACAAACTTGTAGATGTTGGGGCGGTTAGGACCAAACTTTTTCAGCTCAGATTGTTAGTGGTCCTGGAACCCATAGTGTCAAACAGGTTCTGCGCAATACGTCCATCATATTCTACTGTTTAGGAACATTGTCACTGAATTTCAGAACTCTGGCATGATATAATAATCAAGGATTTCGAAGGTGAACGAGGGGAAAGGCAGACGCACGTGGATTTACTCTCGGGTTATTATTGTTTGGAGTTCACATTTTTGGGCATTTCATATACTTATTGGACAGAGTTCACCTGCACATGTCCACTTTAGTGAGACAGACTGTAACTAAAAATGCAATGAGCCGTAGCTCCTAATCCCTTATAACAACGGTAACAACAACCAATGTGAGGACACAGTAAGGTTAAACCGTGTCCAACAGACAATCTCAGGTGGCTAGCGCCATATCTCCCATCAAGTCAGCCCTGTTTTTAAGCGCATAATTATGTTTTTACATATTGAAAAAAAAGGAATTAAAAAAATCATATATAACAAACCTACACATCACCAAATACAAAACCTTATAACCCTTTCTAGACATCGTTCCAATTAACCCTTATCATTCAACTCGCTCGCGAAGGTCGTATACGACTTTAAAGTGAATACATCTACAGTGTATCATATATACTCATGATAAGCAATTATTTTCGTTCCTAATTCGAATGAGCACATTCTGAGGCTAAATCTGCAAAAGGACAGACAAAATATTTCTTTGCACAATGCAAACGACACAAACGTAGCGGCTGATAATAGAGACAATGATTTAATAATCTGCAATATATCATTTGTTCTCGTTCAATCTATTGTAGATATTGAAGTGATTGTAAAGTTTCAAGGAGTACTAAAATGTTGTGGTATTATGAATGTATTTAGAATATGAATAGCGAAAAACAGTCACCATATGGGATGTACATGTATAACTTGTCTTCCAACACCACGCTTGTGCCGAGACCCATGGTCATAAAACTAATCGGTCCCATAAAAGGAGCAAATAGTTTCGCAGATAGGACTTGCTATGGTTCACTCCCAATTGACAGACGACCTAATCATCAGACAGACCAGTCAAGTGTGACCAGTGTACCTGCCTGGTT